ACACCAATAAGTATAGTGTGTATAATATATCATAGTTTATACACATCATATTACTATTAGTGTGTCCAGTATCTGTGGGGTTAGCATAAACTCAATATTTGTTTTAAACTTTTAATTGGCCTTATATAATGATCATTTATAGGTCAGACAGGGTTTGGTTTCCAATTCGGAAACTAGACCTGTTAAAACAGTTATCATTTGTAATTTAGAGATTAAATATTTCTAAGCAGAAAAAAATGAACTATAAATATTTTTCAACCTTTTCTGAGTTGTACAATTTTAGAGTATCTTCTGTCTGAAATCTGAACATAACTTGTTTTATGATAAATGTGTAAAACAATTCCTCATACTGGGGTAAAGTTTTTCTATATATAGTCCCAAAAACTACAGATAAAATCCTTGAGCACGTACAAGATACAAAAATATATATTTTACGTCCATTTTGCAAAACATACAACATAAGCTACAAAGACAAAACATGAGTATAATAACAGAGACCAAAATATTACAACATGGAAAAATAAAATAAAAACATGTATGTACATGTAGTATACTGTAAGCTCAGAAAAAGAGTTTATCACTTGGAAAGCACTTAATAGGCACATTGAACACGGTAAGCACATCAGCACATGGTAATTTAAGCACATTTAGAACATTTGCATACAGCACATAAAAAACAAAACCATAACATGGAAAGCTTATTAGCACATAGTAGGCACATTTGCACATTGTAAGCAAAATAAAGGAGTGCAATGGACATCTCCATGTTTCCTGGTTAATTTCTTCTTTATGGAAACAACCAGGGGAGAGTGATGTTCTGCTTCATCTTTTGTATTAATGAAAACCGTGAATATCTAAGTGCGTGTGTTTAAACTAATTTTGTTTTGTTTTTACTGGTACCTTTTTATGTACACATGTTTTACCACCTAAGGAATTAGATGTCTTAAGCCCCCATATGATGTGCTGTTATAAGTTGAATTTAATGTACATTTTGTTTATATTTAGTTCTGCTACCAAAGAGATTGACTTATTGAAATGTTTTTGAAACATTTTAATGAACTCCTCAGCTTTAATGCCTTATTTCTCACTATACAAGCTCATATTGCTATGCCTCCTATTTGTTTGAATATCATCTCTAAACATTATTGCTGGTGCAGAAATTATATGGTAACTATGTTCTATTTTAGGGGGGGAAAGCAATCAATATTACAACAGACAGGGATGGTTATTGATGGGAGAAAGGAGGATGAGAAATAGGAACTGTACCAACTCTCTCATACCTTTGAGGACTTCATGAACTTTTTCAAAAGGCTGCAAGAACTATACCAACAGTGACATGACATTTTGAAATCTGTCAGTTACTTTATAGAGGAGGAACCTCTGACTAAATCATTTTCTCTCAGACACATGAAAGCCGAGTCCACAGATCCTTCCATCAGCGAATAGTTCAAATGTAGTTCAAATGCTTTCCTCGCAAACTTTTCCTTAATGGAGAAGTCAGTGATCTTTACTTGGAACAGATTGAATCTGTGAATATTGATGCTGAAAGCCTGATGAATGTGATTGAACAGCCCCTACTTGATGCTGAAACCCTGATGAATGTGATTGAACACCCACTACTGACTAAGGGCACAAATGTTGGAAACAACGTTTGTTTTGATCAATATAACACTATGGGTGGTGGGAGCAAATTGGAAAAAAAATTAAAAGTATGTTTTTAAAGATAGAAATACTGGTCATGGCTTCCTTTTAGTTTTTGTCCAATGAATTAAAAGTCAACGCAAATGTTAAGTAGTAAAAGAAATGTAAGATCCCTGGTATACATTGTACTTTTAACAATGCTTATGATCAATATCAATAAAATAAAATAAAAGTTATAATATGTAACTTGATATTTGTTAACTTCGCTCGATTTTACTGTGTCCAACATTTGATATTAAATCTTGTGTGATATATGAGAGGGATAGCACACAAGATTGTATCAATGTCAATGAAAGCAATTATTTCTTAAGTTTTCAACCATATTTCTTGAAACTTCATTTCTAAATTTCATACATCAATTGTTCAAGACAGTTTTAAGGTCAATTTCATTCAGTCAAGGTGAAGGCTACAGCTTCACAACCTGTTCATGTACATGTGACAGAGAAATTGTCAGTGCATTCCTAACTAAGTATTCAAACCAAATTTTATAAACCTTGATCCATCATTCTCAACATTAAATCATGCACTACCTGTTTGCATATACACAAGCAACCTCAACTTTCAATAAGTCCTGTTGTCAACATTTGTTGCACAATGCTATCAGTTCTGAAACCAACAATCATGACAACTGTAATAACATAGTATGTGTTCTAGCTGGTACATTTGCAGTACTCTTTTGAAATGTATTTGAAATTAATATGTGCATCTTATTTCAAATGCTAGCCTATGAAGATGATAAAGCTGAACATATGCTATAAAGTTGTTGTTTTCTTTGTGAAGAATTTATGCAATGGAAATAGAGGGAAAATAATGTAACTCTCCTAATCTTGTGTGTGTGTGTGAGTATGTATGTTTATATTTTGTTTATCTTATTCAATATTGAAACATACAACAATGTATCATATTGAATTAGAGTGCTTTTTATATTATTTGTTCATGGGAACACAGATTCAAAATAGTTCCATTTTTCATAAGAAGAGACCTTTTCACTGCAGTGAATATGTAAAACACTTTATTTAAAAGTTTTTCAAAATTATTGAGAGACTTGTAAATTTATGGGTAGCAGTAATCCACTTGCTTATCCACAATTTAGTTTCGGCAAGTAAACATCCTTATAAATATTGTTCTGTAACAATATACACTGACTGATGCAAAATTGAAACTTGAACAAAATTCACACGTATTAAAAAGCATGCCAACCCTGGTCGATGTGCACACTTTACAAGATAACTTGCTTGAATATATATTGATCAATATACAAACTTAGACGATAAGTTCAAAGTTGAGTGAAATCCATGCCTAATTAATTAGCATACTGTACTCTGATTGGTCAATGGTTTTATGCCAAGTAACTTTGTTAGATAAGGCAAGGGTTGATATCTTATTCAACAACAAAGGCAAAGTTCAAAGATGTTCACAATCTGTGCATAATCTATTCAATGGTTTAAAATAATCAGGTATTGGTCAAAGGGGTAAATGCCAGTTTCAGTTTTTAATGTTCTATGAAATACATTGTATGGACAAAGGGAAGCAATTCCAAATTCCTATGCAAATTAATTATCCAAAGGTTTAAAATGATATATTCTAGAGGAAACTTGGTACCACTCTTCTGACAAACCTATAAAGATATACTGTACACACAAGAAGAATAACTTCACAGTGGTACACTTTTACATAAAACTTTGATTCATAACAAATTAACAGTAAATCCTTCTGTACAATATGGTGGGAACTTCGTCTTTATTTTGTTCTCCATTCCAAAAATAATATATATATCTTTTGCCTTAGCTTTCAGTACTTTCAGTACTTTGATTATATGTTTGCTGGCATCATCTTCCATGCACAATTAATATAGCAATTAATTACACACAATACAACTTTGGGCTACTTGATTAGAAATAATCCACCGTGTCCGTAAATTCATATTTTTGCGCAGAAACGAGCATCTCTGTCACGGAGATTCTATACCCACACCTTTTGATTATAAAGCAATGTACTTATCCACTACACGTCCGATCCAGACATATATTATTGTAATACTTTTACTACAACATCTAACGAATACTTCAAAAATATACTTGCAACAAAACATATAAATAATGAAAAGCAAATAACCTAGAATATAGTAACACAATAATACTATCGTTCGTCCCAGCTTTTTTCTTTTATTCTACAGAGATATCGCGTTTTGTAAAACCAGGCCTAAAATTGTAATTAATTGATAAAATGATACTGTAGTATTTCTTTTATAGATTTCCTTTAACTATGTTGTATAAACTTTGATAAATTTTTGTTTTATTTAAAAGCATTTCTCCCGATTCGTCTGTAACTTCAGAATGTCCATCCTCGATACTCCAAAGGTTACGCTTACTTTAGCTCTTTTTGCAGAGAATGAAAGTGAACGTAACCCCTGGAGTATCGAGGATGCAGAATGTCAAACAGTCCCAGAAATTCTAACAGACTCTGAATATTTAACAGCCCCAAGTTTCAGAGAGTGTTATAGAGGTGACGTAAAAATGTGTATCTACGACGTCTGCTGAACTTAAGTCGTCTGCAATAAAAAAAAATAAAAAAAAATAAAATAAAACCAGGATATGACGTTTAGAATAAAAGTAGAACACTTCATACCGGTTTTAACTGATACAGTTGTACCATGTTTCTACCATGTAGTAGAATAGAAATAGCTGTTGTTGTAATCTCTTAAGCAGACCTTTAAAAAAGGATGATATTTAAACGATTATAAAAGTTATTAAGTACCAGCGAAATTTGTTATTCAGAGATTATAAAGAGATTCAGGTGGTTTTTATATGTTTGCTGGCATCATCTTCCATGCACAAATAATATAGCAATTAATTACACACAATACAACTTTGGGCTAGGTGATTTGAAACAATCCACCGTGAATTAAAAAAAAATTGCGCAGAAACGAGCATCTCTGTCACGGGGATTCTATACCCACACTTTTTTGATTATCATATTACTGTAATACTTTTAGCACAACATCTAATGAATACTTAAAAGTTATACTTGCATCTTCATATAAATAATGAAGAGCAAATAACCTAGAATTTAGTAACAAAATAATACTATGTTAGTCATACCCGCTTTTTTCTTTAGCTCTACAGAGGTATCGCGTTATTAGTAGTGCCGTGCAAAGTCTACTAGGATAAATTATGGTTTTATTAAAATATATTTCTCCGGATTCGACAAAGAGGTTATATATAATCGAAGTCCTCGTTTCATGAAACGATATATGGGTATAGAATAACTTGGGTAAGAACTTGTGTGTACACCGCTTGCGTTACAAGGAAACATAAACAAACCATGATTGCACCACGACACGTTATTAACCTATGTTGAAGCCGGAATAGGATGTTAGTATATCTGCAATTGTTGTATTGGTAAGATGTGACAACATGTCGGCAGAATACGTACCCGGTGTTGAGGCAGGTACGGAAGGAGGTAAGATCAGCGGCGACACACAACATAGTCATGATATAGACGTGAAGTACGACGTTGATCACTCAAAGGAACAGATAGGGCGGACCGAAATACTGGACTTCGGGAACGAAGGTTTTCTATTACACAAACTACTCACAGGGGCGGAATGTTCATCCATCATTGACGAGGGAGAGATAATTGGATTTGAAGCAATACGTGGAGCCCGAGATAACTACAGAAGTGCTCAAAGGTAGCTAGGGGGAAATAGTTTCGGAACACAAGCTGCTTCAAACGCCGTAAAAATAAAATGTTCAAATCGAGTTTATTCCAAAATGAATAGATATATTTAAATGTTCTTGACGTCAGGTAAAGATTTATGTATTTATTTTCAACATAGATTTATATTTAGTTATGGGTTTAAACGTGTTGACAATATTTTTATCTCGATTAGCTCAGTGATTGCTCAAGCTGACATATTTATTCTGGTTAGCTTGACGAATTCAATCGACATACTTTTTATCTCTCTTCAAAAACGCCGAAATTCAGGTCCAAAGCTACAACGTACAGTTGTAATGTATTTACAAAAAGAAGTCATGACACGTTACACATAACACAGCTGTGGATTTCGATAAACACTCTTTAAAATAACAAAAACTGTCTCGATATGACCACTGTAAAAATATTTTGAAAAATGATTTTTTTACATATCCTATGTTTTGAGAGCCAAGAGTGAAAACACACCAATGAAAACCCGTCAAAAATCAATTATATTAGTATTCATGAATATCAAATTGAAAAATATGTTGTTTTTTTCTACTTACTACATTTGGTAAGAAATTGATAATGTTTATGAACTTATTTTCTTTACAGAATAAACGTAGAAAGTCAGTCCCTTGCTGACATACTTTGGACCAGGATACAGACATATCTGGAGGACCTAGACATCTCCAGTGATCCACACTCACAACACATACACGGTATTCCGTGTGTAGTCGAGGGCAAATGGGTCCCAACAAGGCTCAACAAGGTACTGAAAGGTCACAGTGTACGGTGCTTTTTCGTTAGCCGGGACACTTAATTTGGTTCATGAAAAAAATTCTAGAATAAAACATACCCCACTTAATACACCTGACTGTGAATCAAGGTATCATAATTGTAAAAAGAACAGATGTGGATGCAACATAAAGGATCGAGTTAGCAGGGTTCATTTATTTCTGTATTATACCATAAATACAAGCGTTAAACTGTAAAACGTCATGTTAATCATTGTTTATCCTTCTGGTAAAGTTAAATGCTTTTTTTATTTAAGTTTTCTGTGAAGTACATAAATCTGTGCAAGCTGAACGCTTTCCTGGTATACACGTACGTTTGATTAGTAGTTATAAAAGTTATTTAAAAGGAATGCCCAACTTTGACCTGTTCATTTCAGTTTCCCTATTTCCTCAAAGGAAATAAAATGAAAACTGAAAAAAAGACGAATCAGAACATACAATAAATCCCATTGACTTCACAGTTTTCGATAATGTGAGTAATGCTCACACTTGTAAAGTCATTTAACTTGTCTCGCCGATTTGTCCCAGAAAGTCTGTAGCCTCAGAATGTCCATCCTCGATACTCCAGAGGTTACGCTCACTTTAGCTCTTTTGCAGAGAACGAAAGTGAACGTAACCCCTGGAGTATCGAGGATGCAGAATGTCAAACAGTCCAAGAAATTCTAATAGACTCTGAATAGTCCAAAGTTTCAGAGAGTGTAATAGAGGTGACGTGAAAAATGTGTATCTACGACGTCCGATGATCTTTAGTCGTCTGCAATAAAAGATCTCGGGAAAATGACGTTTAGAATAGAAGTAGAACTCCTCATTTCATTTTTTATTGATACAGTTGTACCATTAGTCTTACGTTTATTTGGTATACCGATATTTAGGATAACGGTCACTACGGTCATACATACCGTAGTTCGTATCATACATGCTCATTAGATCTATGAACTGATTTGATTGACAGTTGTTCCGTCTCTGTCGGTATCATCCCGGCGGCCACTTTGCTCCTCACTTTGACGGGTTCTACGAGGAGGACTCGAAGAACCGATCCATGAAGACTTTGATGGTCTACCTCAATGGAGATTTCACGGGAGGTAGCACCAACTTTGTGGACGATAGTCAAACACTTCACATGGTAAGGGGCAGTTATTTATTTTATACAGTTTTATTTTTGTCGAAAGAGTGATTGTCGAAAGTTCCATGGCAAGGTAAATCCGTGAAATCAAGCGGAAATGGGGTAGTCAAACGAAAAACATAATGTTATTGCCCTAAGCAATGAAGTACATAATGTAAGGACATCTGATTGCCTGCCTTCTCTTCTAAGACATTGTAGATTCACCAATTTTTAAACAGATTATTGTAATACAATGTTGTTGATATCAAACTATGTGTATGTTGTTTATGGTCTGTTATGTTAGGATGAAACGGGGAAGTATTGTGCGGAGGACAAGAACATCTTATGTCGGATACAGCCAGAGGCAGGGATGGCCATCATCTTCAACCATCATCGCCTACACGAGGGCCAAACACTCGGGTAGGTCTTTTACACCTAAATGGATAATGTTTTAGCTATTGAGGCTTACTTGAAGTATATTTGTCTTTTGAAGCAGTAGAAATTGAAGTTTATATCTCATTTTCGTCGCCCATGTGAAAATGAATGTCTTGAAGGAAATCAATATTCTTAGGTGCCAGCGACATCATTAAACTTAATTATTTGCGTAATGATAGCACTAACAAAGCTGGAACATCAGGAAATGAACCTCTAAAGAAGGGAAAGCGCTAGGGAAGTCGAAGAAACTTTCGTCTTTTGTTTTTTATATACATTGTCAAGGAGTGAACATTAAACTGTAAGAGCCATATTTTGGATTGCAGAGACTGGATAATGTTTTTTTCAACCCAATTTTTTAACTCCAATGAAGAAAGGTGCATGGAACAATGGGATAGATTGACAAGACTGCCGTTAGTCCGAATTATTTTGACGTTTTATCCATTTTTTTCATATCGGTCTGTCGTTATCGACGACAGACCGGTATGAAAAAAGTCGATAAAACGTCAGAATAATTCGGACTAGACTGCCGTCAGTGGGGAATTCTGGTGGTGGTGTTGTCGTGTATTTGTCCATTTGTTTTACTTAAATAACACACCATAATTACTTTTTTCAGGGATAATAAGAAATACATTTTACGAACTGATATAATGTATAAGAAAGTTAGCGAGGACAAAATTGATGAAAAAGAAGAAAGAGCTCTAGCTCTGATAAGGGAAGCTGAGGAGCTTGAGGTAAAGTCACCCTGATTTTTTCCATGAATGCATGTATATATAATCCCGCGTCGTTGAATTTGCCCTCGTGAGTAAGATTTTGTACATATCTTTTATCTCGAAGATTAATATTAAAAAAAAGGATCTACAACTTGTGAAAACTTCCAGTTTTACCGAGTAATTCAAACAACATACCTGCAATATAGTCTTGTTCAAATAACAGTCTCTCGTTGGTGCCACGAGTCTTTGGTAGTATTGTGAAGACAACTAGAGGTTGTCATGAGTATTTTAGGGTTTCTAAGCAATATTGAAGTCCGGTATTTGCAAAAATGAAATCAAACATACCATACACAGAGTTATCTCCCCTTATTTCGTTGTCGCTGTAATATATATATAGCTAAGGAAATATTGTCATATATAAAAGTTGTTTTTATTTTCATTTAGGCAATGGGAGAATGTGAGAAAGCCGCCATGTTTTTGAGGAAAGCCTTTAAATTATCGCCCACCATTGAAGATTCTTACTGGGCATAAATGTAAAGTTAAACAGACTGTTTTACTGCAAACTTGTTGTTTTTTTCCGAGATTCCTACATGTTTCTTAGCAATGTTTTATTTCTCATTCATAAGATGTTGATGTGAAAAGGTAAATGATGTTCTAAATATAGAACATCCGAAGTCCTTGTGATAGTTAAATATCAAAGAGACATCACAAAGAGTTCTTAGTAATACACTTACCTGAAGACTAAATCTCGCTTTCGCCTATATTGGGTCCCAAAGATGGGCGAAAGTGCTAAATCTCTGATCGCATGAAGAGCCACAGGATGGGCGAAAGTGCTAGCGAGATTTAGTCTCCGGTGTTTTGTTTTATTTCTATTTCTACGATCACATGGACGTTTAACAATTTTCACCACCATGTGTGTGTGTGATTAATGACTTATAACTCTGTGACGTATAAAAGTTGTAGGACAGACAGTTGTGTATTTTCCCCCTGGGTAATGTAGTGTACAATATGTTATATACATAGGTGGAAGATGTGTCACTAGATAGATAATGTATGGCTAGATACATTTTCTTGTCATAAGACATGTAATGAAGGGCAAGATAGGTGTTATTTTCTAAATGCTGTCTCGTATATCATATTGCATACACGATTCTTTTTAGGTAAGGACTGTCTCCATCACCTCGTCTCGGGACTGATCTGTGATCATGTGTTTTATAATTATTTTCTTGAAGAATATCAATGCAATGGTGATATGTAACACTGACTTTACAACTGGACTATATATATTTCTATCTATTATTGTTTTATATATATACACTTACGTATGCTTCATGAGAAACTTTAGCCATGTAAATATCATAGTTAATCAAAGATGGATTTTTTTTGATTTTCGACAATATTTCGTTTTTTTAAAAGATGCAAAGTACTTAGTTTGTTTCTCTTATACCAAAGAAGTCCTTCTGATCTCCTAGAATCCTTGGATATTGGTTAGTTACTGCCCGTAGTGATAACATTATCATACTGTAAATATGTTGTATACGTTGCCAATACATTTTAAAAAGTAACTGCATCAATGGACGATATTCAAAAATACGAAAAGTAAGCGTACGTTTTAACAGCAGTGTTAGTATGTGATAATGGGAAAAGGTTTGACGGTGATGACGGAACAATACAAAAGTATCAAAACTAAATTTTGAATTTGTTTTTTATTTTCGATGAAAAACGTCACTGCACCCATTTCTGAAACACATGCACGCATACCAAGAACTAAGTAATGTCCACAAGCGTTTAGCGATGACAATGGATTTGAAAACAACGATAATGACTTGTTTTGAACTGGTAATGCACATGTTGATGCCAGCAACAATTCTAATGATTTATAGGGAAAATGCCGTAAATCCTGATGAATAGACATGTTGAAATATACGGAAGGCACTTATAAAAATGAGTGAAGTATTTATCAAAAGAATTAAATTTAAAAAATAACCATACTATATAGTTTGTTTCCACATTGTGGTTATTAATGTGTACAACGACTTTCTCATACTGTGGAAAGTCGAAATTCAATAAACCGCCCCAGGTTAATGTACCTTGGTATTTTCTTTGCCTTTGGACGAGATTGTTACAGTCTACCAAGCAGTTAAAATGGATGCTATCAAGCTTGAACGTAGTCTTGTGACATATTTATGATATTCCCGGAATATTTTGCCCTATATGCTGATTTTAGCCAACACAGGGAATTCATTTGGTGCTATACTCCTACTTTTAACGGCGACACCAAGAATCAACGATCACTGTTTAAGCCTTTCCTTGAAATGCTTTAGATAATCTCGATTTAAGTTTCAAAAAGGAAAATTCTTGATTTGACTACACTTGACAGCATTATGGAGAACCACTCATCCGCGAATATTGCGAAATAGAAGAAAATAACCACACAGGCTTTCTTTCGAAACAATATTGTTACACCGTTGGACTCTCCAGAAGAGCTTGGCTTCATTGGGAAACACGTTGTTACATTGTTTAATCATCCAGTAGAAACGGTTTCCTCCTAGAAATACCATTTTTGGACCGTCTATAATTATAAGAGATTAACTCTGTTCGGAAACAACATTTCGTTATATGGTCTAGCCTTCTATTTTCATTTGTAATCACTTCGTTACACTGTGGTACCATCCAGAAGAGACTGCTGCCATTTGGAATTCACATTTCGTGACACTGTTAGACCATCCACGAGAGACTGGAGCCATTTGCAAGCAAGACTATCCTGCGTATGCTCATTACACGTGAACAGATCACGACATAGTTTTACATGGAAAATATAGATACAAAATACACTGTAATCACTTAATTTTATATCTCTGTCTAAAATCTCAACTTTTCGTTGCCTCTCACAACTTGCATACTTCCTCTATGAGGGCGATATTTCCACAAAGGAATCCAAAAAGAACGCACTTTGTCCTCGAGAAATACATATTGCAATGCCCTTGTAAAAAATACACAAAGAGTTGGCAATTCATGTTTTATGTAACTGTGTTTTGCATAGAACTTCCTCGCAAGGTCAACACAATAAATACAACGTACTTCCGTCGTTCGTAGATTCGAATCAAAGGAGGAATCAGCAATGTTGCATTTTCCCCGTCAAACTGTTTAAACGATGGAAGGCGATACAAATCCAACGCATATAATTAAATTGGGAAGTTATCCTTCTTCAAATTGTAATAATATGTATCGAAGAAATGGTATAGGTAGTCGAAAGTAGGCCTCTTCCCAGCCTTAGCGTCCCATGTACGCATCATTATGTTGTACACCGGTTGGGGGCAGTTCCTTGGAATTGGCATTCTGTAGCCTTTCTGGATCTTCTTGAGAATCTGATCACTTCGTATACCTTTTATAAAACAGCATTAAAAGATAATTTAACTACTTAAACAAAATGAATTTGTTCATCGGCACTTTGTTTAAATATAACCATGTTTGGAAACGTATGTTAGTATATATCTGAAATTTACTGACAAACAATTGAGACATTTTACCATTTGATCATACCAATTAGTAGTACCAGAGTTCCATTCATTCTTGCTTTGGAGGTTTATTATTTGATCTATAAACTCGAGATGAACAATCGTTAAGTTATTAAGATATTGACCATGGGGACCGAACCAAAAAGCCACATACCGGCGTAAGGTATCTGTCCATAGGTGATTATCTCCATCAGTAAGATCCCGTATGACCATACATCAGATTTCATCGTAAACCGGCCAAAGAATGCCGCCTCGGGCGCCGTCCATTTTATAGGGAAAATGTTTCCTGTAATGGAAAGTTATTGCAAATAAAAATCATATCTGCTCGTAATTTAGTGAGAATAAAGATCTGAAAGTGACATGAAAGGAACCTTGTTTTCCTCGAATCGGCTTTAAAGTCATTCGTGTTATCGTCGTCTTCATTTATTTAGGCCCCATTGGTTATTAATCAAATGCATTCTGACTGTTCCTAAATACGAGCATACACCTGGACTATTTTCCCTTTCTCATGTGAAATCAGTGAAGAACTTACCCAGCATGTTCGTGTTCGGATTTTGGTAATCGTAGCCCTCGATGATTTTAGCCAATCCAAAATCGGCTACTTTAGCTATATTTCCATCACCGATTAGGATGTTTCGAGCCGCCAGGTCTCTATGAATAAACCGCTTTGTTTCCAGATAAGCCATTCCACTGGCGACCTTATCGTAATAGAAATTGAAAGAAAACGATAAATATGAACAATAACTTTCATTGCTATAGATGTTGTATCAATAAAGCCATTTTGGGCTCTCACTGATTTTGTAGAAGTTAAGTCCTTGTTGTAACATAATCCAAATATGTAATTTTAATATATTGCATATCTTAACACAATATTTTGCAGATTTCCCCCTGTATCGCCTTTGCATGAATACTTTGGAATAGAGCAAAAATATGCGCTTTGTCCTTATAGTCTTTAGATAAAAATATATAAGTTAAGATACTAAAATGGGAGATGAAAACATTTAAGTCAAAAGGCAGTCTAGAATAAACACACTATTACATAAGTTAAGATACTGAAATGGGGGATGAAAACATTTAAGTCAAAAGGCAGTCTAGAATAAACACACTGTTACATAAGTTAAGATATTAAAATGGGGCATGACAACATTTAAGTCGAAGGACAGTCTAGGATTAGCACACTACAACGTTTACCAAGAATGTCTTTAACGTGCAATCAACCCTAAACATGAAAACAAGCAAAAAGGTCTTACGTTGACCTTTTATACAGATCCTTTTATTCGGATAAGCAGATTTAAAATTATAAGCAAATAAGAATTTTGAATTTCAGAGTCTCAGAGGGCCCACTTTATTACAAAAGATACCACATATCTATGTCTCAAACGTTTCAGCATGCTTATTGTTTTTAGGAGTAATAATTCAAGTACGTTACCTGTGCTGCTATATCTATCAGATTTGGTAGCTTAAGTTTTCTTCCTTCCCTACTTTTAAGAAATTTTGCGAGACTGCCTTTCGTCACATATTCTGTAATAATGTAAATTGGCTCATCTTGTGAACAGACGGCGTATAGGCGCACTAGATTGGTATGTGTTAACTGGCGCATAATGTGCGCCTCCGTCATAAATGACTGAGGCGACATGGAACCCGGTCGTAGCGTTTTCACGGCAATAAACGTATTTTTGTTCCAAGTTCCTGCAATTAACAACACAAAAATTTGTTAATCTTGTACGTCTATAGACGTCAAGTTCAATTTCATTAAGTTGTTAATTTTTAAGGTGATAAGTCATGAAAGAAAACTAAACGGAAATATTATTTCAATATTCATCCAAGAAAAGTAACCGTAAATGTGTCTCAATAAACCGAATAACATGCATAAAAGAGTTAAATATTTTTCTTTCTTTCAATACCAAATACTTAATCTAAATAAGAATACTCTACGACAACACTGGGAAACTACTTTGCAAAAGACGGAAACGTCATTCCCCCAATTATATAAAACACTGGTGTATGCATAAAAATTGGATGATGAACAAAACACGTTGTTAATAACTGTAAATATATCGCAATAAATGGCTGTGCTGTTATTAAACCTTTATAAACATTTCCCTTTTATCATCCAACAATAAATGTCTGTACAGTACACGCAAAATTATATTGATATATTATGACGTCATGGTAATAATACTGTACCTTTCCAGACGGTCCCAAAGTGTCCTTGACCGACCTCCACGATGAAATCTATTGTTTTCCTGTCAAGCTCCCAATCTTTTTGCGTTTCACGTGACATATCATACAATATTGGCTGTGGAATGGGACAGGGCGCTGTGAGGGTGTGACACAGGATACCCTTGTCGTCTGCAATAAAAAAATCAAAAGACAGTTAAATCGTGAAAATTGTTGCAGTAAATGTCTTAATTTTCCGATCTTTGATATTTTTCTTCCAAAAACATGTTTCAGAATATCTATATTTGTGAAATTAAACCACATGAGATTACCTTAGAAAGATGTTTCTTTCGGGTTGAAATTGACAGGAAAATAAAATATCTCACTAATAATACTAGTAAGTAAAACACATTATTAAAGGAATGCATGTAACTCTCGTTGTTTTCATTATAAATTGCAATGTTGCAATTTCCAACAAACATCACTTTTCTATATATAAATGGATACATTTTGGCGAAATAAATCATTAACTCTCCTGGTGTGGTAATGAAAGAATTGTATTCCACGCAAAGTCATATATCGACAGTATTTGTGAGTGTTGATGGAATACTGCACACCAAACTTAAATATTCGTCCTTCATCCAATAAATCCATATGTTAAACCCGTGTTAATTTCACCATTTATATGTAAATACTATATATGGTGTGTTGTGTTCAAATAGGAAAAACTGCAGCGCAATTTCCTCGATATAAAGTAATTCCGTCTTTGCATATTGCAGAATTATCTTCTCTTGTGAGCAGGTATTGATTGTTACGTCGTTGGTTTGTGTGAGAAAATTACGTCGGTTTCTCAAAAATTGATGACGTTACTCTCACAAACCAATGACGTGACTATCAAAACCTGCTCACAAGAGCAGATAACTCTGCAATACGAAAAGACGGAATAGCCTCTTCCGATGCAGCAGCTGAAATATCAATACATGACACAGCTCTTAACTTGTGTTCCAATTCCATGAAGCGGGGGAAATATTGTAGCCAAAAATGGCGATATTGAAACGAATCAAGTTACATTCATTTCAAAATATAATTGCAATTCTAATAATTGTTCATAAGCTTCAGATACATCGACTACTTAATGAATTGGCTTCTTTAATTCATATTTATAATATCATGTACATGTACATGTGTTGCCACCTGTGTGTAATTTATATTAGGCTGTTATAAAATTAAGTGATTTCAAATTCGATGATGTTTGATATACCGATGTTTTTTGCGGCTGGGTTACGTGCCTATTATCGTGTGTCTAATGCAGTGGATATCTAGATTACAGTCTTGTCAATGCAGTGGAATGAATTCAATCATAAATTGGGGTGCTCAGTACATTGACGTCTGGTGATCTTCAAGTGCGTCTGTCATATCGTAAAGGAAAATTATATCCTGCCCCCGCTAAACAGAAGACAATTTTATTCAAAAGTGACGACATACCCATGTAATGCAGCACCAGTTGAGGGAGGCTCTCGAAGGAACGCTGGAGGGTGAGGTAAAAGACTACCGATCCGTTTTCGATTGTCTCCTTCACACGATAGTGTTTAACAGACTCATTGTTGTTGTCCTGGTTGTATCTCATCGACAGCATGTAGCCCTCTGGCGGATAAAAAATAACACCATTAAAGTGTTTATAATAAAACACCTTATCAGCGAGTAGACTGAATTCAATGAAAGATCAAATTCGTTTATAAAAGACACTTGTTTGTATAGAACATAAACATACGAAAAGCAAAATATTAAAAGGGAGTATTTGCTTTTGTGAGAAAAAGAGCGCCACTTTTTACAATAAAAATAATAATATTTAAGTGATGTGTTGATGTAACAAAATAAAGATGGGAACCCGAATTGAAAGCAATCAAAGAAAATTAGCTACGTTTGAAATAAGGTTTGCAACATTTTGCGTTAAAACGATATTAAGGTAATAGGTTTGTGTCACCATTGTGATACTGTCTCCCTACATTGGATTTTCAACTAGAGATGTACTTTCTATTTCCGTTTATCAATACACTCATTCGACCTTAAGAATTACAACCATAATGTGTCTACCAAAATGAATATAAATAATTTGTATGCATATTGGAACTGTTGACATTTAATAATGAATTACAGGTCATACTTTCTAACTCCCTTATCATGTTAATACTTTCTAACTCCCTTAGTTTAGTTTAGTTTTTAGTTTAAACCACATTCAATTCATATCAATAAACATGTACAATTACAGAACTCCCTTCTCACGTCAAAACTTTCTAACTCCCTTCTTATGTTAATACTTAATAACTAGATACATAATTAATTACTCCCTTCTAAGATTTATAATTACTAACTCCCTTCTCAGATTTATAATTACTAACTCCCTTCTCAGATTTAAAATACTAACTCCCTTCTGAGGTTTATACTTACTAACTCCCTTCTCAGATTTATGATTACTAACTCCCTTCTCAGATTTATGATTACTACCTAACTCCCTTCTGAGGTATATACTTACTAACTCCCTTCTCAGATTTATACTTACTAACTACCTTCTGAGGTTTATACTTACTAACTCCCTTCTCCGGTTTCCGTATAAGAAACGTTCCTGTTACAAGTCGTGGACGCATCAGCAGTCGTTCACTCTCTCGTAAAGAAATCTCGCCACCGTACCACCTTAACATAAAATGGCCACAAATAACTATAGAGAACAGAAGTTAGTATAGGGCAATCATTATTAATGTAGTTAACACAGCGCTCAATTGATTAAGAAAATTGTTACAACAGGCACTTTTTCTTGCAGTAAAGCATTCTGATAATCTACTTTTGGTTGCTTGGGAGATCACACGTATTAGTAGGAGATAGTTTTTGCATCTTATTGCAGCTATTTTCAATTTAACCTCACTCGTTTTCATCGACAATCTACCATAAGCGATAACTTTGTGGAATTCACGAACGTGATCTCTATATAATGGCTTGGCTGTGTCTGAAAACCTGGTGATTTCCGAATGCTTACTTCTACGTTGCATAGACTTACGGGTAAATGTTCATGGTGCCCTCCCTTGCCACATAGGCAGAGGGTATATAGCCCTGCCGGGTCCCATGTTTCTGTTTGGCTACCCACCAGTCCGCCTCGTTACTGCAAAGCAAAATTGACAATTAATTATTTAATACGCCGGTAAGTCAATGATACTGGTCAGGGAGTAGTATGTTTTCGAGACAGGCTGATTGGAACCCTTTGTGTATTGGTCCGAGAGGAAACTCGGGCTATCAAGCCCTGGTTACTCAAATTTTGGTTAGCGTTTACCAATGGTTAAGGGGAAATTTCAAGCAAAATCAAGAACAGCCTTTATAATTTCACTGCTATAAGCTAGTTCAAACAAATAAGGTTGGTGTGTTTTGAGGATTTTTTTTTATTTGAGAGTTCTTGCTTCTTATTGACAATATTTAGAATAATGTTTTTACTAACAACTGGTTAAAGTTATTCGCCCTTTAACTATCTGGGGTTAAGGCCGTATTTAATACGCGGGCTCATCCTACCACAAAAATGGTGAAAATAACGGTTATGATGAATGGAACAGAACATTACGTACGCGTCTACAAGTAGGAGGACCTCGCCCCTCCTAATCGCCATGTCCCCCTTCATTCGGGCCTCGTAGTCGTGTAGGACCAGAAGGTGGCTGTCACGTACTATCACAAAAATCAAAATATATAATGTTCAAGTGTTTGTATGAAGGAGGTTGATGTGGTGTTCTCAATGTTTTAAAAAAATTGAGTGGGGGGATTCTTTTCATGAAACCGTGCCCATGCTTAAGCGTGGATTTTGTGCTCAAACCAACTTTCTTGTAACATACAGTGAAATGTGAACATTGAAAACAGTTTTTATCTTAAAGTTTCTTCAATTTGTTTCCAAATTAATGGCAATATCAGATTTTCTTATTATTTTATATTCAGCATGAGAACGGTTTCATGAATACGGGCCTTGATGGTTTTTGGTTTGGGAATACATGTAGAATATATATCATATAAAAACCGACAAAAAATTAAATTGGTAAAAATTACGAAAAGAAAAAACAGTAACAGTGAATGTACAATAGAACCTTGTAAGTATATAACAGTTCATTAAACTATTACCAAAGTCTCGTTTTATTACATCAAAGTCTCGTCTAATGACACCACTTGTAATATTACCTGGCCCATTGTACTTTTCTGTTCGTTGTGATTTCATAGGTACTGCGTCAGTCCTATTCGTCACGGCAGTCTTCACACTGGATACCGAATTGGGCATACTCGCTATGAAATACAAAAATGTCATATATCTGTTTTGTCTTTCATTTTCGTTAAGCACGAAAAACGAGAGAATTCCTTTTCATGTTTGAAAACAACAAAAGCAGTTATCTGTATGGTGTTTGGAAAAATTTGAAATCTCAGTTAGTTTTCAATTATTGAGATTTTTATGATTTGCAAGTTCTGGTCAAAACTCAATGCTGGAAACATTGTTGAATGCAAAAAATACATGAAAACAGGTGTTTGTTTCTTATGAGAATTTTACCTGCAATTGGTCTAGACTTTTTTGGTGGTTTTGACTTATTCAATTTTGGCAGTTTTATTTCTGAAAGAAAGGAAAGAAAGATAGGCAATTTATTTCAGACAGATATTAATACATAAAACAATAAAGCTATACTTTGTATTACATCTCACACATCTTTTGAAAACTTGTATAAAATACAATATAATATAAGACGTGTGAATATCATAATTTATAATGTGTTTTGGTAAGCAGATCATCGTGAAANCCAAAAAAAGTAAAAAATAAAAAAAGGTTTACACTAGTAACTCTAGTTCTAAAGTTAGCTGTGGTATATATGGCCAGACCTGGTGAGCCGGTTGATATATCAGGTCCCTTGGGGGCTGGCGCTTTTTGTGTCGGTGGTCCCTCGCCGGGTTTCTTCCGTTTGGTTGTGGTGACTACTTTAGTTGAGCGGTCTGTAACTTTGAGCAATAACACGATTATTAAATATTGATTGATTGATTGAGTAACACGATGAGATCCATTGCTTGATTTCACGTGTTTCAGGGTTTTGCAATTGCGCTTCAGGATTTTTGTTTTAGCATTAAAATATTTCAAGCAAAACAGTCTTTCGTAATTTATTCATACGTGTTTGCTACGCGGAACTTGAACACAATATTACTGAAGCACATTTACATATTTATATTTCTAAGTTGTCGTAATAGTTTTGAATTTTCTTCGTGATAGTATCCATACATAGAAAATCATTTTATCAGTAATCAACAGAAAATACGAAGGTACAGCTTGTCAGAATGGTAAGCGTGTAGATTCGTATTTCTTTGATCACAAGAATATCACCGGAGCCTTTTTAGATTACTATAGCCTTAAAAAATACACCACTAGTGCATGTTTATACTGATCAGTTTATGTATAGTCATTGAAAAACACAGTTGTTGTATTACATTCTCCATTCAAATATTTAAATGAGCAAATCCTTCCGTACTCTAATCCATCTTAATATTTATCCATTACAATACTACCTGGTTTGTCGCCGGAAGTTTCTAAAGGTGCGGGTCTCTTGTCGTTAGTGTTTGGGGCATCTTCAAAGACGAGTAAGTTCCCTTCCGTGTAGACGTCCTCGCGTGGTGTTTCGGCAGGCTTTGTTACTTTCTTAGGTTTCTTTGTAGCCTGTACCTTAGATGGTGGACTGATTTTGGCCACTATTACTTTTTTCTTATGAGTGTTGGTGTCTAAAACGAATTATTGTTCAAGGTAAATCACTTTGGATTTTTAAAGTGTTCATTTTTCTATACCAAACAGGTAAACAATTCTACTGCAAATTTGTTGTTTGTGTCCCCCTTTTTCTCTCTCTACATTACATAATACACTTCCAAATTTTGTCCCGTGACAAAAAGGTATATTGCAAAATTGTCTTTGGCGTATTAGGGAAGTTCGTTATTTTTTCAAAAAATAAACGTAAATATAATGTGAAGTGCTGAAGAGGTTGCACTTTTTCTTCAGTCGATCTTATACCTGATCCTTCATGAAGAAATGCAATATCTATATGAACACTTACTTCCAATCCATCCTTTTCTCTGTAATGGGAGATAACCGTGTAAACACTACATTAACAGATACGTATGATCTGTGGATAGCGTAACGCTAAGACTTGCCTGTTTGGATTTCGGCGATGTAACCAACAGGGGACTGCCTATTGCTGGGTACATTGTAATCCTCCTCGGGAAACACAATCTGTTTCTGGGGCTTCCCCACCTTGCTGGTCGTGGTTTTGACCTTGACTTTGCCAGCCCCTCCAGGTTTTGTCTTGTCCATATTTACTGTGTATAAACTACAAACCTACAAGAATATAAGATTGTCTTTTCAACATGATGCCTGCAATTTTCACAGGACTGTGTACGACTGTTTCACTATAAAACACAAAATTAACATAGAAATATTCGCACTTCTCCTAAAATTGTTTAACATTAGTGCAATTAATTACAAATATCTTCAATTGAAGATATGTATAGAACAGTTTAACCATATTATAAGTAAATTGTATTGAACATTAATGTGAATGAGTTGTACATTTCTCTTCGATTGAATTGTAAATAATTATCTTCGAATAAGGCGAAATCGACATTTCATCATTTGAATAGAACCTACGTTAAAATGAATAAATCTTCATTTAATTGAAGATTTCTTCAACTCAGTTGAAGATAGATTTATTTTTTCTTAATCATTTACTGAATGGAAAAAAAATGTTATTTAATGATAACTATTTGATTATCTGATGGCTTGGAGTTTCAAACATCACAATTGTTCGATACAGTGATAACATTTCAGTGTTCTCTGTTTTTATCAGCAATTCACATTAAAACATATTGTCGGATAAGAAGAAGAAAAGTACTACCTTATATTATCTCTTAATAACATTACACAATGGCGTCTTTTTAATATCTATTCGTAGCTTGAGGTTTTTGAAAAACCACACATATTTAGGGTAGTACGACGATGGGTATCAAGCAAGGCGTTGAACAAGGGATAGCAATGTCACCCTCAACATCTTCATACTACGAACAGTGAACGGGAACAAGAAGGGAATAAAATGTACACTTTTATTTTGCACAAAACATCGGCAAAGTTATGGTTTCAATTTAAAACTAAATTTAGTTGCCTTATAGACATTTTTTCGGTTAGTATTTCAACAAAATCCCGACTTAGACGGTATCGGGAAATACTGTTTGTGCAAACGAAACATTGATTTGTTTCTTTTCCTGGTCTTTGTATCTATTTTGCTTCAGTTACAGTACTATATATGTTAATAGTTGGTTATGTTTACAGTCTCGGTGTCTAGACATGTATTACGGAACTAAAAAGGTTATATTATCTATGACATCAACACGCCTATTTATAATCAATATTGCACATCTGCCAATTTTGTTCATATCAAGTTCAAGTTCTTTATTACTTTAAGTCTTTCGACTCATAAATTACAAGTTACAAAAGTGCAATATTTGCAGTGCAAAATACAAAATAACATTTCACAACATTACACACACAATTACAAATAGAAACAGTATCATATGTTTGGAGAGTGCAACAAAGCTATTTATAATGATTCAGTTCTTCTCGAATGAGCAAATTTTACATATTTCCCTAAATTCATTATTTAGTTTAAACCATATTTTATTCATGTCAATAAACATGTACAATTACATAGACATTTCATTCTGATGATTCGGAAACATGTACTTTTTGTGCTTGTACATATTCCTTCTCATCGTTTATAACAAGCTTAGCTGATAGTACGTGTATAACTTTGCAGTGATAGCCTAAATATGTACATAAGAAACTGTTAAGAGAAAAAGATAGAACATGATATTAGGAATAAAGAAAGTAACTGATGGAGTTTTACCCGGTTGGATGGGTAGTTCAGTTTACATGATAACTTATTATAGTTAAGTTCTAATTGCTTGTAAATCTTCTGGTTGATTTGATAAAATTTTGAGTAGCTATCAAAATGTTACATTTTGATCATACATTTTTGATACATGACAAAAAAGTAATAAATCAACACTTAGTCTGGTATGATATATTTGATATTGTCTCGATCCTACATAAAAATATTCAGGGGGCGTCCCCTAGAGTTTTGGTCGAGATAGGTTTTGAAGTTGAGCGACGAAGGAATAAAACGAATCACCTCAGGAATATTATTCCAAAGAGAATAGGTAGGAAATACTTACGATAAAACTCAGTAGTGCATCTGATACCTGTAAGATCGTTACCATGCCTTGTGCTGTACTTATGCATTTCAGACATGCTAGGAGGTACAAGCTTGGAAAGATAATCAGGAGTGAGACGATGAAACATTTTAAAAAATTGTTTCCTTCTTTCACTTAAGGTTGCCTATCCGGTTTCTGTATACCTCTTACTTAGGTTTGTAAGTTTTGTAGCACCACATACTAATCTCGCTGCCTTCTGGTTAATTTTCTCAAACTGATTTTCATATTCAATAGTTAGATTGTCCCAGACGACGTCAGCATATTCCAAAACAGGTCTTATAAAAGTAAAATATAATATTTTTAAACTTTTTCTATCAAGGGTAAAACGTATTTTCCGTAAAAGGTTTAGTTTAATCGTCACCTTGTTGATGATATGTCATCAACATGCATAGACCAACTACAATCTTCAAACAGTGTAACACCTAAATGTTTGTGGCATTTCGTATTTTCTATTGGAACATTATTAAGATATAGGAAAGGTTGATTGGGGGAGACTCTTTTCCTTGATATAATAATACTCTTAGGTTTTTTTTGTGGATTGAAATCCACTAGCCAAAGTTTAGCCCAAATAATGATTTTTTCTGAGTCATTATTTAGTTGTTCAGCTGCCAAAAAGGGCGTATCAACTATAATATAAATTAAGGTGTCGTCAGCAATTACAAATAGAAACAGTACCATATTTTTGGAGAGTGCAACTAAGCTATTTATAATAATTCGGTTCTTCTCGAATTTGCAAATTTTATATATTTTCCTAAGTTCGTTATTTCTTTTGTATTTTTCACACTCAGTCCTATCAATTTAAACATGCTTGGCTTTTTAATGTAATAAGTTTTCAAAAAGTTTGCTCGCAAATGATAATAACATGCGCATTAAAGAAAACAAAATGAAACTCGTCTTCAACAGCATCTGAATTACATAAATTACACACTCGACGATTACACTCAATGTTTTGATATCGCCCTTTTTCTACTTTAAAGTTATGAGAAGATAATCTAATTTTTGTAATTTCTTTCGGATATTCTGTTGGTATGGGTTTACGCATGTCACGTTGTTCCCATTACAGTAGTTCTAGTTTTATCTTTCCGCAAGAACTAGGACCTTGTTTGTTGAGCAACAATTATGAAACCTATATTTACCATAAATCCTATATAATATCGATTGTATTTATTTAGCAATAAGCCCGAGGGGAAGGGGGCAAACATATGAACTCTGACTCAAAAGAAGGCGGGGCTTGTTTTTAAACATACCGAACTATATTTCGCATGAGTGGACTCATTACCAGCCATGGGCTTATTGACGGATACACATGGTTCTTCAATGTTAATAGCATAACTTTATTATCAGCGGAACTTTTTTAAATCGTGTACGTTATATCGCTTTTTTGAATTTGCGATATACGTTTACTATATCACCACCCGTTGTATCCCCCCCCCCCCCCCCCCATATTATTTGAACTACTCTGCAATGCTCATTTTGTGTAGAACTGTTATCTTTTACAAGTTGTCAGTGACGTTGACTGTTGTGTAAAAACGTACAGGTAGTAAAAGGGGTAACACACATGAAGTTGGTTAGAAATGCCCACTTACAAAGATTTTTTCAGCAAAATTTATTTTTAAAATTCTTAAATTACCAACGTTGAATATTCCCACAAACAACCTTTCCCTATACCTTTCAAGCTCAGTATTTTGCTGAAATACGAATCAAAATATAACATAAAGGCAAATATGTTCTTAATGAGAATACTTAGTTTCTAAAGCTAAGTAGTATACAGTGGTTACAGCAGGTCAGTGTTAGTATCCTCAATGATCCACCCAAAGCAGAAATCAAAGAAGAAATGTCTGGAATACAGGGCTCAACATTACGCCTGTCCCGTCAAACTTATCGGACAAATTACGACATCTTTGGAGGGCTTCTTTTAGAGAAAATGGATGTTCTAAATAATTATAAATATCTGTTTCCCTTTTCGATACCGACGGATACTTCTGCATGTGTACACGACATCCATCATCCGATGAGTTGAGTAGGCGAAGGGTACTAATGTTTGTGGTTTATTTTCAGAGTTGATAAATTTCACAAATTACTTTAATTATTTTCCGATCCATTTTCGCGGAAACATGTGTTATTTTGTAAAGCAGTGCGTTAATTACAATCAGTGTGTTCATTTTTTTTAAAGTATATCTCTCCTTTAGGAGAACAAACATTCTCGGATGAGCAGCTGAGGATGTATGTGAGTACGCTGTGGTCTGATTGTTATGGATCAGTATTTCCAACAGCCCACTTATTATGCGATATCTACCTGAATAATACAACAAGGAAAAACCTTAAAACTCAAACTGAACAATATTACAACCCTCTATTAGTAATGTCATATAAAAGGGAAACCGGTTGTTTTGACGAATTGAGTTGGGGGGTTTTAATTGCAAACTATGCGAAAATAAATTATATCCAAAATTAACGTTATGTGCAGTACATATATAAATTGGCAAACGTTTAAATTAAATTTTTCCCGTGATCATTTAATATAATTTTATTTCATTCTGTGAACCAAGAGGGTAAATCAGACATATGTGATAATGTACTAGGTGAACCGTATATATACATATCAATAAAAAGTTTATCCGACCGTATCCAATACACATTAACATGTATATATATGTGTGTGGATAGGTGTCAGAAATATATTAGTAAGAAAATATCGATTATTACTCTTATACTTAAAATCGTTACAATCAGTAACATATTGCTATGACTCTCCGTACGCTTATCGATCTTACCTCTTGTCATTGTTCATTCAGTTATTCCTTTTGATATTGTTTCATCGAATCAGTTGATATTTCATAACTTCCACATCCTTCCTAAACTATCAAAGTTCACAATCCGATGACCTAAGTAACAGTACCGTACATCACAAAAACACATCTTTAAAACTTCATAATAAAATTAATTTGAAATGAAATGAAACGCTTCACATCGTTATTAAAACCCATGGTCAAATGTCGCCATGTTACCAAGATATGTATGAATTAAAGTGTTATGCTACGCCTCCGTACCATACTCCTCTCAGTTACATAATAACTATTTTGAATTTTTCCCACATACGAAACACATTTTAATTTCGACGTCAAAGTTAAGTTTTCCGTTGAGTTTTTAAACTTTCTGATTTTGAAAGTTAATATACTTCAGTCCAATACGTTCCAAAGCCGGACATTTTTCACAGAACAAACACCGGCTATATTCCCACGCAAAAACTGCTAGTCTGATTCCTCCTCGAATCTTTATAAAACACAAATATTTTAGCAATAAATATTTAGAGATGAATGGTACCCAGATTGTCAATATTAATATTTCCCAATGTTCAACGTTTTTCACAGATATCGTAACATAAACACACCACAGTTTACCGTAACCCTGTAGGCTAGTATATCATACCAACCATACATATTTATATTGTGTTATATACACGGTCTCTACTAAAACACATCAAATGGTATTTAATTGAATGCGACCCTTTGCTTTGATAAGCCACCATACAGTGTATGTAGCCATGCTCAGTTGATTAGAAAGATGGCCCGATAAAAGGGTCTTTATGCGAGTACGTGTATGTCCTCGGTCTCCACCACACCGGGTAACATATAACAATGGACAGCTTACACACATAGACCTGTAATGAGCAAACGTTTTCAAAACTTTATATTTCAAAAGGTTCAAAATGTTTGAAACTTTCGTAGAATATCATGTATTTATTCTTTTAAACTATAATCAACAAATCTTGTTTTTTTCTACTGTCAAAAAAGAAATATGTGGTTTAAAAAAGACGTTTTAGTGTGTTTCTATTTTAAGAACGAAGATAAGCTGAAATAATACTTGTAAATTCAATGGTATCAAGTGGTATATTAGGTATTGGGGTACGTGCCTGATGTTTGATAGAATCTAATTAGGCAGGCCTATTGTGTGACGTACTACACAACGGCGTTGTCAAATGCATGTATACATAAATGTATGTACATATGTACAGTGGAACCTCATTAAACCGGACAACTTGGTTTGTCTCCCGAATGTACGGACTAAAAGAAACACACATACAAACGCACATGATATGGTAGACGTGTATTTCTTGTACTGATAAAAGTAAAGAACGGTATCACGTGCGCTCACGTGCGGTAGGTACCCTGGTTTGCTAAGATCTTATAAGGACGAGGTACACAGACGTTGTGTCCACTCAATGACCACTTTATAGTTCCATCTCATTGAAATGTTTTACCTTAGATACGGTAGTGTGATACGTCAACCGCTTAGAGAAAGACAACCGTAGGTAGGTCTGGTACGTATGGCAATATTTACTTCTTCTTCTTCTCTTCTTCTTCTTCCACATAATTGCCTCCTTCGTCTTATCGAAGATTATGCAATGTTTATGATACACAATGCGCAGGTGAACACACAATTAAAAGGTTTAGATTGTAAAAGTTAAAAAGTAAAAACACTGATGTAGTGTCAGACGTTTAAAGCTGGTTGATTCGACCCACCAGCCTTAAGCCTAGTGAGTTCAGGGTCTGTTAGAAGTTTAAGCTTTTTAAGTTCCATTTCGTTGAGAGTTTTCTTAAAGGTTTCCAAGTTTGTCGAATTCAAAGTTTTTGAGTCAAGTTCGTTCCAGTCTTTTATTGTTCGAGGGAAGAATGAATATTTTCTTGGGTCTATTTTACATGCCTGAATTTGGTAGGACCGATCGTGTTGTTTTCTGGACCTCCTCATTGGTGTTTCGATTCGGTTTTCCTTATTGATGGCTATTTGTTGTTTGTCAATTTTAAACATCATATGGAGTCTTGAGTGACGTCTTCTTGTTTGGAGTGAAATCCAGCCTAGGCGTTCGATCATGGATGAAACGCTTGAGCGGTTTCTGTGGCTGCTCTCCTTTGGACCGATTCAAGTTTGTTGATGTTTATTTGGGTGTAGGGGTCCCATACTGAGCTCGAGTACTCAACCAATGGTCTGACAAGTGCTTTGTAGGCAAGCTCTTTGATTTTTATTGGAGATATTTTCAAGTTCCTCCTCAGAAATCCAAGGGCTTTGTTTGCTTTTGAGGTGATGTTATCTGTGTGGAGGTCCCAGCTTAGCTTGCTTGATATTGTGAGTCCAAGATATTTTGCTGATGTAACTGCTTCCAGAATGTGGCCATGGAGGGTGTTATAATGTTTTATCATCTGCTTTTTGTTAGAGATGGTTAGCACTGTGCATTTATTTGGGTGGAACATCATGCACCAGTCTTCTTCCCACTTCGGACATCAAAAGTTTGTCCAGATCTTTTTGGAGTGTTTCGGCATCATTTATACGTCCGTCCCAAATTTTCATTCTGGTCTTAACTATTAAATACTTCAGAGGTGGATGAGCTACAACTTCTTACAAGCACAAACCTCGAAAGGTCAAGGTCAAAATCACAGCAAGGAGTCATAGGTCAAGTGACTGTATCTCCCGTCCTGGCCATTACTTCTGAACAGCTCAGAATGTTTATGTAATATGACTATGTTAAACACATAAAGTCTGAAACTCTGAATTTTTTTATGAAACGGCATCGATGAATGTTACTGACCAACTGGGCTACAACAATCAGGATGTTACTTCCAAGGTCATGGCTAAAGGTCAAAAGATAAACCTATGAACGCCTCAATATATTCTTATTTTGAAATTGCACAGATAGATGCTTACGACTTGATAATGATAAGATGAATGGTTCCCCAAATGTCAAGGTCACAGAAAACGGTCATTTGTCAAATAATAGTAAAGTATCTGAAAAGAATTATATTTTTTCTTGATCTCTTAAATTGAGTATTATGACTTAATGTGTGGGTCACTCATCACTCTGATTTATGTATGTCAAGATTACAAGAAGGAGCAAAGATCAGATTATTGAAAGTCCTTTTCCGAATAACTTTTGCAGACTTTCAAATAAGAAGCTTTTAAGGAACTTTACTTATGCATAATATGACTAGACGATTCTGTCCCTGCAGGTTGTACCTGCTGCCCCCATTGTATGATCGTAAGAGGCGATTACATTTGGGATCCTATCTTTTCTCTTCTTTCTAAACAACTTTCCTATTCCTAATGTTTCCCTTGACAATGCCTCACTTTTAGCATTTAGTTGAGCGTTCGCCCCTGTGAGGAAGGCTTAGGGTGCTGTCCCCTGGCCGAGACATACCAGAGAGTCTGTAAAAATGGTAGTTTCTACTCCTGCTTAACGCTCAGCAATTTAGGAGTGGGACGACTGGTTCGCCCATTGTCAGTGTAATGTGACCGGGTGTGGTCTCCTGCTGGGTGTCTTCGGCAGTATGTTTCAGTGAGGTAGCACTATAAAATCGGCATCAGTTCCGCGCTATATCACAAGGAGACAAACACGAACATATCGAAGCCTCCCAAAGCACACACGCATACACTACACGCATGCATCTTGCACACAGGTGAGGCCGTCCTTAAATGCAAACCAAACAGACGATTTCATTCTAATGTAAATATTGTCAAGGTCAAGGTCAAACATCATACCATTAAATAACAATAACAATCCCAGGCTGACTTTTTAACAGATAAACAGATTCTGATGTTTTATATATAAATGTACCATTACTCAACCATGTGTTGTTTAAGGGGACATGTATTGTATTATAACTAAGTGTTGTGTTGTTTAAGGGGACATGTATTGTATCATAACTAGGTGTTGTGTTGTTTAAGGGGATATGTATTGTATCATAACTAGGTGTTGTGTTGTTTAAGGAGACATGTATTGTATCATACCTAGGTGTTGTGTTGTTTAAGGGGACATGCATTGTATCATAACTAGGTGTTGTGTTGTTTAAGGGGACATGTATTGTATCATAACTAGGTGTTGTGTTGTTTAAGGGGACATGTATTGTATCATAACTAGGTGTTGTGTTGTTTAAGGGGACATGTATTTCTTTGCTATCCTTCAGTACACTGTATGTGTCTGCGGCAAGGCAAACTATAGCCCTTCAATACAAGAATTTTGTACTAGCAGGAAACATTTTTCTATAGAATAAAAAACACTACAAGTGATACATGTATAAGCACATTTATTTAGAAAATAGGATTTGAATCAATGGAATATAAAAATAATTCATTATGGAATTCTAAATGAAAGACAATTCTACCGTATTCCTTTAGTAACATATTTTGTCTCACGATTTACAGGCTTGTGTTTTTCGATTTTTGAAAATGTACATATGTACAATAGAACCTCGTTAATCCTAACATTTCAGTTTCGGATAAATGTCCAGACTAAAAATCACACAGGCATACACATGCACACACACATCAAAATGTCTATAAACTAAAGAGATCTGTGCTGACAATAAGGTTGTAAAGTGTTTCATTAGCCCATAGGTAGGTATAGTATGTAGAAATAGATATTAAAGAAACTGCCATCCCCTGTGTTCAATGTACACAAGACTTACAGTATTGAGGAACAAAATGTATCACTGTTGTATTAAACTTTGAAAGCTAACTCCAAACTGAGTGACTATTATCCCTTTCAAAGGATGAGGTCGAAATTGATGACTAAGATAAAAAATATAGGATATTTTGAAATAATAGGAACTTAATGCGCTAAACCATCTATTAAAGTTAAAAACATGAAATTTGTATTTAGGAAACTCAGTAACTCCTTTTAGGATTTGCTAAAAAGATATTCAAATTAAACTAAGGATAATTCATGTTTGGAATAAAACCTGGAATATGTGAGGTCTAGAAAGTATTGTCCGAGTACAGGAAACATAAAAACAATAAGTCTTTCTTAAAAACATGTTTACAGAATTGTTAAAGCAGCTTACCCCTGGATATATTTTTCATATATATTATCATCATTTATTTATTAATTGACAAAACTGAACTGTTTTTAACAAACTTATTGCAATTCTTGTCCATGATATGGCCAATACCAGTATGATGGTGCGTAGTGCTATGATAGTGTATAATGTATATCAGATATGTAATACTTCTTAAATAATGTTATTACAAATAACTCTCAGGGAATTCTAAATCATCACACACATATATATAATGCCAAAAAGAGTCAGTTGCTATTGCCAATCAAACTTAATTAGGGGGAGATCACTCTAAAACCATTACAGGTAAGGTAGCATATATCCTTAACATAGAGACAGCAGAGTAGGAAAGTGTACTGAGCAATAAAGTTTAAGGCCTAAACATCACATTAAAACAGTCTTGGAAACAGCTGAGTTTATGAAATAGATTTGACAACCTTTTAACATCCATTTTTTTTTTTTTTTAACATAATTAAACACATTAATTACGATGGGTAACGAGTACGCGGTGATGTACAGTCATAACAATGAACAAAAATTATAATATTTTTCACAATAACAATCGAAGCTTTGACACGAACAATAAATGAAATATCTCTGAAGATTCCACAATCCAAAACAAAATAGGGAATCTCTCCACAGAATACACAATAGAAATCTGACCATATCATCGCTACTAAAATAGATCATGTGGTTTCATATTAGATTACCAGGACAATATATAAAACAAAAATATGTGCACATTGTACAACATTTTATCTTTGGTGGTGGAACCAGCAGCATCTCATCTTACCATATATCACATGTACAGTGAATTGTCATCCAAACCAAATTTAGATAGGTTTAAACTTTCCATTCTGATGGGATAGTTTGTTTACAGTTTATACATTGCAGGTTATTGCTATAGTGTTATCGAAAGGTCTATTTTTTACAGTTTCCTGTTAACACAGGGTTTAGTTTGGACAGGTTATACTGTAATATACAGGTATTGTGAGAATCCTTATGAACCTGCGACCCAGCTGTGGAGGGCTATACTAGTGGTAGCAGAATGTCAGACGCCTTAACCACTTGGCCACCGCGGCTCCTCTAAGGTATATACACTATAGTGTTGAATATAGTATAACATCTGGCTAGGGATCGTGTACTGGTAACTTGTCATTCAGTACCCACTGGCTTATACATACATTTTTTCAAATCGAAGAACTTTGAGGGAGACACACTGATTGGTTAGAATGAAAGGTCAACCCAACATGACCACTGATGAGGTGAGGTCAAATCCTGCACTGTAGTGCATCATAGAGGTATGGAGAGAAGGGTTTTAATTTTTTTATACGATTAATAATAAAGAACATTGTTACTTGTTAGTTGATAATATTAATACTGCAGTTATCCCTAATGCCTAGTGTGAGACAGGCTACATGCTACACAAGTGGTAGGTAATACTGTTCATTTAGATTACATTGCTATCTAACTCATTCACCCCTACATATTTAAATTAGACTTGCCGAGTCTTTCATTTGTTAAGGTATTAGTCTCAGAAACTCTAGATTTGTTTTTATCTTTCTGTATAATATCTATCATTCATTTTTTTCATTTTTTGTTTTTAAATTTTGTTTTGAAAACTATCTCTTTATACAGAATCTTTGGTACAGACAGCACAAAGGGGAAGATAGATAATTTTTTTCAGGCAAAAAGTCATTCACATAAGAGCTTACATACCTATATAGAATAACATTTTATAAACATTTGACATACTTATGCAAAAAAATAAAATAAAGTTGAATTAAATTATCAAATAACGAACAACTTCCATTTTTGTTGTTAAGGATGTCCAAAAGTTCTTAAAACGTAATACAACCTATTATCAGTCAGAAATAACTCATAAGAATCCTAGGACTTATTTCCAAGGAGATCTAATAGTACCACAATGGCATACAAAACACCAGCTTAAGGCAATGAACATGTTCAAACAACGGACAGCTTGATGAAGCTTGATGAGATGGCATAATGATAAGCTTTTATGTACATGATGGGGAAAAAAAACGTCGGCCCTCAACGTGGGTATACGTACAACATCAATTTATAATGTTACAATTGAATAATCACCAATGACACATTAGTTCATGTCCTAAAGGGACAATGGATTCTTAATAAATAAATAAACAGCACTCAATTATCATGTTGTCATGGTAATGAGGTCACAGGTTCAAAATCAAGCCATGTCATTCAAAGGAGTAGTGGAGGATCCAGGGACCAATCATGGGGTCCCAAATTTCCTGGGAGAAGTTGGAAAGGGAGGTTGGGAGTTGTTTTGAGACCTAGTTATTTTGGTACCTGGTAGATTAGGTACCGAAGAGTACGATGTGTCAGTACTTCTTCGTAAAGACGAAAAAAGCTGAAAAATCTTAAAATATGAAATCGGCAACATGCAGCAATTGAAGTCAAAGTTAAAATGTCTGTACAAGTGCAAAAAATCTTTAAAAATTTCGAAAAAACCCATTGAGAAGTACCAAACATCTTAGTCAGTTACTGAATCGTCTCTGTACCGAAATGTCTGATACAAAGTGCTGAATCATCTCTGTACTGAAATGTCTGATACAAAGTACTGAATCGTCTCTGTACCGAAATGTCTGATACAAAGTACTAAATCATCTCTGTACCGAAATGTCTGATACCAAGAACTGAATCATCTCTGTACCAAAATGTCTGAAACAAAGTACTGAAACATCTCTGTACCCAAATGTCTCATACAAAGTACTGAATCATCTCTGTACCGAAATGTCTTATATAAAGAACTGAATCATCTCTGTACCAAAATGTCTGATACAAAGTATTGAATCATCTCTGTACCAAAATGTCTGATACAAAGTACTGAATCAACTCTGTACTGAAATGTCTGATACAAAGTACTGAATCGTCTCTGTACCGTAATGTCTGATACAAAGTACTGAATCATCTCTGTACTGAAATGTCTGATACAAAGTACTGAATCGTCTCTGGACCGAAATGACTGATACAAAGTACTGAATCATCTCTGTACCAAAATGTCTGAAACAAATTACTGAAACATCTCTGTACCCAAATGCCTGATACAAAGTACTGAATCATCTCTGTACCAAAATGTCTGAAACAAATTACTGAAACATCTCTGTACCCAAATGCCTGATACAAAGTACTGAATCATCTCTGTACCCAAATGTCTGATACAAAGTGCTGAATCATCTCTGTACTGAAATGTCTGATACAAAGTACTGAATCGTCTCTGTACCGAAATGTCTGATACAAAGTGCTGAATCATCTCTGTACTGAAATGTCTGATACAAATTACTGAAACATCTCTGTACCCAAATGTCTGATATAAAGTACTGAATCATCTCTGCACCAAAATGTCTGAAACAAATTACTGAAACATCTCTGTACCAAAATGTCTGATACAAAGTATTGAATCATCTCTGTACCAAAATGTCTGATACAAAGTACTGAATCAACTCTGTACTGAAATGTCTGATACAAAGTACTGAATCGTCTCTGGACCGAAATGACTGATACAAAGTACTGAATCATCTCTGTACCCAAATGTCTGATACAAAGTGCTGAATCATCTCTGTACTGAAATGTCTGATACAAAGTACTGAATCGTCTCTGGACCGAAATGACTGATACAAAGTACTGAATCATCTCTGTACTGAAATGTCTGATACAAAGTACTGAATCGTCTCTGTACCGAAATGTCTGATACAAAGTACGGAATCATCTCTGTACCGAAATGTCTGATATAAAGTACTGAATCATCTCTGTACCAAAATGTCTGAAACAAATTACTGAAACATCTCTGTACCCAAATGTCTGATACAAAGTACTGAATCATCTCTGTACCGAAATGTCTGATACAAAGTACTGAATCATCTCTGTAGCAAAATGTCTGAAACAAAGTACTGAATCATCTCTGTACCGAAATCTCTGATACAAAGTACTGAATCATCTCTGTACCAAAATGTCTGATACAAAGTACTGAATCATCTCTGTACCGAAATCTCTGATACAAAGTACTGAATCATCTCTGTACTGAAATGTCTGAAACAAAGTACTGAATCATCTCTGTACAGAAATGTCTGATATAAAGTACTGAATCATCTCTGCACCAAAATGTCTGAAACAAATTACTGAAACATCTCTATACCCAAATGTCTGATACAAAGTACTGAATCATCTCTGTACTGAAATGTCTGATACAAAGTACTGAATCGTCTCCGTACCGAAATGTCTGATAAAAAGTACTGAATCATCTCTGTACCGAAATGTCTGATAAAAAGTACTGAATCATCTCTGTACCGAAATGTCTTATATAAAGAACTGAATCATCTCTGTACCAAAATGTCTGAAACAAATTACTGAAACATCTCTGTACCCAAATGTCTGATATAAAGTACTGAATCATCTCTGTACCAAAATGTCTGATACAAAGTATTGAATCGTCTCTGTACCGAAATGTCTGATACAAAGTACTGAATCATCTCTGTACCGAAATGTCTGATACAAAGTACTGAATCGTCTCTGTACCCAAATGTCTGATACAAAGTATTGAATCATCTCTGTACCAAAATGTCTGATACAAAGTACTGAAACATCTCTGTACCAAAATGTCTGATACAAAGTATTGAATCATCTCTGTACCGAAATGTCTGATACAAAGTACTGAATCATCTCTGTATTTTCATACTTTCAATAAAAATGCATTTTATACCAAAAGACCAATTAAGATAAAAGACTTACAGTACGACATGTATGCTGGTGAAATAACAATGGTTTTAAAATGTTATTTGAGATATATAGTTGCAAATTAAATGCTTAACCCTGGGATTATCAGTGACTTATTTAGGAAGAAGAGAACTACCCATACCCATGATGAACCACATGTTCATGTAACAGAGATAATTGAATGATAACTTAATTGTACTAATTATACGCATTATACACACAGTAATCACTAATGCATCACAAAAACATAACATAAACATATTCATTTTTTTTATAAATACCTAATTTGTTAATACATGTATCTTGCCTTTCCTTTCTGTCTGGAAATGCTGCAATCTCATAGTATCTTTTGTTTCAATCCAGTTTCTTTAAAAATATTATTTTAGTAGTCTTGCGATGAATTCCTAAATACAGGGACATTTATAACAGTAAATACTGCTTTAACTACACCAGTTCACAATACAATACAACCAAAGGTTTTAATCAGAATAATTTTTGTTTCAATGGGTAAATATATTTTACAAATTTTCAATTTACACATTTAACCCATTCACCCCTAAAATCACATTTGATCCTTACCAAATCAAAGACTGTGCAAGTCTAGTTTAGATATGTAAGGGTGAATGAGTAAATGGACCCGAGCTAGGTAAAAGGCCTGGTTTACACAGACTGATTTGAAATTGTTCTAGGTTTGGTTAAAATTATGAAAAAAATGTGTCGGAACAAAACAGAACAATTTTTTTATGTGCATAATAACATTTAAATACTTTTGTATGTCTCTACAAACAAAAACAAACATTAACCCTGAATGGGTAACATGTGGAATGTACAAAATTGTGGAGAAAAAAAATAAAAGCAATACATTTATAAACTTATAACCAGGTAATTATAAAATGCTACACTTTAAATTCATAAAGGTGACAGTTCAAAATGTTCCCTTGAGGACATCAGTGTCACCTGAGGTAATGTCATACAATCATAGTAATAAAATTTACAATTTCATAAAAGTTTATGATTTTGAAAAAAGTGAATTACAGAATATAATATCTGTTCATACTTCATTTGTGGCCTATTTAAAATCTTCATAAATATCAGGAATATAATGTATTAATTTGGCCATGTTACCTAAATAGTTCCATGACTGTGCATGTGTCACCAGATTTTTACGATTTGATAAATTATACATTATGGAATCTGTATGGTGTATATGAAGTTAACATCCTCTATAGAGGCTATGTTCAACTTTTTAATTTTACAGGCTTCGAGACACAGAAAGATTAAATAGTACCTCTCAAAAAGAATCAGTTTTCCTGGAGGAAGCATAAAATGTCATATTTCAAACACTAATACTGAAAAATATATCTATACAGTGTAGTATGTTTAATAGGGAATATCTGTTTTGGTGGGAAAGAATCTCAATAGAAAACTGTCATAAACTTAAACATTACGCTCACCAAAGATACAAATACATTAAGTTACAATGTCGTTCCTCAGAACAGGCGATAATACTTCACAATGCTTTTAATGAATAAAACAACTAACAATGCAAAGCATGAAGCCCCCACCAGGTTAATAATTTGGCCAGCAATCTACTGGCAGTATTCAAGAATTAGAACATTTTCTTTATATTATCAACAATAATTAATTAACTAATTTGGAAAAAGAAATTTTGAAAAGTTTCAAATGATCAAATGATGCCATTTCCTCATTAATCTTGAAAACATATTTTTTTCTCTTTCTCAAAAAAAGTTAAAAACAAACTTTTTTTCGATCAAGATTTTGCAAGGAAAAAAATACAATAATTCACTATGTATTGATAGTTGTTTCTCTCAGTCGGGCAATATTTGATTTTTTATTGTAATATGGTATATACAATGAGCTCGAGTCATACCTTAAATTTCACAAACAATTTTTCAAGAATATCATAAGCTTGACCATCCCAAGGAACAACTTATCTATCTAAATTGTTCATCTAAGAGGAGCTCCGGGCTGAAATAATATTACTTTGGTGATTTAAACATTCTTTTTTTTTACCAAAATCCCTTTTTGATGTCGCAAGTAATAAGAACTATTATATCGTCACTTTTTGTGGTTGTATATTTTTTCCCTTTTTTTATATGCAGGAAATTTTTTTATATGCAGGAAAATCTTCACATTATCAAAAAAAAAAAAATTGATAATAAGATGAAATAATCATAACTCACAGGTATCGAGAAAATACTAAATCAAATAATAGCATTTCATCTTACACAGTACAGGTTTCATACCAAAACAGGTAAGCACCAATACTAATTCACTATTGTAGTAAATCTCCAACACATATGGTAAATATCTTTTAACTAATAACATATCTTTAGATTATGTTGAGATACTAAACAATACAAATACTAATCAAATGAAAAAGATATAGAAAAACTTCTGTAGAAAATATTTATAATATGGTTACGGTCTGCACCCTGACAATTTGTTAGTTTGACAATTTGATCAAATTTTCAAAACTTTTCTCTAAAAATAAAAGAATGCATACTTATATTTTCCTGATTCTTTTCATCATTAAAATTAAAATCGATACCAACACATCAATATTGAGCTATATTTTTACCATTTTCAAGTTTATGTTTGATTTAGGCTTTTGCCCAATGTCCGTTCCTAAATGACAGGTAAAAGAAGCAAATCCTATATTGAAGATATGTCTTTTCAAGATGCTAATGAAGGATTTTAATAAAATTAAAAAGATGATTTTTTTTTAAACTTTTGTATGATATAAAAAATACATTTTTTTTTGAAAATTTGAGTTTAACATTTGTCAAACTGCCAAAGCTTTGGAAAATTGTCCTTTGTAAGCTCTCTGATATCCGACAACACAGAAATGTCATATTTCACGTAATATCAACCAAATATGGATAATGACATGATAATCTTTCTGAATTTCTATCAACATTCATCTGTCATGACTAGTAGCGGTGACATCAGACGATCAGCATCTGAACTCAACAAATAGTATTCATTAACATCCTTGAACAAAACAACCTTGGTTATCACAGCAACAGGAAATCAAAATATTTTCCAAACGTTCTTACATTAGCGCACTAAAATTTTAGCTCTTTATCAAACTTAAACAGATTAGCACAATGTCATATGAATTGGCACGCCCTACAAATATGCCATAGAAAAACATATACAAGAACTCCAGTTCAATGGTGTAGTCATAATTTAGCCAGCTATCAAAAGATGTACGTTAACATTAATATTGTTGCTGTCATATAATGAAAAAAATATGTTAATATCCATTGTTTAACAAGAACATGTGAAATAAAAAATCTGTGATATTTTTTCAGAACAAATTAAAGCTATCTATGAGAACAGACTAGGCAGTATGCAGATCACACATCTTATGACTTGACTGAAAACCTCATGAGGCATTCCAGAAACGACAGAAATTGCACAATGAGATTCCTACAGTTACCAAAAAGAGCATTGTCACTCACTATAGCCCTAGTATTACAGTGTCACAAGTGTTAATGTCAAACAGCCTTAAGGAAAATGTATCACTGCAGAATTGCTTATAGGGAGAGATGTCACTGCGCTTAAGTAGACCTATCTCTTCAAAAGGAATAGCTCATCGCCTTAATGGACTAGTGTCACCGCAGCATGTCTTTGAATAATTGTATTTCTTTAATACTGCTGGACAGTCTGAAAAATAAAAATAAAAGATTCATTTCAGTGAAGCAGGTCCAAGTGAGTATTTATTTAAACTATATTTAACCAGTGATAAGGCTATTGTCATCAATAAGCCCAACCTTTTTCAAACAGATTTTACACTCGCCAGCTTTGAATCGTATGTGGAAATAAGCCCTTCATGTATACCTGATTAAAGTTTTCATTTATAAAGTAGAAATTTAACCAAGCACTTGTGTAACATAGACCTTAAAGCTTTGGAGTACAGGGTATTGACAAAGTCTCAATTTAATATGATTTCTATATGTCTGACCCATAAAAAATAAACTCAGTATCCCTATTTCATGATTATTACAGCTTGTCTTACCAGTAAAATCTCCATATCCACATTGCATGCTTTCTAAGGCTTTATCCCTATCCCCAGTTAGAATAACCCCATTCCACCAAGCTACATATTTACTCTATTTTTATATATATTTGACACCCAAGGGAGATAACTTCGAACCCAAATCACACTGGCTGTATTCATTTATCGTGATCCAAATGGTTGAACCTGTTGGACCAGAGTTGTTTGTTTATAAAATAAGGTTGGACCTAGTAATCTGATGTTGATAAATATATAAATATTTGCAGGTCCGCCTGGATTTCTAACCAGGTGAGCTCATAAAGATTAAGACAGAATGTTAATATTCTGGAAATACAGTTATGTGTGGTCGATTTTTCTTATCATGGCTTCTAAATTTTGGGGTAGGGGGAATTACCTGCCAAATGCATTGAAAAGGGAGACAATCTCAGTTCTTCTGAGTTGGAAATCTTGTTTTTGTAGAGCGTCTACAGTAGATAGCGGTCCGATGGAATCTCCTGAAAATAGAATCTTCAGTGCTGTTCCCATTCCCTGTACCTAAAATACAAAAAATTATCACGTGACTATAGTGTTTTACGATGGATCTACACACACCTGACCATATCTTTATGTATTACTCTATAACAATGCCTACTGGGAAGTCAGAACACTATGTTGGCAATGTTTGAACTTTGGGTGATGATTAGAAAATTTTGATTTTTTTTGCAGATATTTGGAATAAATTCTTGGTGGATCTAGAATTTGTTTTCACTTCATATGAGATTTATGAAACTTGTACCAAAGCCTTTTTTAGCTTGACAAAACCTTGCTAAAATTCATAATTATCACATAGGTAATACATTACATCGGGAATTATACTGCCATGAACAATTATAACTGTCAATCTTGGAATCTGTCCAACTGCTCTTGAAATCAGGAAAACTGTAGTGTTGTTTGTGGTCCCTGCTCCATTACTGTACCTGAAGTTTGCCCCACAATTTACATTTGTCACAGCCAACACAGTCCATGATTCGAGAAATATTGAGGAAATGGGTTCTAAACTCTTCCTGTAAACAAAAACAAAATCTCATTTCACTGCCACTGTCTAACTTCTCATTAAAATATATAAGTTAACAAGAAAATCATGTTCATCTCATTATAACAATAGGTATGATTATATCAAAAGGTAAATTATACGATGTTTAGTACATTTGAAGCGGGTCAAGGTTATTTATTTGACCGAAATTTATAACCTTTCACTCTAGCAAGCTTTATAGACCAAATATCAATACTCCAAGCCTCATGGTTCATAAGAAGATTTTTTTTTACGAATGAAGTAGTCTACATTTGACCATAACCTTGAATGTAAGTTAATTTGATAGCCCTTCATCCCAGCAAACATGGCAAATATCCTGACTCCACAACATGGAAAATTAGTTTGCTATACTTAACATAAACACAATAATGTTGAAACAATCCATGAATTAACCCTTTCCTCCCTATGTAACTTTAGTAGACTCTTCCATGCATTGATCTGGATGAGTCCATTATGGTCTACAGTGGTGAAGGGTTAAGAGAAAGGCCTTACCCTGAGCTTTCCAGCTTCCATTGGTATTCCCTGGAACAATTTACTCTCATCAAATTGGTCGGGAAATGACCTGTAAGGAAACAGTTATACTTATTTCTGTTTTAGTCATTCATAGCAACAAAGTTCATGTACTAAACCACATGATGCACATGTTTTTCAATATATTCAACCTTGTGACTTTTATCTCTGATATTCAAGTCTAAAATAGACCAAAGAATTATTATAGGGGCAATATCACATCCTCCACATTCAAGTGGTTACGCTAATTTACGCTCACCGCACTCCTGGAATATATCGCTCAATATGTGCCATCTTGTTGATGAGACAAGAAGACTTAGTTTGATCCTTTGATGTAAATCAAAAGAATCTGTCGGTCACGAAACAGTAAAATTGTCTGGCTTTGAAGTTGGGTGTCGCCCCTCCGTAACATTCAAAGGACAGGTATCAGCCTAGAAAATTGGTCAGTTTTTTTTCTACCATAGACCAATCAAATAGCTAGCAGCCTGCCTGCAATTTTGCTATAACATATTCTAGGGGTGCATGCAGAGAGCAAAAGTGAAGTATCCAAGACAACAATGTCACTGTCTGTTATAAAACCCAGTGACCTTGACCTTTACACTGTAACCTTCGATTTTTTTCAGCCAACAACTCATGTCTTTAAATTGTTGTTAAAACTTGGAAAAGGAGATTGGAATAAAATGAATACACATGGGCAAACTGTGAGGCCAATACCATTTTGCACCATAGGGCACCAGACAGGTGCCTTTGATTTCAGTTTTCATTTCCAAAACTTACCTTACAATCTTGATGAAATCTTTGATGCCTTTTTTCACATCACTGTCACCCTCTGCATCACCGGTAAAATATTCTTCCTATAAACATGGAAATGTATTGTATTTTTTTTTTTTTATAAATAATATCATATTCAAATAAAGATATTCATCGTCATAGTACTTTGAATCAGCCCGGGAAAAACTAAAATGTCACAATCGAAGATGCAGAGATAAAAAAAAAATCAATGATTTAATTTCATGAATAATATTCTAAATGGCAAATTAATTTGACCCCAAACAGGCGGTCAAATGCCTCAGTGATCATTAACAATATCCAAAACAAAACAACAGATTCAAAACGACATTCACTAGAAATAAACTATGTGAGCACTTGGCTGATGTTACAGAAAGTGTGCTCTAAAGCTGGGGATTAAGGATGAATTTGGATCGCTGGATGGAATAAATTAAGTATTGTTGTGTAAAGGGATGACTGGATCGTGAAATGGACAAATGGACCCGCTCCGGAGTTGAAAGATGATATATTAGAGATTTCTAAACCGCAAAGATACATCAATATGACAATATGATACATATCATGATACTGTGGTCACGATACGATACGTATCATGATACTGTGGTCACGATACGATATGTATCATGATACATAAAGTAACAGTAGAAACAAAGAGAAAATATATGTTGCACATTTTTAATGTCAATATTACAACTGGAAATAGACTTGGTCCAAAATTATCATAAATTCTAAGTTTCGCACAATTCATGTCTTTCTACTTGTAGGTTGAGCTGGAACTGTAACTAGCCATGTTAGAACCAATACGAGTACATTTAACTCAGAAACGACAAAATCCTAGCAGCCCTAAAGATTTCAGTACATGACAGAACTCTCGGTGATGGATAGACAGACAGAAATATAATCATATGATAGACTAACACACAGACAGAAAGTAAGACAGATGGACACAACAGACAGACATACAGACCTTTTCTAAATATGGTGCTGCCTTTGCGATTGCCCTCAGTTCTACTAGGTAGGTAAAATAGAGATTTTTAAGGTACTGTGGTCCACGACCTTTGGTAGGGTCAGGGTCGAATCTTTCCGTGAATTCCTTAAGGTTTGGTCCCCAAGTAGCAGGATTGTAGAGAGTTGCTAAAATTTGTAAAGTTGTCTTATCAAAACTTACTATTCTTCATACACTTTTAAACAAACAAAAATACAAATACCTGTATAACAAATTTGGTCATGAAGATTTTTTACTTTTGAAAGAAATCTTTAAAAGCTATTTATAGATGATTAATTGTTTTTGGTGTAAAATGGAAAGGAAGTCCCAAAAGAGTAACAATTTCAAAAGAAAAATGAACTTAGTTTAGTGAAGTCACAACTTAATCTCATGATAAATGTGTATACAAGTAACATCACACTCATTGTCTTGTGTAGTAACACCTGATTTAACTAACACATGACTTATAACTCATTCACCCCTGAAGACACATTTGATCTCTTCCAATTCAATGGTTGGAATAGTTCATAAAGAAGTCTCAGGGGTGAAATATCCAACATGTTTATAAAGGACTGGTTTCTATTTGCTGATCCTAAGTTTTACCGAAACAATGTCATTATCACATCATTAACTTATCATTGTACATTATTTTAGAAGCTCTTTATATTGTCCTCAATGCTTAATATTCAAGAAGTGACAGATATATACATACTGAAGCATATCTAACAAGGTGATTGCCATATCTGACCACCTGTTAAATATCTGACCACCTTATCAGGCTTAAATGTTCTGTTAATCATAGCAGGTTTCAATGATAAAACGGCAAGTTCTAATTTTCAAGGACCTTGCTGGTCGGGGTGAGATTTGTAAGGGTCATGTGGCTTCTAAATAGAAACTTAATTTCTCAAATGTTCCGGGCATCAACTGTTAATTATGAAGTATCAATGGAGATTTTCTTACCAGGGAGTGTAAAAGTTTTTATGATAGATTAAGAAGACTTACCTGGGAGTGTAAAAGTTTTTATGATAGATTAAGAAGACTTAACTGGGAGTGTAAAAGTTTTTACAATAGATTAAGAAGACTTACCTGGGAGTGTAAAAGTTTTTATGATAGATTAAGAAGACTTACCAGGAAGTGTAAAAGTTTTAATGATAGATTAAGAAGACTTACCTGGGAGTGTAAAAGTTTTTACGATAGATTAAGTAGACTTACCTGGGAGTGTAATTTTTTTTACGATAGATTAAGTAGACTTACCTGGGAGTGAAAAAGTTTTTACGATAGATTAAGAAGACTTACCTGGGAGTGTAAAAGTTTTCATGATAGATTAAGAAGACTTACCTGGGAGTGTAAAAGTTTTTATGATAGATTAAGTAGACTTACCTAGGAGTGTAAAACTATTTTTACGATAGATTTAGAAGACTTACCTGGGAAGAGGTACTTGGCAGACAGGTGAAGATTGATACTGGTGTGGAGGCCGGAGATCAGACGGTAGAATGCTCGCTTCTCAAGGCACATCTCTGGGAACGATTAAATCACAAGTCGTGAATACTGGGTTTCCAACACTCAAAACTAACAACATCATAATGTATTGGGACCTAAGACACAATTTTCACAAACACATACCAGGAGAGTTTAACTTGTGGTGTTATCACTCGTTTTGTTTTCAAAATACATGGCAAAAACTAATGTAAGTAAAGAGTTAAGTACAAAAAAAGTTAACGAAATATTAAAATGATATCACACATTACAAAACTGCAAATATTAAAACCGAATATATTAGATAATATAATCAAATAGACAAATTATGACATGTTAGCAAATATTAGGCAAAAATAAAAATGTTAGAAGCTTGTATAAAGAAATGCAAGGTGTCATAAGAATGTCTAAATTTGTCAAATGTATAATTCAATTTTTACTTAAACTGATAAAAAAAGTTTTGAGACAATTTATGCTACAATAAATTCAAAGGTAAGTTGTAGTTTAGGAAGGAGAGCATTTATGTAACTCTATTTTTCTATAGATTTGACAGTGAAGTAATGTACTTGTAGGAAAGAATTAAACACTTATGTCTGAATCAATTTTCACTTACTGTGTGACCTTTCACACATGAAACTCATATATAGCTTTTAATTTCATTAAAGATAAGGCTTAGCCAATGTTGAAACACTTAGATGATGTTACGCATCCATTGGAATTTAGTTGGGATTCATAATCAATATAAGAATATTTACATTTTTAATTGATATCAAACTTATGTCATAACCATATATATACAAAGAAATAGAGGGCAAAAACATGTGACAACATCAATGACCAAAGAACAAATTAAAACAGTCACTCATTATGACAATACATTTTGAAAAGTATTGCAAAATAAAACAAGCATTAATTTTTACAAACATATAAAGTTGGATTTTATCAAATGTAAAGCAGTGTCCCCTAACTCTATAGGCTATAAACCCCATGGAATGCCCCCCCCCCCCCTTTCCGCTTTATAGCTATCCTTCATGGAATGACATTAGAATATTTTGATATGTCAGTTTGGCAATGTCATGTTTTACGAACAATTTTATCCACATTGGAGACAACAAATCATGTAATATGCAAAATCGTTTTATTATTAAGCAAGAAAACAAATATTCAAAATAAGTTGATTGATAATGATTTAAATCCAATCCATTCTTAAACAATTATACAATATAAAAGTTCTTCTTTCAAAGAATACTTCAAGAAATGGTTTCTATAGACCATTTTAAGGGACCTTAACCCAATCACCCCTAAAGTCACACTAGAACCTTATCAAATCAAAGACTGGGCAAGTCCAGTTTAGATATGTAGGGGTGAATGAGTTAAAGGGACTGAGACCCATGATCCCCCTCCCCAGCCTTTTTTTGGTTTTAAAATCAAATCAAAAACAGGTAAGGATACTGCACCATGCCATAAGTTTAATTGATTTCTCTGACTAGATGAGCTAAAATGTAATTCCAAGGTTATATCCAAAACAACAATAATATATGAACACTTAAATGTTTATTCACAGAAAACCTGTATACCAGAACACCTGTTATTATATAATACATGTACATGTAATTAAGACCCAGTTTTTAGTTAATGCAATTTTACTGAGGCTGGATATGTATGACAAGCTCCTTCTGTACTGAAGGCAGTAGAACCTGTCTTGAGAGACCACCGCTGGGGACAGATGGGGGACGTGTGGAGGAGGAGGAAGACCGAGGAGATGGCACAAGGCATCAATAAAGTTCACCTATACATCTGTAAAATACGCGGTACAAATCTAATAAAAAAGAATATCGTACAATGGACTGTTACTGGAGAAAAATACTTGTTTTAACAAATGATTCAAGGTTTAGTCACAATTATGATAAGATCTAGTTTTGAAATGTTTTGATTTATCAACAAATATATTTATACATTGTACATCACTTTATAACATTGGAACTGATAAAAACAAATTGAGTTTTTTTTTTAGAAAAATCTGCTTGTAAATTCTATAACGATTTGAGTTTTACAAGATAAGATGTTTTACAAGATAAGATGTTTTACAAGATAAGATGTTGGGATGGGTGTTTGAATATATTTATGACAAGAGGGATGAAAACACCAATTAGAAAATGGGTTGTTGAATGGGTATAGGTGATATTGCATACAAACAATCTCTCAACACAGGTTCTGCTCAGTGATCCTGATATACAGGTGAAAAAGGACCACATGCCCCACCTAGTGTAAAACCTCATTTGGAAAGCTTCCCACAAAGTGTAAATTGCCTGAAATAGATTGGAAACCAGCTGAATCAAGTTTGATAGTGTAACGACACATTATACCACCAATAAAAACTTGGACTTTGTCTTCTATTATCTTTTTCTTTTCGTAAAAGAACATATCTCTCCAACTGCTCTTTATTTTTTCATTATATTTACGTACAATAATTTATAATGACACTGAATTTGATCAGGACGATTGATACTCTTACAAAGGCTGCCCCAAAAGAAACAACATTTATACATTTATGATATGACCTTGGTTAGAGGTCAGACAAGCTGGTCTAGATGCTGAGTCAAATACGTGGCTACGTACCAGCACATTGGAGTTAAACCACATCAAATGTCTTAAACCTCTTTGAAGACCAGTGCTGATTTTACCAAAATTGGTTCTGAAAACAAATCCTTCTACCTGGTATATCATATTTTGGGATAGAAATCATCCCTATGGGGGTAAAATATATAAATAAGACTTCTCATAATTTTAAGAAATATTTGTAGAAAATTATGTATTAAAATTTACCTGAACCTTTCATTAAGCTATCAAACTTGACACCACTTGTTCCCCAACAATATGTGTCATTGGAAAAATAAAATTACAAAGAAAAGGTTTCCATGGCAACCACTAAGTGGAACAAAAGCTGAAACAAAGAGTATCAGAACAGACAGGAATAAGGTTTGTGTATAGTAACGATAGTTGCCTCTGATGTTACCTTCAAATGTGTTATCTGATGTGTCGGAGGAAAAAATCATAAAATCATTACGGTATATTTAAATTTTGAAACAAAACATTTTTCAAACAAACAAAACCCACCAAGAACAGTTTTCAAAATCAGAAATGTTTATATGCACTGTGTAAGATGCAAAATGATAGAAGCATTGAGGTCCAGACAGTTAGTCATTAATCATAATGATTGATTAGTAAATAATACATTCCAAATATAACCAAACTGTCATCCATAATGATTAAGATAGCACCAATAAACATCAAGGGATGAGTTGTCCACTCTCCGACTAGCTAATTGAAACACTATACCTAAAGGTCCCCCGCGTTTGGTCTCAGATTTGCATGTAGCTCTGGCTAATCTCTCTCTGGACAAGATTCATTACAAATAAGTCAAACAGCAATGACGAGAACGCAGGATCTGACTCGGTTAGGGAATATATGCTACCATGGACAATTAAAGAAGGCCTTATATATTACCAGCAGCTGACACTGGTTCCATTAAAACAGGACTTCCTAACCTTTATGTCCATATAATTGGCTACAGTGACATTTAAATATCTTGTTGTTGTCTGTTACAACTACCAGGTAGATAAGATATGTTGTTTATTCTTTTCCTTTTTATTTGATACCAGTAATGACAAAACGTGGGAAACGATTTATCCTTTTTTTTTTTTTTTTTTTTGAAAGAAGAATGGTATTTACATAATTGGTCTAGTTCTTTTCTATTTCATTATTACAATTTTAAACTTATACCACTGGTTTTGTAAAACATATGTACATTGTATTTGCATAAGAACTTATTCTAGTAAAGAATTTGAACCACATAAATAGCCTTAGGAAAAAAGCTGTATTAGCATAATTGATCTGATAAATAAACAAATTGATAAAAGTTGATAAACAGACTGATATTATTTGGCTTTGAAATACCAGACACCAGTTAAAAAGGAAACAGAAAAAAAATATGGAAAAGCAAAAGAATTGTAAGACAGGGTTATATGATAATACAGCCTCTGGTATTCAAAATAAATATGAAGCAAATATTTTTAATATGGCTTTCCAAATAGGCTCACTTAAAGAAGCTCCCAAATCTAATCAACTACAAAATTATGTATATAAAGCAAATGATATATTAAAAATAAGCAGTTAACAGAGTCTACAATGAGTAGAATAACAAATCTGAACCATTCTTTTGATAATATAGGCAGAAGTGATATTAAAATCCTTTATCCTTTAAAACCATGATCACTTTTACAACTATCTGAATCAGTCTGAAATACCCTGGTGATATACCAATAATCTGCAACGTTGATGAATAGTACTTGTACAGTATAGAAATCAATTATAGTAATATAAATACAGTAAAATCTGTCTAATTTGACATCCTTTGGGACACAAACGTATCTGTCACATGAGACAGGATATTTGCTCATACTTCCAGGATTTTCTTAAGTTGAAATGAAATATTTTTAATGTTTAAAGGAAATCTGGAGAAATAATATTATCAAAAAATATGGAAATTACAGAAATCAAAACCATTCATTTGTATTCCAAACAGTTCATGGAATGAATTCAAACCTTACTGTAAAAAAGGACTTTTAGAAAAATCACTTACACCGACCTTTAATATTTATTTTGAGAATTTAATAACACAAAACGTTTTAAATGGTTCAAATTTGTCTTTCTTTCATTCTATCTACTTTTAAATCAATAATTAAACGAAGTATTTGATATGGCTATGGATCCAGGTTCTATTCCCACAGAAAGTTTACCAGGTTGTCCTTTCATCATAAGTGCTATGGAGGGTGTAAAATATAACACAGTCAGAAAACACAGAGCTACAGAACACACTAACTACCCTACAGGTGGACTAACTGCAGTGTTCAATTTACTCAATATTGATGATAACTTTCCATTAGATATTTCTACAATAATTATGCCTGTTTTTATTAACTCCCAAGCCATTCATGAAATGGAAGAGGTGTTGGCTAAACATATGTATCAATCAACCAGTAGTTGAACACACTTTGTCACTTTGATCAGTAAAAAATCCTGAACTATGGAAATCGGCAGTTTGAAGAGTTATCCCCCTTTGAAATTCATACGGACATTTATCTGAAGTACATACCAGGTATTGTATAACTATAATGTGTTTTTAGCTTATGGAACGGAATTTAAACGAATTTATTAAAGTATAGAAATAGTATAGTATAGAAACGTCATGTAAACATCCAGGAGCATCAAACAGGACTAACAGAACCCAATGTCTGCATTATTTATCAACTGCATTTTTTTCCAGTGATTATTTTCCAATCATAAATGATACAAATTTTTAAATACTAATCAGTTTGACTACACTTTAAACATCATAGACCTACAAAATTATCAATTTAATGGCTGAAAGTTTAAGATTTTTTTTGCAAAAAATGAACCACTGCACTTTTTCCACCTGTAATACGGGTCATTTAAGACGGGGAATGTTGTAAAGTAACTGAAATAAAGATATCAATATTAGGCGAATATACAGTGTAGATACATCAGAGGTGCACAAAATATATTTCTTGCAACAAAAAAGTGACAGAAAGCAAATTGAAAATTGAAATGTTAAACCACATCTAAAGAGAACCGTAACTATAGTAACCAATTATCCTAACAGCCTTTCCCCCTGACCTTCCAGTAGACACAATAGTCTACTTGGTTTACCTTTGAAATAGGCTGGATTTCCAGGAATAACAAAAGTGTCTTTTAATCAATACATCAAATTAATACCAACATATCTAGTCACAATATACACTCAATTAACTTGAAACTGAAAATACTGTAAGATGCAATCTGAACTACGGAATCTACATGCAATATATCTGTTTCAGTACATAAAATTATTATAAAATTTTGTCTGTAAGGACTCAACCTAGATTTTTTTTTAATTAACATGTAAATCTAATTGGACAAATCTAAAAGCAAAAAGTTGACATGACACTTCATTTGAACAATGGTCGTTTTATGGTGTTTCAAATAGATGACACCAGGTCAATTGAATTTTTACCGCGATAAAATGTTATCATCATAACATTTTATTTTATTGCTTGAAACAAGCCATGGATTTAGGAAGAAATAGTCACATAATGATTCAGTCTTCAAAATTAGCCATTTTATGTAACTGATTTTTTGTTTCTTTTTTTTTTGTGATCAAATACATGTACTAATCAAAATTTCTCAAGGATGTTTTAAGATACCAAAACCAAATTGTGACAAAAATGTCTGTAAAATGACATAATTAACATTCTTATTAGTGGCGCAAATATTGTTAGATTTGAGAATTAGAAAATATTATAGTGTAGTGATTAAGCAGCTAACACAAATATGAGAAAATAAAAAAGGCACACTAAACTTTTAACACTGTACAACGTGTACACATCTACAAAAACACTTTCCTAGCGGCGACGTTTACTCACCAGCCAAGGACTGTTGTGAACCGTATCGGAATTTCCCATTGGGCCTGGAAACAAGTAATTGATAACAAGTTTAGATGGCTTTTCATCAATAATAGGGACTGTTATTTGGTGGTATTTCGACATCGAAATCAAAACAGCAGCAAAAGACTATAACAGGAAAACAATTTTGAAAATTGAGGTATCTTCCGTGTACAAATTTAATTCAGGTGTCATTCGAGTACAAATTTAGAAAATCGCAAAATAATCCTTGTGCATTGTTATTCAATGTTTTGAATAATTGAGTCATCATTTTTTAAATTAAAATCTCCATGTAGCTATCAACATGAACCCTTGCTTTTTCAACAAGCTGAAAGGGGAATCATTTAATCTAAGTTGTACCATATTTCTTTGATTATAATGGCCTTGCTGTGTGGAACTCTTCAATGTGAACGAACCATCAGTCCTACTGTGAGTTGTTACAATGTTTACTTGTGTTAGTGTCCGTAATGACCTAGGAAGGGCAGAGATAGTGAACTCACTATACTGGTGTGTGCTTTCAAGACATTGATATTTATTTTTGACCCTGACTATATCCCTTTAATGCCAACATTGATAGTGTGAAAAATCTTTTAGACATTTTTGTTTTTGAACTCAACCTCAAGTTGGTTCATTCATCTAATAAATTTCTTATTCTGAGTTTTTTTCTTTCTGAAACAAGGTTTCTGGTCTGAAAACATCAAATTACTTATGATTATCATAGACTGAACTTACTTGAAGCAGTTTTCTTCATAGATGCTCCTCCAGATCCTGTGGGGACTCACTCCCTTGTATCCTGTGTAACGCTCAGGGTTCAACAGGAGGTCAACGTACTCCATATCAGCAGATTTGTCATCTACAACAGGGGTCAAACAGTACAATCAAAACCTGTCTATACAGTATAGGGGTCACAGAGAACAGTTAAACCTGTCAACAATAAAAATCTGTCTATACAGTATAGGAGTCATAGAGTACAGTTAAACCTGTCAACAATCAAAATATGTCTATACAGTATAGGGGTCACAGAATACAGTTAAACCTGTCAACAATCAAAACCTGTCTATATAGTATAGGGGTCACAGAATACAGTTAAACCTGTCAACAATCAAAATCTGTCTATACAGTATAAGGGTCGAAGAGTACAGTAAACCTGTTTATAATCAAAATATGTCCATGGAGGATAGGGGTCACAGAGTACAGTTAAACCTGTCAACAATCAAAGGAGGAAGGAGTGAGCTAGTATTCCAGTATTTCAACAGATTCAAGCATTACAACGTAACCGGTCTACAGAGAGCACATACTTCAGTAATAATACACAGGAAAAAACATGTCTTGAACAACATTTCAAGTAGACAATAGAATGTTTTATATTTAGATGTTCATTTTTAATTCAATTGTACGTACCATCAAGTTCACAAAATGTCTGCAGTTTATCGTCGTGCTTGGTCCAGTTCTGGAACGCAGCTTTACTCTCAGCGCTGAAATAATTTGACAAGACCATGACTTTTAAGAAAACAGCAATGATTTTAATTCAGCTAGCCTACAATGAGATCACATAAATTCTTGGTAGGAATAAGCTGTATCTACATGAACTTTTTTCAATTTTATATTTATTATTTTCAAGTTTGAAGAGTTGAAAAAGTCTTAGCCAATCAGAGGACATGATGGCCAAGTCGGGTTTTGAAAAAGACAACAATTAAGGTGTGCTTACAATGGAAATGCTTTTTAATTTGTACCTGATGGTGGAATTCAAGGCCCCTAACTCTCGCTCCTCATCACAAGTGTGTTCGTTCTGGGCATCTGCAGCATACTGTGGACAGAGGACACACTCAATTATCTTATATACAAGACTTCAGGACAAATAAAAACTCTAGTTTATAATTAGCTGCTGTTTCAAAAATAGATAATGAGTCCATCATTTGTTGGTGTGGGCTACAGATATTCAATTCTTATGTGCAGAATTTTGGATGATAACTGAGCCTTGTCCGGGTTCTGTCCCCAAACCCTAAACCATACAGAAGAATTTACAGAGACAGTAATTCTTTTAATTTTAAAATGTAGATATTTTCAAATATTCCAACTGCCTAGAACACTCATTTATGTTCATAAAGACATAATTATGCTCACACCAAATTTTGCTCCTAATTTACACAAAATGTATTTCCACTACAACAGGGTGCATATTCGTGACACCGTTCTCATACTCAAGCACAGATTCTGTGCTCAAACCAACTTTCTTGCAACTCTCTTAAATCATGTAAAACGATCAAAAAGGCAAATATAAACATTGAAAACAGTATTCTGTCATAACTCTCTTCAATTTGTTTCCAAATCATTGACAAAATAAGATTTTTTTGTCAATTTATAACCGGAACAAGAAATTAGGCGTGAGCAGAAACTTAACTCCATGCTTGAGCATGAGGTTGAGCATGAGGTTTCAGGTGCCCAGGCAAACATTTGTCAATCCACAAAAATTTGGAGGGATTTGAAAGCAACATAAATATAATGAAGCATACCATCCGATATTTTATTTAAGAACTTTCCTTTACATTCACATCATAATGCTTTTTTCAGATTCACCATTGTAAAACTGATTAATACCCGTATACACACTGTAGCACTGCCATGCTGTTTAGCATAAGTTTACGCTGTAATCCGTTCTATGGCTATATCAGCCACACTTAATATTCACGCTTAGTATACAGACAGATGTTACAAAGACCTCTTTATTGTCGGTAAAATCCCAGTCTTTTGTAATCCGTAATCTATAATAGACATCATCTGGTTCCTTCACATTATCTACATGTACCTAATACACAGGTACAAATAAATAGACTACCATACACATAAGGTATACGTTTTACTCTACAGAGAGTTTTGTTACAATGTTGCCAACATCTGCAGACATTTTGTTCCCGCCCTTTTTAGATAGGATTACAAGGTAAAATGATGGTAACAGAGATTGGGTGAATTTGAATTACTTTTTATTATAAATTTAAAAGATGTATTCTAGTTAAAAAGGAATGACAGAAATACGTGGTTAGTTTGACTTCACCAGATTAATAGTCTTGTACTATATATATTAATTTGGTATTTTATTCTAATGCCGTATTATTTGTAGAATTCATGTTATTTCTCATAGTTCTTAAAAAGCATATTGGACTCAGTAGCAAATGACATTGTAATTAATACCTTCTAAGGTGTAAGGGGTTATAAATTGAATTCGGGTATGGGATCATAAATTAAAAGTTTTGTTTAGTTTTGTATTTTGACCCACCAAACTGGTAAACATAATTTGCATAAACCAAGGTCAGCATATAAGTAACTGCAGACTGAACCATGCAATTTGAATTAAGGGAGCAAAATGAATCGGCTGAGCTATGACAAATGGAAATTCTTCGAATATTTCTACATTACATAATAATATAAAATGGTCATGAAAAGTGTTTTACTGCAAAGTGGGTGCCAAAACCCTAATGCCCTTAATAAGGAATGGGAAAGGTATGATTTAATTCATGCTCGTAAACAGCTGGCAAGTGTTTGCTCACTTAAATAGCCTTTTCAAATTGATACTTGAAAACAGCTGCTATAATCCCAGGCATCGCCTGATATGGTCATGTGAAGAAGATGCTGGTGGAGTAACAAGTTAATTGGTGTAAAATATGACTCTGAGATGCTGAAAAACTGTAAAAAATTGACCAATCATAACACTGAGTGGACTGACCAATAATTAGGATGCTGGTAGTAAAAGTGACCAATCATTTAAACAGTCTGACCAATGGTCACAAGGTGACTGTTAAGAGGATCAATATATTACACTTGTTAGTGTAGAATTGTCAGTAAATGTTATTGTATATATATGTATATCAAGTTTTAAATAGTATAATACAACTGATTTATAAATGAAATGGAAAACTTACTTTAGCAGCACCGTTCTTCAGTCCTTCGGGTACTTGGTCCTAGGGTAAAAATAATTGAAACTGTGATGTATAATTAAGGTTCATACATGTTGTAATTACTTTAAGAAAAGGCAAAATATTGTGAACAATCCATAGGCCTCCACCTCCGAACGAACTTCGGTTTCAAAAATAGCTCTGAAAATATACATAGTAGGGCAAGCATACGAGACCCATATATCCTAGACAATATGTGACACTATGAACAAAGCGCAATAAGACTGCATATAGCAGGGCACAAAACTCAATTCCAGTTCCGTGTTATGCATTTAGCAATTTCAAGAGGTACTCGCATAAAAAAATCGGCAACACTTGGTGAGAAATTATATTAGATACAGTATGCTCTGCACAAAGTACTCAAAACGACCCACAAATTGACAGAGCCGGAGAGGTGTGATAACGAGTTCTTACCTCCTTACAGGTAGATACGCTGCAGTCCTTCATGGCACACCGGCTGTCATCAGACCAGAATGGACATTGCTTCTTCAGATTTACCTTAATAAAGTGAAAAACATTCAAACCTAATCTGCTGAAAAAATCATATACCGGTTACAATCCTTATTACATGTACCGTATTTACAGTAGATATACCTGTATTCATGGTATCAAGTACATTCAGTAATACAAAATGGTAAATACATTGTACCTGGTGACTTCCATTTTTGAACTGAAAAATGCAATGCTTACCACTGTGTGGCAAAATTACTGGGAAGTTGCATATTTTTTTTTACGAATTTCTAGGTTTGATGACATCATAATGTATTGGAGAACATTCAAATTGTTGGATGATAGCTGTGCTATTTATTTGAAAAAAAAACCCACTTAAAATTTGAATTATTAACATGAATACATAAATGTATACAATATTTAAATCTAACTGAATTCTGATCTCACATAGCTGTCAAACCTCCCTCGTTTTGACCAAAATTTACCAATCTCCCTTGAAACTCCCTCATTCAAGTCTGAATCAAATGAATGCTTTTTGGAGTTATTTTGATACATAAAATGGGAAAGATAAATTGAGCAAAGCAGTTTCAGTAGCGTTTTGTGTGCTTTTTCCCTCATTGAAAATGTTGTAGAATGAGGGAGATCTCCCTCATTGGTGGTTTCAGAGGTTGACATCTATAATCTTATTTTTTAACCTTTAATAGATGAAATTTCTCTCAGGATTTCAAGTATTACATAAATTATACATGTCAGAACTGAAGTGCTAGTCAATAAACAATTTTGTAAATGCCAACTATAGAAATTGCACCGGCAGCGCTACTTTTGCAATTCTTATGATTTGTCGTTTCCCATTTGTTCATTTGTATTCAAATGCGAACTGAAAACAGTGAATTATTCATTGTCAGATTACATTAAAGTGTCACAACGGCCACCAGCTGACGTATACGTAAGACAGCCAATAATACAACTGTACTGCTACAGGAAAACCCCATGGTAGCAGATTTGTTGTAGAGAGGGCGTAGAATCGGTAGCCAATATGTCTTTCACAGGAAAAAGGACATGAGCTGACTTACGATGCACTTTGATTTACACCCCAATGTCTTACTGGCTTTATTCGTATTCTGTAATATACCAAGGTACCTAAAAATACAATTTGGCAAAAACAACTGAATTAATTCAAACCCATCCAAAATAACTTTCATGATAAAGTTATGAAAACCCATTCCTCAAAAGACAGTGTAAATGATTAACATTCCAAATGAAGTACACTCTTATGGCAATATAACATTATAATTGGCATCATCTACAAGAATAGAAAGAAATCCTTTCTATAAATCTGATCGGTGAATTCTGAGGTCAGTTATAATAAGGTCCCATGGGTGTGTACAAAAGATCAATAAATCTAGGAAAAATCATTTCGACGTGAAAAATAAACCTATCGAATATCCTTTTTGTTCCGGTCCACTTCAAGGTCTTTAAGAAATAGACACTGTAATCAATATAAACCACCTCCGCGATAATTTATTCCTACATTGCGATGATTCCTAACCATCTAATCTGCAATTCAATGTGTACTGTCATGGTACTTGGGCTATCTTTTATAACCTCTTAAAACACAACACAGTGTTCTGTAAATAGAAACACTACAGAAACATCCTGTTTTGTGTTATCGTCCTCTCCTGATATTGTAACAAACATCCTCTGCTGATCATATTGTAACAAACATGTAACATTCTGAGTTTGACTCTCGTGTGGGTTTGAATTTGTCTAAGTGGCATTATAACAACCTTGTAATATATTGATATTTCAGAGAAAAAATGTTAAAAATTACAAAATTTCAACTCCCACTTTTAAAGCTTTAATTATCTCCTGGACAACTGCTGAATACTCTAAATTCTGTTGTTGAAGGGCAATGTGTGTATAAATATACAGGTTTATATCAATATACCTCAGAACAAAGCTTTAATATAAATGCACATATCTGGTTACATCTGGTTTAGTTCATGTGAATTTTTCTTTTATCAACATAAAAATAACAATAATTAATTCTTTTATGTAGACAGGGTTTGTCTCGTTTACAATATGGTCCTGTCAAACACATAATATATACATTTACATACACAATATAGACGATTATCATGTGTATTTTCATGTATATAGCCATACAGTGCAACCTTCACAAAGCCTTATATTTGCATTCAAGACAGCACTTTGTTATTACTGTGTGTGTGCAAAATCTCCTGATAATTCAGCTGTATAAATATCCTGTTATTTTTGCTGGGAATGAAGTTGTTGGGATCATTGAGATGCCACTGTAATTCACTGGACTCATATATACCTGAATATTACCACATCACACGTGTACACAGACAGTAAACATGTTTATAATTATTTCTTTATTATACATCACCTATCATTATCTGTCACAGCAGATTTGATGACAAATGTTTGCCATTCTTATTAATTACCACCCATAAAGCTTTAACCTCCTTCAAGAAACTGTTCAATGTTCAACCATGGACTGCATCAGTTGTGATATTGTGTGCATGATGGCTAAATACATTGTTTAGTTATTCTCGCTTATATTCATAGAAGAAATTTGAAAAAATATTTCGATCATCATAAATATTGTATTGTAATGCAACAAATTCACAAAAGCATGACCCAGCCACTCATGTTTCTGAGACAGATACATGTACGTATATAAATACCTCTCTTGGGGCCCCTGACTAATTCATTTATCATCATCCGTTCCATTTTCGTAGTTCATATAGGATCATTTGAAATGCTCTGATATTGGGCCAAATTGTACAAAATAAAATAAAAAGAAACATGCTACCAACCTTCATTTGTACCACACCTAAGGTTTCTAACATTTCATTTCTTTCTGATAGTGAAATTACAGGAACTCAGTGAGGCAAAATAATTGACAACATTTCGTTTGCGCTGATACAAAAAAAAAAGCTCCAATTTTTGAAAGATTTTTCCATCTCATGTTATTTTCAAATCAAGGATTTATATCAACTCCATCTGTAGATAAATACCAGATTATGGCAGAGATAAACCTAACATGGAATTAGTCATGTTATGGGTCATTATCAAACAATATCCAATGGACCCTAGTCTAAGGTCCTTGTTTTAATCCAATAAATCCATATTTCAAATAATGTCTCATTCCCTCATGAACATCAATAATATTTTGAAGGAATGTAGAATTTTCACCATATTATTTTTTAACTTTTATCAAATGCAAAATTCCTCACATCTTGCTTTTTTGCTCAGGTTTTTAATCAATGCTTAGAACAGCTTGAACAATGTAATGGTATGTTATTACATCGTCAGATAGGGATATCTGTAAGTACATGTATTCCTTAACAGTTTTTGGGGTGGGGGTGGGGGGTGATTTTACTTCATTGATTGGTTGCAAGCTTCATAAATGTATAACTCAATATTATACCATAGCCAGAGGATAACCAATTGCTCTTTTTCACAAGATCATCATATAAAGACCATCACAATACCCTAAGGAGATCACCAGGTCACCCTCACAAGATCATCCTTTCACCCTAAAAAGATCAACCCATTAAATTACACATTACATCATATCACCCTCACAAAATCATCCTTTCACCCTAAAGAGATCAACCCATTAAATTACACATTACATCATATCACCATCACAAAATCATCCTATCACCCACACAAGATCACCATATCACTTTCAGGAGATCATCATATCACTCTAAAGTAATCATCACATTACCCTCACAAGATTATTATATCACCCTAAAGAGATCATCATATCACCCTTATAAGATCATCATATCACCCTAAGGATATCATCATATCACCCTAAAGAGATCATCATATCACCCTAAGGAGATCATCATATCACCCTAAAGAGATCATCATATCACCTTAAAGAGATGAACAAGTTACACATTATGTCACACTACCCTCACAAAATTATTATATCACCCTAAAGAGATCATCATATCATCTACACAAGATTATTTTATCACACTCACAAGGTCAAGATATCACTCTGAAAAGATCATCATATCAACCTCGCTAGATCACCATTTCACCGTCAAAAAATCATTACATCTCCCTGACAATATCACCACAATACTCTCCAGATATCATCATGTCACCCTCACAAGATTATCATATCAACCTAACAAGATCATAATATCACTCTGACAAAATGATCATATCGATATCCCCCTCAAAAGGTTATCATACACTCTTACAAGATAATCATATCACCCTCAAATGGTTATCATACACCCTCACAAGATAATCATATCACCCTAAAAGAGATCATCATATTACCTTCACAGATTTCATATCTGTCAGGCAGCTCATAACATATTATGAAATGAAGTTAACTGGTATGTCTAATAAAATCATTCACAATAGCTTTTTGATGCAATTCAACTGAATGAGTGAAGTCAGAACTTTACCTAATAGGCTCAGTTCCAAATCCATTTTCCAAAGTTTGGTTGTAAAATCCCGTTTAAATTCAAATAGAGTATATAATATAGAACTCTATCTATCTTTTGCAGAAGATTCTAGGACAAGTATACAATATATCCTATAACAAATGTAGCAATTTCATTTTATCCAATGCCACATCATCCAGGCATTTGTTTCTGATTTAGACTTTGTGATGATTGGATGGGAAAAAATCACAAACATCTGTTGGGAAACTCCTGATTTCTTTTACATGTATATAAATTCACTTACTTTGAAGAATCTGAAGTAGTCTTTCTGTAGTAAGCTTTCGAGAACAGGGTATATCTTCTCATTGTTGAGGGTGTCAAGGTTTTCAACCTTACAAGTACAGTCGTCTACTTCGCCATTCAGCTAAATAAACAGAGATATTACTGTTATTACCAACTGACAGTTAGAATTCAGAGCTTCAAATGGGATTTGAAAGTCAATATTCTTTAACACAAATCTGTTACTATGAAATAAGCTAAATTTCTATTTTGATCCACATCTTTGTGCCTTAGCACTATAAATGCATATAGGTAATTCTTTTGACAATTTTAAGATTTTATAGATATGCTTGATTTTAAAATCCCCTGTAGATGCTGGAAAAGGGCCTACTGTACATATAGCCACTGGTGGCTGTTCCAGCGGACCTGTATTTGACCACAAGTGATCAAAGGACCAGAGGGAGCCACACGTTCCATCTACCGCAAACCAAGATAGATGCATATCGTTACTCCTTCTATCCTAGGACAACAGGAGACAGGAATAGACTACCATCAGAATTTGCCTTGTCACCATCATTAGAGTCCTTCAAGGTGAAGCTGGACGCCTACACCTGGAGCCAGCTCACCAACGCATGCAACTAAGCAATAGTGATGTTTTCAACTTTTATTGTAAATAATGCCCTTTAGGGTTTTTAGCCTTGTCCGCAGCGCACATCCGAGTATATCGCTCTACCAGAGTTAAACTTGATACCGAATGAAGGCGAAGAAGAAGATGAATCCCCACCACATGTTGTCACGAAAGAAATTGTTTTTTTCTGTCGCTTCTACTTGGGGAATATTGAAGAAACCAAAATCAATCTGTTGCCCTTTTTGTGTTACTTAGGACCTCTTCCTAATCTTTTCTTCTCTACCTAGCTACTTGTACATGTTTTCATGTGACTATAGCTGTTGTGATGACATGAAACCCTGAACAAAGCGAAAACAAATTATTTGCAATTCACTGCTTAGTGTTTCAGTCCTCATTAACAAACAGTAGCATAAAGGTTACTAATTGTGGTATACCATAAGTAGCATAGTGCAGAACTGTTTCACAATTAGTCACTACATGCATATGTACCTCAAGATTTATTCTTACTGTGGAAATTTCATTCTTATATTTCTTATTATAAAATCTTATCTACATGTATAAGAATATATAACTATAACTGCAGAAGAAGAAAAACAATACATGATAAAAAAAAACCACTTTTAACATATACCACACTTATTCAAGTATATACATCCTTTTTCTATCTAAACAGAAATGAATTACATACCATACGACGAAATTTCACAGGTGATTGCATTTGACAAGTGATTGAATCCCAAATGAGTAATTACCCATAATGACGCATATTATTACGTATATATACAGATCGAAATATATGACAGTATAGCATGATAAGAAAGATAATAACAGTGACAGGAATTTATTGAGAACTGAAATAATACATCATCAAGAATATGTCATTTATTTATTATCACGCATTAACAATTGTGAAAGATTAATGATAGATCAACAGAATCGAGCGTATTTTGGACATTTGACAACATGAACATGCTGGAAAGGTGGGTGTGTTCTTACCTTGCAGAAACAAGCATTTGAATCATTTTGCTTCTCAGACTTTGCTTCGGTTGTTAAAACAATTGTTAATATAAACACAACACATTGCAAAAATTTGCAAATCTGTTTCCTGCGTTGACAATTCATGTTCTTGTCACATATTTGCGCAGGGAGACCGGTTTATCAATGTTTTGAGAGAGCCTAACAACACCTACAGGAAATTCTTACACTAAAAGTAGGTCATCAGTTATCATCTCTTGAACTAAAATATAGGAGACAAAACAGTCAGCATGACTGTAAAACAATATCAATTATAGATTGCAAATCTTTGTACCAATTTTTCATATAATTAGATATTAAAAATAAAACGCGCATTAATATGAAAATTGTAGTTTAAAGTATACGTGGCGCAACAATATTCGAAACGAGGCGGGGATTCCGTCGTAGAGGGGTTTCCTCGTTTGTGAAACGTGACCTCAAGCACATGAACCAAAACAAACATGCGGTTGTATCGATTACTCAGAGGTAAACGCGATGAAACTCTGTTAGTTGCAAAGAAATCCAGCGATTGTTTTTATATTATTTCAGAGGGAGGGGGAAGTGTTATATGTCGTTAGCTTTCAAAGACTTGAGAGAGTGAGTCAGGTTTTGTCGCTGGTAGATAATATACAAGTAACGTCATGCAATAACTATCATATGGTGTCGTCATCCTAATATATGATGATGTGCATTGACACTCTTATTTGTGAAGTAAGTACAAACATAGATTAGACTTAATTGGCTGGCTAACTAGGTCTACCAATTGAGCTAATGTCAAGTAATGAGAAATTTCCCAAAGCCGAGTTGGAAGGAAGCAGCTATAATTTTATTGGCTTACCTGGTCCTATACTTTGTCAGCCGTCCGTGGTCTGTCTTTCATGACCTGTTGTCCGTCAACGATTTCTTCAAATGACTTCTATATCTTCTAAACCACTGATTGGAATTTTACTAAATTTGACTTGAAAGCGTCTCTAATTGGTGAGGATTCTTAATTGCACAAATGGAGGGGCTGACCCCCCACCCGGGAAGGGGGAGGGGGTGGTGGGCGTGTCCAAATAAGGGTAATTTGACCATATTGCTTTAAGAAATTTCTCTGTAACCAAGAGGAGGTCAAATCAACCATATTTGTTTGGAAGCATTAAATTCTCAGTTGGTGTGGATTTAAATTAAAAATTAAATGTACAAATGGAGGGGCTGAAACCTTGGTGTCTTAGGGGCGGGGCAAAAAGGGGTGGAACGTTTGCAACCAGTTAGCTCAATTGGTTAACCCTTTCACCACTGTAGACCATAATCTAGATCAATGTGTGGTAGAGTTTATTAAAGTTACATAGGGGTGAAAGGGTTAAGAGTGTCTGCATATAGAGTTCTGATGGTGCAGGTTTGAATCCCGAGCCAGTATTCATGAAACCGTTCTCATGCTCTAGCATGGAGTCTTATTTCTTGTTCCAGTAATAAATTGATAAACAAATATTATTTTGTCAATGATTTGGAATAAATTTGAGGAGACTAAAAGCCAAATTCTGTTTTCAATGTTTGCATTTGACCTTTTGACCATTTTACGTTATTTAAGCGAGTTGCAAACTGGATCGAGAGTTTCCTGACCGGTAGAACTCAGACAGTAGTAGTTGAAGGGGAGAAGTCTGATTTTGTCGATGTCCATTCCGGGGTACCCCAGGGGTCAGTTTTGGGACCCAGTTTATTTCTTTACTTTATAAACGATATCCCTGTGGGTCTAAATGCTACAATCCGTTTATTTGCAGACGACACTATTGCATATCTAGTTATCAAGTCAAACAGTGATGCTGAAACACTTCAAAATGATCTTGACAAACTAGCGCTCTGGGAAAATACATGGAAAAAGATCTTCCAACCAAACAAATGCAATGTGTTGTCGGTGACTAAAAACAAAACTCCAATAGTCCATAATTATACTTTACATGGACACATAATGGAACATCTTAGTCAGGCCAAGTATCTGGGTGTAACACTATCATCTGACCTTAAATGGGATTCACATATAAATACTATCTGCCCAAAAGCAAATTCTACGCTAGGCTTTTTAAGACGAAATCTTAAAATTTGCTCAACATCAGCCAAAGTACAGGCATACAAATCATTAGTTCAACCATCACTTGAGTATGCCTGTACAGTATGGGACCCTCACACCCAAACAAATATTGACAAGTCGGAAATGGTCCAGCGAAGGGCAGCGCGCTATGTGCTCAATAAGCACAGGTACAACCATCGTACCTCCAGTGTGTCAGAAATGGTGGACCACCTAAAGCTGCGCCCTCTAGCAGATAGACGTAGAGATGCTCGTCTGACCATGCTTCATAACATTGTAAACCAGAAAGTCGCTATCGTAAAATCAGACAGATTAATCCCTACAGTTAGAAAATCCCGAACAAACCACCAGTTTTCGTATCGAATTCCCCACTCAAAAACCCAGACCAGAAAGGCATCATTCTTCCCTCGAACTACACCCGAGTGGAATAAACTCCCCCCTGACATTATTTCGAGCCCCAGAACGGAATTATTCAAATCAGCCCTCTACCGTCGCCTTTCAAACGCAAATTAGACCATCTTGTATCTTTTAAAAACACTCTCTTTCCATGTTTCACTCCTCGTCTGACATTTTATCTTCAAATTGTTGAAGTTGATCAGTACCATTTAGAAGTAGAAGTAAAAGAAAGTTGGTTTGAGCACAGAATGCATGCTTTGGCATGAGAACGGTTTCATGAATACGGACCATGGTGTGCCTGCGTGTATTTTTGCTCTCCTGTTACATTAGTATCCAATTAGGCATATGGTATGGACAGCTAAGAATTTTATTTAAATTTTAGAACAAGTATAAGTATTATATTCTCATACTGAAAATAAAGACAATGTAATTAAAAGAAAAACCTCTTTTCCAATCTGATGAAGATGTAAACTTTCATATTTTGCAGTGGCCCAAAGATATTCACACAGAAGATGTTTTTGTTCAGCTACACAATCCCAGCCTCCGGACCTGAAGAAGTATCTGACAGCTCGTATCGCAGCCAATGGGCCGATGTCTGTAGCAGAATACATGAAGGAGGTCCTTACAAACCCTATTTCTGTAGGTACTTGTTATAAGCCCTGTGATATTTTAATAAGATTGAATGTACAATGTACTATTAACTCATTTACCCCTGAAGACACATTTGAACTCTTCCAATTCAAAGGTTGGTATAATTCATTATGAAATTTCAGGGATGATTGAGTTCACCCTTTCACCCCAAGGTAACTTGATGTAGACTCGACCATACACTCATCTGGGTGAGTCCATGATGGTCTACAGTGGTGAAAGGGTTAATCCCATTGTGGATTCAAGGGCACACATTGTAAAGAAGCATTTCCACTACTGCCCTAGTAAATCCATATCTTAGCTAGTTTTCAATTCATGTTTCTTTATAATATATATATGCATATGGATGTACCATTGGAAACTTCAGGTTGCATTACTTTATAAACTTTTGAGAATGTCTTAAGGTGATTTCTTTTTCATTTTACAGTCAAAATTTAGGTAAAATTGATAGAATGTGTAGATAGTCCTATATCATAACCAAAATTACTCTACTACAAAGGTGATTACCCTGTAAATATATGTTTTTGGGATAATCCCTGTTTGTTGTTAGCATGCATGAAAATGTTATCTAGATTTAATTAAAACACTTTTTTCAGTTGACAGGAAAGCAGCACATTTGAATGGGTTTTGAAACCTGAAACATATATATTTTTTATGACCGAATCAATATCTCTTCATTATTTCCACAAAGAGTATATGGTCAGATATTAGACAGTCTTTTTTTTTTTTTTTTTTTCAAAATTGATAAAAAATCTCATCCGTTTACTTGACAGGGGTACTACATGCATAAGAATGTAATTGGACGAGACGGTGACTTCATCACTTCACCAGAAGTTAGTCAGATGTTTGGGGAGGTTTGTACTTCTGTTAACATTTAAATCAGTGAGTGGAAAATATTTAGGTTTATTTATTAAAGATTGACACATATCTGGCTTTTGATGATACAAAATGTACTTCTATTCACTTTGGAACTCAAAGGAAGTTAAAAAGTTGACAATGTCTGCATTGGCAGAAAGATATTTTTGATTAAGTTATTTTTTCTCAATTTTTTTTTTTCAATTTCCTGTGATCTATAATAAAAAAAATGTAGATAATACCAATATATTCAAAATTCTGATCGTAATACATGTTGTGTATATTGCAATATATTCACTACTAGTGATTGGGCTGATGATCGATTATATAATCGAAAAATCGATCGGTTTACCCTTTAGATTCCGATTATCGATTACAAATTCCATAATTGATATAATCGGTTCATTATTGAAATCAAATTATTCAAATGTCTTCCATGTATTCTTTAAATAATATATTCTTATGATCTAATTATACTATATGATTGATAAAATGCAAAGAAGTTGCTTGATAACCATTAATTATAAAAGAACAAAACCTGATGTACATGTTTAGTGAACAACTCTATTCTCTTACTTTATTGGGGTGTTCAGTCCCATGCAATTATCAACCAATTATGCAATCGATCATCGATCGGTTTACTACATCCCATTACAAACCGATTATCGATTGTGACTTACACCAATTGCCCATCACTATTCACTTCAAAAACTCACCACTAGAAGTATGCTGGTTTTTGTCATCCAGATGTTGGTTTGTTGACAATGCAGAACAGACAGTTGAAAGGTTCACTGAAAAAAAAAAAAAGATTTCTTCATCTGTTGCTTATACTCTTTACAATTTTAGGGAAAAAAATATTCTGATATAATGCTTCTTTGAATTCAGTACATTGTAGAATTTTTTTATGGCATTGGTGAAAACTTACCATGTCTAAGACATGGTACTCAAATATTAAATGTATTACATACATATATGTATGTGATATTTGAGGAAGATTTTGTTTCAGCTGTTAGGAATATGGTGTATCAATGAGTGGGTGAAGGCGGGCATGCCTCCAACCTTCCAGCTGGTGGAGCTGGGGCCAGGGCGGGGCACACTTGCTGACGACATGCTCAGGGTAGTAACACTCTTTTTACAATTGAAACCAGTGGAAGGTTTTTTTCAGAAGTTTTCATGTTGGCATGTGCACGAAATGGTATTTTGTCAGGAAACCACAAAATTTGGGCCCAACGGAAAGGTTTGACTTCATTCAAATTGGGCACAAATATAGCATCACAATTTAAGAAAAAAATAAAGTTTTATTTGGATAAAATTTTAGACATTTGATGGGATAAATACATTTTTACTACTTTTTTGTTATTAAAGAATTAAATTAGTTTAATTATTTGAAAACATTTTTTTTTTTAAAGTATCTGTCAAACTTTGTCTTTAAGACTTTTGCTCAGTTCCCTACCTTCGGAGATAAAGTCAGTTTACACATGGTAGAAATAAGTCCCAAGTTGTCCCAGCAACAGGAGGAAAAGCTGACGGGCAATCCTGGGACAGAGGTGGAGGCTGACGTCGGTAGTGCTGAACCTCCTTACAAAACCGTGAAGTCCAGACACGGACCAGAGGTCAAGTGGTACAAGGATTTACGAGAAGTCCCCGAGGGGTTCTCCTGCTATATAGCACACGAGTTCTTTGATGCACTACCTATCTTCAAATTTCATGTAAGTATTTTATATTTAATTCTTATTAAAGCATACAAGGTTCGTAGTGGTAGTGTTTTCATCTGTGTGACATACCGAATCTCTTTAATATGTTTGATTAAAAGAATCAGCTGTTACGTTTAAACCAATCTCATACCCTAGTCATCAGACTATCATACATCTCTTAATTCCTACGTACATGTAATATTTGTGAAGCCTGTTGTCACTATAGTGCGATCAAAGCATGTGTCAGGCCGCCTTGTCAATGCAAGGTCATCACATTTCATTGAAATCATACTTTCAGGGGTCACATAATCTGATAGCATACATCGAGGATATATGTTGTGTTGTCTGCCGTCTGTCAACTTTTTCTTTGATCAGGTTCTTCTAAAGAAACTGGTGGACCTAGGGCAATGATATTTGGTCAGTAGTTACCTAGGACAGAATCCTAGTAAGTTTCCTCATATAAATGACCTTGCCTACTTTCAAAGTGACTGGTCAAAGGATCAAATATGGAAAAAAACTTTAAACAACTTCTTCTGAATTACCTGGAGGCCCTGGGTGATTTTATTCGACCAGTAGCATGCTGGAATAGAGTAGTATAACATTTCATTTAGCCTGGAACATTCTTAAGGCAAGGAGACTCAATATATGGAAACATTTTCAAAATAACTTTCATTCAGAATATTTTCCCATGATTCCTCAAATATCCAGGTGAGCAATACAGGTTCTTGTTAATGGTTTACCATTGAATACCATTATATATTTCATGAGTATGGTAGAATATTGGTATACTGCAGTTCTTTGTACTCATGAAACAAAAGGGGAAAAATATAAGATCTACAAACCTCTTCATTTCATGACAATTTTTCTTCTCAGAAAACGCAGGAAGGATGGCGTGAGGTTTTGGTTGACCTAAACACTAGTAAATCAAATGAGGATGAGGTAGCCACTAGTCAGTCGGACTCGGACTTCAGATATGTCATCGCTGGTGGTCCAACCTTCCCTGCGAGAGCTTTTCTAAAGGTAGGAAAATATGAACTGTACATTTGATCATTTTGATCTTTTATTAATTTTTGTTTCCAAGATTTTGGATTTATTAAAGTAACTTGTAAATAGGTCATTTTCATCCAGTGGCATAATTTTTTCGATTTTAAGATTCATTTTATCAATGCAAAAATATCTTAACAGGCAAATATACTGAAGTATTATGATAAATGTATTGAAGCAATATTTCCAAAGAGATAATTTCCATACCAAAAATACAGCCAAGCTTCCATAAATCAAAATTAGAAGATTGAAACTTCTCAGTTTTTGTCGAACTTAAACAAAGTCCAGATTTTTTCCACTGATATTCCCTTCATAAATCAAACTTTCATGAGTCAAATTTCTCGCTGTTTCGATCATAATAAAGGTTGAATCGTTATGAAAACATTGAAAATTACAATTAATAAATCAAAGTAAAATCATAAACAGCATGAGAAGATTGAAATGTCCCACTACAATGGACAACACTGAAAGTGATCTCAAACCTGTTCATCCCTACGTAACTTTAATAGACTCTACTATGCATTGATCTTGTTAAGTCCATTATGGTCTACAGGGGTTAACACAATCTGTTGAATGAGGTGATAGCAGGAGCAGGTTTGACTATAAATACAATCAGTCATTGTCAACCAACAGTAGTTACAAACATAACAACACAATAATAAATCATCTATATATATAAAATGTCCACTAAAAGTCAGGAAAATTTTCTCTTTAGGATTAGCTTTATATTTAGAGAACTTTATTATAAGAACATTTCTCTCCTTTTCCACATATGATATAGTTGATTAGTCTGATGCTGCTTTCAGGCGAGCCTTGACAAAGCCTTGCAAGACCTGCATAAACATTTACAGGTCCACACGGATTTATACCCGAAATTGTTACATTTAAAAACGGACAAACTGGTTGTTTCGCATAGGCCCCAGGTTCTTCTTTTTACTGTAAGAGACGAATCTCCAAGGAGTGAGCTACCTGGTATTACTGTCTCTGGGTACTTTGCAAGCATGTGCTGTAAAGATAAATTTGATATTTTTTTTTTTACTAGAATTGGAGCATATACAGTGGTTTTTCAACACGGGTGGTGTCTTAATACAGGTTCAGTTCAGAACAGAAAAAAAAAAGAATTTGAGCATTTCAAGTGGTCTTTTAACACAGGTGGTCTTTCAACACAGGTGGTCCCATTAGCAGGTTAGACAAAAGAAATTGTGTGAAAATGTCAAGGTTTGCATTGTGCTGTTCAAATAATATGATACATTTGAGTTCTCTATTGAGACATCCATGTCACATAGATATAATATTTTTACTGGTATATTATAGAGTGACTGTCCCTCCTACTCAAACTTTCACTTCAAAATTTCCCTCCCAATTGGTATATTGGAGGCACGGTAGTCTAGTGGTGAGACACCTGGCTTGTGACCAGGCTCGTGAGCGAAGATATTGGCTGCTGGTTGCAAAGGTCCTATAACCACAGATCATAATTTGTGAACCCCTTGGAGACGACCTATGAACTAGGTTGTGATGAAACAGTATATAAGAACCTCAAATTATTATATCTTCACAAAATGCAACAGACAGGTCCCATCCTATATCAACGAAAAAAACACTGAAACATCTATAGCATCATTATTAAATTAAAACAATAGCTTAATGTCATCAACTTAATTCCATTCCTTTAGCATATACAGCCAGAGGACCCACGTAACCACCTGGAGGTGTCACCAGTGGGCGGAGTCGTCATCTCGGAGTTGGCCAAAAGAATAGCCGAGGAAGGAGGATTTTCACTTATCATCGACTATGGCCATAATGGTGACAAGACAGATACATTCAGGGTAAGTGAAATAAGGCTACTGGAATTTAGATAAGAAATCCTATTGATAAGTGTCTCATTAAAATTTTGAAATAACTAATGAGACTTGAAGAAATGTGACAATTACTTTAGCCAGGAGATTTTGGCTACCACTTCTGCACTTCTCGAAGAGGGAAACCAGGGAAAAATTCACATGTATAATTAGCGGAGGAATGAATTTACCAAATTTTAATATCAAGAGGTCAGGGTTTAAATTTGGCGGGACAAACATAATATTACAGGTATTGTTTACAGAATCACATGATAGGGAGGGTGGGTGNNGGGGGGGGTGGGGGGTCCTTCGTTTCATACATTCATACATTTCAGGGAATCTATCTTTGTTACTCACAATCTCATGATTTTAGAATACTGTCCGGAAATTGTTGGACATCGCTGAAACTTGACTGAGGGTAGAGTGTGATAATGCAATCAAGAAAATGTGTTAATGAATTAAGGGAGTTAAATACCACTGAAACTTGTGTTATCTGACACCCTCGGCATCCAACAATTTTTGGATAACAGATCTCTGGTATGTGACAGGAGACGGAATACCTAGAGATCAGATTAGACAGGTTTTGTTGTTACATCAACACTTTGAAGTGAAGGTGTACGACTTAACTGGCAGGTATTAGAAAATGAAATCAATTTTTTGTTTAATGATGCAAGGTCAGTTGAATGATCTTTAAATATGTGCGGACCATTCAAACATGCTAAGGAAACTAGTATCTGCAAAACTGTACAAGTATCAATATATGTAATATAGATATCCTTAAACGCACTACAGACTGATGTCAGATATTTTATTTTTGGTTATCACAGGCATTTAAGAATCATAAACAACATGATGCACTTAAAGATCCCGGGACGGCAGATTTGACTGCTGATGTTGACTTTTCCTACCTTCGGTCCATGGCAGAATCCAAAGGTATATTTTTTCCTGTACACAAACCTGGTTAGTGAAATGGAAGCTATTTCTGTGTTAAGTCTTATTAATTGCAATTTCTTGGGACCATGGTTTTTATGCCCCTCTCTCCCAGTATGTCAGTTTGGCATGGGATGAGTGTATATTGTCGACTTGCGGTACTCTTGTTGGTGTTTATTTTAAGTGATAACAGCACATAACGGTAACTAGTTTGAGCCATTTTGAAATGATATGACAAAACAAAAAGGCCTGTAATATTTGGTCAGGGGAAGGCAGACATCACAGAAAAAGTAAAAATTGGATAAGGTCCTGTCATTAATGTAAATATGAAATACGAGGATGTCCATTTTGTACAACTTTATCTCTTATATTTTCTGGATCAGTCTGATTCCTTATAGGTGTGTAAACATTTAGATGTTAAAGAGATCCATTTATGTTTCAAAATATATATGTATCAGACTCGAAGTGTGTGAATTTTACCACTTTCTACCATATCTCACAGTTTGGAGTATCAATAGAAGATATGTTCTTACATTGTAATACTGATTGCCTTAATTATGAAATCTTAAGATAAAATTTAAAGTATTTAACAGAAATTATTTTTTTATCATTTTCATTTTCTGCAGTTAAAGTATTTGGTCCAGTAACCCAGAAAGATTTCCTTCACAACATGGGGATTCTTGCCAGGCTACAGGTAAGCTTGATTACAGGAAGAGGTAGATATATATATTAATCTAGTTCCCATAGTACCGTTAAGTTGATTACAGGTAGAGGTAGATATACAGATCGGCCTAATTAATAAACTACAGGTAAGCTTGATAACAGGTAGGGGTAGATATAGATATAGATCTAGTTCCTATACTGCCAGTAAGCTTGATTACAGGTAGAGGTAGATATATATATTAATCTAGTTCCTATACTACCGGTTAGCTTAATTACAGGTAGAGGTAAATATATATATTAATCTAGTTCCTATACTACGGGTTAGCTTGATTACAGGTAGAGGTAGAAATACCTATATATTAATCTAGTTCCTATACTACGGGTTAGCTTGATTACAGGTAGAGGTAGAAATACCTATATATTAATCTAGTTCCTATACTACCGGTTAGCTTAATTACAGGTAGAGGTAAATATATATATTAATCTAGTTCCTATACTACCGGTTAGCTTGATTACAGGTAGAGGTAGATATACCTATATATTAATCTAGTTCCTATACTACCGGTTAGCTTAATTACAGGTAGGGGTAGATATGCAGATCGGTCTAGTTCTTATACTACCGGTAAGCTTGATTACAGGTAGGGATAGATTTACACATACAGTACAGACACCCTAAAAGATTCATTATAGACTGCTCAAACTTATTTACGCACTAAATGTTTTTTGTTTTATTAAAACATGAAAACATATATATAGACATTTTTTATACAATTTTCATTATCTCTTAATTCCTTCTATCTGTTGATGTGTTTCAGATGTTGATGAATAATTGTAAAGATGAAAAGAGATCAAAGATTTTACTTAGTGAATACGAAATGTTAACACACCCTGACAAGATGGGAAGCCGATTCCAATTCCTGGCATTGTTAAGCGGTGACGATGATGATAAAGACTATGTACCATCGGGCTTTATAAACCCATCGGAACATGAAGTGAACAACAGTGAATAGATGTAAATTAAATTGTGATGCAAAGTTTTACTTATCATGAAATAAAGTTCATGCACTTGACTGGAAATTTAATAATGTGCAAGTGTTTTATCATTTATAACCAATTTTACGACTGGAGGCATCCGACAGCAATCCCATTATTATAACTCCAAATAAGTCTGAATTATTGTCTCCCCTTCAAATGTATAGAGAGGCATATTGTTTTAGTTCTGGTGCTTCTGGGCTGTAACTTTAAATCATTAAAGGTATCTTGATGAAACTTGCAGTACACCTGCACTGCCCACAGAAGATGTGCAGTTCACTATTGTTAAGTTACATGTACTGTGATCTTGACCTTCAGATAAAAGGTCAAATAAATACAATTATTTTAAGAAATCTTGTCTGGGACATACATTTTTAGGTCACCTGAGCTTTGCTCAAGTGACCTATTCTAATCGCTTTTCGTCCGTCGTCGTCCGTCGTGCGTCGTGCGTAAACTTTTACATTTTCAACTTCTTCTCAAGAACCAGTGGATGGATTTTTTTCAAACTTGGTCAGAATCATCCTTGGTAGATGAGGCTTCAAAATTGTAAAATTGGGATTCCTACCCCAACCCCTGGGGCCAGGGCGGGGCCCCAAAGGGAAAATTAACCAATATTTCAAAAATCTTCTTCTCCAGACTCAGAGGTACTACAGTGATTTTCTCTACGTGGAAAGAAAGATCATCAGGGGCTTTACTTAAATTGTAAATTTCAGGACCCCCGAGCTATCCGTTCTCCCTTGGGGAGGGGGTAAAGTTTACTATAGTTTATATAGGGAAATAACACTTTTGGGTATATTTTGACAACTTTCTGTAGGAAATTATTTTTACTTGGTGAGAATTATCCTTGGAGGTAGATGGTTTCAAATTGTAAAATTGAGATTCCTACCCCGACCCCTGGGGCCAGGGCGGGGCCCCAAAGGGAAAATTAATCAATATTTCAAAAATCTTCTTCTCCAGACTCAGAGGTACTACAGTGATTTTCTCTACGTGGAAAGAAAGATCATCAGGGGCTTTACTTAAATTGTAAATTTCAGGACCCCCGAGCTATCCGTTCTCCCTTGGGGAGGGGGTAAAGTTTACTATAGTTTATATAGGGAAATAACACTTTTGGGTATATTTTGACAACTTTCTGTAGGAAATTATTTTTACTTGGTGAGAATTATCCTTGGAGGTAGATGGTTTCAAATTGTAAAATTGAGATTCCTACCCCGACCCCTGGGGCCAGGGCGGGGCCCCAAAGGGAAAATTAATCAATATTTCAAAAATCTTCTTCTCCAGACTCAGAGGTACTACAGTGATTTTCTCTACGTGGAAAGAAAGATCATCAGGGGCTTTACTTAAATTGTAAATTTCAGGACCCCCGAGCTATCCGTTCTCCCTTGGGGAGGGGGTAAAGTTTACTATAGTTTATATAGGGAAATAACACTTTTGGGTATATTTTGACAACTTTCTGTAGGAAATTATTTTTACTTGGTGAGAATTATCCTTGGAGGTAGATGGTTTCAAATTGTAAAATTGAGATTCCTACCCCGACCCCTGGGGCCAGGGCGGGGCCCCAAAGGGAAAATTAATCAATATTTCAAAAATCTTCTTCTCCAGACTCAGAGGTACTACAGTGATTTTCTCTACGTGGAAAGAAAGATCATCAGGGGCTTTACTTAAATTGTAAATTTCAGGACCCCCGAGCTATCCGTTCTCCCTTGGGGAGGGGGTAAAGTTTACTATAGTTTATATAGGGAAATAACACTTTTGGGTATATTTTGACAACTTTCTGTAGGAAATTATTTTTACTTGGTGAGAATTATCCTTGGAGGTAGATGGTTTCAAATTGTAAAATTGAGATTCCTACCCCGACCCCTGGGGCCAGGGCGGGGCCCCAAAGGGAAAATTAATCAATATTTCAAAAATCTTCTTCTCCAGACTCAGAGGTACTACAGTGATTTTCTCTACGTGGAAAGAAAGATCATCAGGGGCTTTACTTAAATTGTAAATTTCAGGACCCCCGAGCTATCCGTTCTCCCTTGGGGAGGGGGTAAAGTTTACTATAGTTTATATAGGGAAATAACACTTTTGGGTATATTTTGACAACTTTCTGTAGGAAATTATTTTTACTTGGTGAGAATTATCCTTGGAGGTAGATGGTTTCAAATTGTAAAATTGAGATTCCTACCCCGACCCCTGGGGCCAGGGCGGGGCCCCAAAGGGAAAATTAATCAATATTTCAAAAATCTTCTTCTCCAGACTCAGAGGTACTACAGTGATTTTCTCTACGTGGAAAGAAAGATCATCAGGGGCTTTACTTAAATTGTAAATTTCAGGACCCCCGAGCTATCCGTTCTCCCTTGGGGAGGGGGTAAAGTTTACTATAGTTTATATAGGGAAATAACACTTTTGGGTATATTTTGACAACTTTCTGTAGGAAATTATTTTTACTTGGTGAGAATTATCCTTGGAGGTAGATGGTTTCAAATTGTAAAATTGAGATTCCTACCCCGACCCCTGGGGCCAGGGCGGGGCCCCAAAGGGAAAATTAATCAATATTTCAAAAATCTTCTTCTCCAGACTCAGAGGTACTACAGTGATTTTCTCTACGTGGAAAGAAAGATCATCAGGGGCTTTACTTAAATTGTAAATTTCAGGACCCCCGAGCTATCCGTTCTCCCTTGGGGAGGGGGTAAAGTTTACTATAGTTTATATAGGGAAATAACACTTTTGGGTATATTTTGACAACTTTCTGGTGGAAATTATTTTGACTTGGTGATAATCATCCTTGGAGGAAGATGGTTTCAAATTGTAAAATTGAGATTCCTACCCCAACCCCTGGGGCCAGGGCGGGGCCCCAAAGGGAAAATTAACCAATATTTCAAAAATCTTCTTCTGCAGACTCAGAGGTACTACAGTGATTTTCTCTACGTGGAAAGAAAGATCATCAGGGGCTTTACTTAAATTGTAAATTTCAGGACCCCTGAGCTATCCGTTCTCCCTTGGGGAGGGGGTAAAGTTTACTATAGTTTATATAGGGAAATAACACTTTTCGGTATATATTTTATCCATTTTCAGCAGAAAATTACTCAAACTTAGTCAGAATCATCTTAGGTGAATGAGAGGATTACTTTGTAAAATTGGGATTCCTGCCCCATCCCCAGGGGCTAGGGCGGGGCCCCAAAGGGAACATTTACCAATATTTTAAAATTCTTATCCATTGATGACATGACAAGTATTGTATTTCACTTAGTTTACATGCTGATTTCCACATCACATCTAAACAATAAAATAAAGCTACAAGACCCTATGATATAACTCAGGTGACCGCTAAGGCCCTTGGGCCTCTTGTTAACTTAGAGAGAACTTGATTAATGATAGTTGACACACTCAGTTTTATTGCCGTCAACATTTTGCTTCACCGATTCTCATTCCAACACGACATGGCATGACCTAGATACTCAAACGGAGGAAATCTACACTTCATGATCAAGAGGGAATTCAGAGTTTGATCATATGATGGAATGAGTATTCAAATCTTAATACTTACAAAACTTACTGATCAGATTTTACAATCATGGAACATGTTATATCAACTTATATTATTCACTCTTGTTTGCCCAAATGTTATCGAACAACAGTACCCCGAGAAATCCCATGTGGTCAGTCAGGTGACCCCATACCTTTTCACGACCGATTGGAGAATAGCAGATGTGCTATCCACGTGCACTGCACTGTCCAACCACGATCACTTTTTAAAATTAAAACTCCTACATGTTTTTGAAAGCTGGCAAAGGGAAGAAACAGAATACTGTCTCATTACAATTTTGCTCTTGTTGAATTAGGGAAAAAAAAGTACCATTACATATTTTAAATGTATTTATTGACAATTTTGACATGTAGTATCATCATCATAATTCATTCTGCAACATGTGATATGACAAATAGTAAACAAATACAACTGAAGAAATTATATCATGTATCTGTACAATAAATGAAAATATGTCCTATCATGTACAATTATTTGATGAAGGAACAGTAAACTACTGGTTAAGAAGCTAGTGGGCAAATTTCAGCAAAATTGAAATTTTATGGACTCGTACATTTCCTAAAATTGCAAAATTCTGACATGCCTTTCTTCTGTTGAATACCCACATGGCCCCTATCCGTTCTTACTGCCGAGCCCAGTTGTTCATTAATTTAATCACTGTTTAATGACATTTTTCAATCTCTAATTTTGTCAGAATACTAGGTAAAATCTTGTAATTTTGCTTGTAATTTACTTTAATATTCCGTTGTGTTTTAAAGATACACCAAAAATAAATGTACATTAAACAGTGAATAAGCTATTCACATTTTGAACAACTGCACTTTGGTATATACTTTGATAAAAAGCAAAATATCTTCAGAGAATATGATTGTGGTAAATAAAAAGTATAAAAATCTAATAATTTCTAGATTCAAACATCGCTTTATACTGATTTAAAAAAAAATCATTAATTAACTGATTTAAAGAAAATTAATTTAATAGAAATTCACAAGAAATAGCATAATTATTAACCATGTATCAATTAAACCAGGTTAAAGAGATTCTATATAAACAACTTGATAAACATAAATACTACCAATTGAATATAGAAAAAAATATATAAAAGTTACATTCACTACTAGTACAATTACTACCAGTACAAAACGCCTTTAGTGACACGAATGATTTATTAATGAACTTACCGTATTTGTCGTAATTACCACCCCTCCCCTTTTAATGAGAGGAATTGAAATTCTATATACCCCATCCAAGCCCTTACCAGGCACAGTTATTGATTTAAATGATTTACAGTACTTATAATTTAAAAATAGAGATTTATGTCTGGTGACTCAACTTCCCATGAAGCAGATGAAACATTTGATATCCAAACCACCAGCCACACTGGAATGTACAAACTGTCCTTCTGTTATACTGAAGCAAAGGTTGAAGTAGCACAGCTTGTTCTATCATTATCATAACCCCCCCCCCCCCCCCAATTTTGTTTCTTCTAATCAGTGCCCCAATTTAAGCTCTTCTTTTTTTTAAATGCCCTGGGCCCTAATTACGGCAAATATGGTACGTGTACTGCTATAAAATGCATAGCACAAATGAGATTTCATATCAATATTGTGTAGATCTTTGAAACGTTGATGCATGTTATGAGACTGGCATTTTATGGTCACTGTATTTTACAAATAATAATAATAAAGATATCCAGCATGTTATGATTAATAACAATTTATGTCCCATTGAGTGATTTTATTCTGAAGTGTAATTTAGAGCTTCAACGATTACATTATATTTAAAAAAAAAAAATCACAACATGGGTAATAAATCATAAACAATTTATGCTAGATGGATATCAGAGTTTATCCCATAACTGATATAACAAGGAAAATTATTTTCACTCTCTACCAAATCTGTTGACTTCATACTACAAGTGCAATGTAACCCATGGGCTGGGAAGGATGAAACCTGTATACATGTGTACATGTACGGTAACCTGTACTCTACTAAATCGTGTTCATTTCGATCAAACTTTTATGTGTCAAAGTCATTGTTATCATGAAAGTTAACACAATACATCCCAATAAATTACAATTAACCAAAGATTACAAAAGAAAGATTACTATTTCTGATATCATAAATTCATAAAAAAAATTGACAGCATATTAATATTTTCCAATATTTGAGATTTTTCATTATTCAAATATAATATATGAAAACATTAATATCTGTATTTTCCTTTTCATCTGTTCAGATCCTGTTCAAAAGTATAGCTAAACCTGCCTTTGAGACCACCTGTCTATTGTGACCACTTTTTTCTTGTCCCCTGAGCAGTTGCTATAGACGGGTCTGATTAATAGTGAAAAATAGTCAGTTTGCAGTGTACCGGTATGTAAAAATATTTTATAAAAAAGCCTGGATGGACTTCAGCATTCTATTCCATATCTATCAAAGTTCCTTAGAACCACACCGAGCTGTAAGTGAACTTTGCCCATGGCCACTGTATGAAGTCTGTATCTATCTGCACCACTGTATATTAAGTCTGGGTTTTTGAGCTGGGGACCACCTCCAAGGAAATGCTGTGACACTTGTTCTCGGAACTCTCCAGCCGGCCGCCATGTCGGACAATCAATGTCGTGAATTCCAGGGGAGGTTGGGAGATGACAAAAACCATAACCATATAATTCATTTCTTCCAAAAGAATCTTGATGCCACACCTGAAAATGTATCTTTGGCCAACCTGCAAGGATACAAAATACAGTGGTAATGAATATTCAATTCAAAATTTTGAAACAAATATATTATTGAAATAGATGTTAAAAGAATTGGCTTAATAACTGTATTGAGAAACACATCCTATTGAACTACTAATTGCTACAGCAAGCTATTTCACTCTCATTTTACAGTTGCTAGTTGGACAATTTGTTTTCAATTGTTACCATTTTCATTTTGCATAAACCAGAATAAAGTGTGCATATTTCAATAGCCCATGATACTGAGCTATTATCAAATACTCAACAGCAGGGCCCAAAAACGGATAGTATTTATTTTTTGTTATAGTGCATTGGTGGGAATTTTATAAAATAACTGCACACATCACTTTTAAATGTAAGTTTACGACGAAACATGACTCACCAATGAAAATGTAATTGATGTTTTCACAAATTTCCCAAGAAAATACTAGATTTTTGAAGTCAAGATAAAGTAATTAAGCTTAACTGTAATAACGTTCACATAAAACTACTACAGTACATCTACTACATTTTATTAGAATGCATGTTGAAAGAAAATTCCAGCAGGTGAAACATGAGGGGTAACAATTTATTTTGTCATCACCTTGGAGTCCTTTAGTGGCTAAGTGAAGATCGATGGGATGTGACCAGTAAGCTGCCTCTTGGTTCTGGGGATTGTCCACCTGTGTTTGACCTTCACGTAAGCCTGACAAGACCTTCCACGCACCACCTAGTCAAGTAGGAATAATGGTAAAAAGGTCACTTGAAGATTTATGAAATTAAAAGTTAATTATGCCACTATTTGACAAGGTAAAAATAAGAAAAAAATGAAAGGAGATTGGAGATATGTTACAGGTAAGCAAGGTAGCAATTGAAATGACACATTGCTGGGTATATCAAGGGTTGTTGTGGTCTGATGAGAAAGACATTTACATTAAAAATTAACAGTAAGGCATGCATTCTTGGTTTGGATTCCTTTTTACCTTATCACAGGTATCCCTTGCTAAGAAATTATCTGACAAAAACTGCAACAAATTGCCCCTATATATAGTGAACTTATTTCTTAGGTTTCATAGGGTTCAGTATAAATTGTCTTACATGCATATATACACACAATATGTAGTGTAACAGAAATGGAAAACGAAATTAACCTGATCAGTTTTAAAACCTGGTTCATTGCCAAGTGACCCAGTCATGATAAAGTGAGCTCAACCACATGTGCATGCCTCAATTTTCCATTTTTTTGTTTAGGCATTCTGTTCCTTATTCACAATTAAACAACTCTGACCTTGCTTGCAATGTTTTGTAAGAATAGATCTATGTTTTTGAAGTATCTAATGAAAGTGAATTTATCACATTCAAATATTTCAAAACTAATGATGATTGCCTAATACAGTCAGGCCTCTATGAAATTCCTTTCTCTGCATTGGATGTGGTTATCATTTCAACATGGAACTGATTTAACCCTCAAAACTCCTTACATTTTTTACCAACTATGGGGACGATATTCTATCTGCATCTTAATGATATACCACCAGCACTAGCCTTACCTGTCAATACACTATATAGGTTCGAATGCTGTCTATTTCCACTGCATTGATTTTGGTTTTGTTATACCTCTATATGAATTATTATGCCTTTGGCTACAGTATATTAACAGCTATATATGCCAACTTACCAATGTGGATACCCCATTTACAGAAAAGACTGTGTTCAGGGAATCCTGAAGCACCTACTAATTGTCCTATGACATGTACTTCTGCCATCTGGAATAAACAATTTCATATTATCAATCACGTGAACATGTTATGAAAATAACTGTCATCTCTTGAATATATTTTTTTTTCATGAAATGGTAGTCTTCAAACACATATGCATAAATATGTTTGTTCTTTTTGTTAATGATAAATCACATTATACATCGAAGTTCTTGGTGATGAAATAAAATATTCAACTTTTCAACTATACGCTATATAATTTCAAACATAGCCGCCTAAATAGCACAAGTCTCAACATGGCTAGACTCAACTGTCACAATAACATGGTATATATTTCGTTAACCACAAATCATGTGTACTGGATTTCTTACATTTTATAACTTTGTGTAGTACTTCTTTGTCTTAATTCACAAGATGACAATAATTTGATGATAAACTCGCGGTTTGCAGACAAAATGCACTCGACAAGTTTCTACTGGCTAAGAATGTCTTCCATCTTTGTTGACATTGACATTCAGAATCAGAGCTGGCAGTGTTTTCGAACTTACTTTCATTTAGCACTATTGCACAGTTCTTTTGTAAAACAATAAAAAGCATAAAACTAGATATTTGTTTAACACTATTTAATCATTTGTTCTTATTATTTAACATATCTGATATTTATTTATTTTCGAAACTAAACCGGAAGCAGTACTTGGCAATATGGCGGCAAATTTCAGTGATGAAGATTTTGCAAGACAACTTCAAGCTCAAGTAAATAAATTTATGATCAATAAGCCATTTAGAAAAGACTTTCCATATTTATTCAAAATATATTTAACATTTGAATTGCTACAGCGCCCATAACTTCGTCCACCTATCCTAAATCGCGAAATTCACAATGTGCTGACCCAGCAGTATCATCTCGCCATCTCAAATGATCTGTCAACACCGTGAACACCAGCAGCTGTTGTGTCGGTTACATATATGTACTTATAGGCACTTCAATTATATGTATCATGATTCGCCAGCTGTTCACCCCAATGCAGCCGAGCTGTCATTTAATATGGATGCCTGAGGGAGAAAGATGTATTCTGTCCAAAATGAAACCGTTATTTTTTGATATAGGCCTACATAGTTACAATTTATAGAAGTGTCACGTGATTATTTGTAATAGCAGCCTAAAAGGTTACATATGTATCGTATCAATAATGTGTTTGGAGTCAAAAGTACTAATACATGCAGTTCAATATGTTGTAGAAGCAGTACTCTAGTCATTTTCATGTGTTAATGAGACTGGATATATCTATAGCAGCCCGAGTTTCCTCTGACCCCGACACCAGACTTGGACATTTTGACAGATAGATGTACATGTATGGTATGGGACCAGAGTGCACTGCTATACGAAAACGTGGAATTCTCCGACACCAAACGGTGTTGTAGAGTTTTGAGGTGCTGACAACAAAAATCGACTATGACACAACGCATACATAGCATATATCGATAAATGGATTATTTATTGATCCAAAACGCTCTTATTGTCTATGTCTGGTGTAAGGGCCAGAGGAAACTCTGGCTAAATATCTCTATATATATAGTTGTTGGTTTGTTTCTCTCTTTTTCTATTAGTCAACTTTTATATATTCTGTTTGTCATCTATCTTTTATGCATATTTGATGAACGTAGGGAATTATCCTTTTCAATGTTATTTTATTTATCTGATGATAAAATTAAAGAAAACATTGATTTTGTTTCAGTTTGATGCAGAATCTGCTTCATCATTACAGGCTGATCTTAAGAGCACTTCCACCAGGACCACATCCTCACACTTTGTTTCTGACAGTGACTCTGATGTTACTCTAGACCCAGAACTAGAACAGGAACGTTTGACTTTTAACATAAAAGAGAAAACCACACCCAAAAAATCACATTCCTTTTCAGACTCTGATTCTGATGTAACACTTTCTCCTGACCTATTTGATAGGGAAAGTCCGTTTAACAATATGTCAAATAATAGTAGAAATACAAAAAAGGCATTAATACATTCACCGTCATCTAGTCGAAAAAATGATTACAATGAAAAACAACTACAGAGGCGGCGTAGTAAAACACATGAAGTCTCTGACTCGGAAGAAGAAGAATCTGTTAAAACAACTGTACATGATGGAAATAATCAAAGAACTGTTGAGAAAACTCCATCTAGTCAGCAAAAATCTTCAGAGAAGAACAATAGTTTCCAACACAGAGACAGTTCTGCGCATAAAAAAGCAAATTCTAGGGATCAAGAAAAGGACTCCTCTACACCGTCAAGTTTGAAAAGAAAGCGTACATTACTTCTAGATGAAGAACAATCTACAAGCAAAAGAGAAAAACCTATATGTCAGTATGGTTCAAAATGTTACAGGAAAAATCCATCTCACAGAGAGGAATTCCATCATCCAGGTATGGCTGCTATAAATAGTATTTGATATTTTGAAATTTTGCCAACATAAGTAAATAAATATAATGTTTAGAATATTTTTTGAAGTATTAAATATAATGTTATAGAGGAATTTAATGGTATTAAAGTCCGACTGATATTTTTTTTTCTTAATCATTCTTATCAAGATAACATTGATATTCTGTTATAGTACTCTGTTTATCCAGTTTGTAATTTAAACCATAAAAAGGTGATGGCTCCAGGCTAGATCTGAAGGTTCATATGTTGATGGAAGTTAAGTTGAAATATGATAATTACTATCAACAATTACTTTGAGTCTGTTTTTATGCAGCAGTTGTATATTGCATTCTTACAGATTGCCTATTCAAGCAAGGGAAAAGTTGATGTAGAGAGAAGTTTTTATAAAATTCAATATATTCAGTTTTAATTTCTGTAAAATTTATAATCTAAACTAGTTATCTAGTAACTTTGAAGATTTAAATGTTCAATATATATATGAACACCATCGTTTAATAATGATATACACGGTGTTTAATACATATTTCTATATTTCAGTCGACAGTCGTGATAAACAGAAACCCTCTACAAGTTCAGCTACTCCTCCTCCAGCCAAAAAGGTCAAGGCTGGAGGATCTTTGGCAGCGAGAGGTCCAGTAACACCATCTGGTGTGTATAAGGCTGGACAACCACTTAGCTTCTTCCTTACAAAAGTGCATGGCATCGAAAACAAGTACAACAGGTTTTGTACTATGGATGTTAAAGGTATAAGACATTTCTAAAATCAGTAGGGTATTGCATATACCATAGATGATTTATCTGTTATAAATATATTTTCAAAAGCACATTTCCCTTGTTAATCTTGCAAGTTAGAGGGGCTTTTGAAAATTAATTTAGCTGGCAAATTTAAATATGTATGATTATGAATAAAAAAAAAATGTGCAAAGTAACTCATTTTCATAGCACATTTTCAGTGATCAATCTATCTTTCATTTTTTATAAGTTTTTTTTATACTTTTTGTTAAAAAAATTGGTCCTGTCTTGTTGAATTTCAGTATTTCCAAAAATTCTGTGATCCCTTAAAAGAAGTACATGTGTATGAATATAGGGCCACTTTTGTTTGTGGTGTTTCAAATGATTGGACTGTTTGTACCAGAGTTGTCTGTTTATGCTTTCCGGTGATCAAGCCATAGGGAAGACTTTCAATTATCCCTGAAATATTACATTTAAAAATAGTCCATTAGATTTGTCTACATAAACAGACCCTGATGTAAGAGAATGACTGCCTAAACCTTAACTCTAAAATTTTTGTCATCAGATATACTGTCTCCAGAAATGGGAAATCTGACTGCCTCGTGTCAGGTAAAGATGTTTCCTTTCCTACCAATGTAAGATTATAAGACTCTTTCATGCCCAGGGGTGTAGGATAGGGAAATTCCACCCGAGGGTTTTTCAAAGCCTCAGGTTTTACTAAATTTGAAAATCCCTCTGGTGGAATTTCCCTAACCTACACCCTTGTGCATGAAAGAGTATTTTTCTCTCATTACAATTACCAGAATAAGCTCAGAATCCATGAAAATGCGTTTGGACTGGCCACCTTTTTGAAAATATCAATTTTTCCCCCCGAGCTTTTTAGACGAAAGCAAATTAGCCAGCCAGATTTTGCATACCCCATACTTGCAAACAATGTTTACGCAGAAAAAATAATCACATCTCTCTAACACGTACAGTAAATATATAATAAAAGGTTTTAATTTCATCACTCCACATTGCAGCATCGGAAAGTTCCCATTGTCACGTCACGTCACGTGAAATGGGGTGTAAGATAGAAATTTCCTACACCCCTTTCTTACCCTGGACAGCTCTATCTTACGCAAAGAGAAATGAGATAAAAAGCTATCTCGCATATTAAAGCTGTCGCATGGAGGTGTAAGAAATTTCTACCTTACATGGCTTTCATAAGCTGCATAATATAGTCAATCTAACATCACAGTGAGACAATAACCTGATGATTTCACTTTTGACACGAGAATCATTACATTCACTCAATATTTTGACTTGTGCTTTATAAATGAAAAGATATTAGAGAAAATATTTGTTAATGATTGTTAGTTGGAGATGGAGAAGTTCCAATGTCAGGCTTATCAATAAAGTTTTAAAGCTTTGACATACCTACATCGTCACACATATAAGTCTCTTGTTGTTCCATTTTGATTAATCAATTATCAATTAGAAATTCTTTTCTGTGTCATGATCTTACAAAATTAATATCTAAATAAAGAAGCAATTACAAATAAAAAAATTGAAATATAATTTGATGCAATTATGGTATACTTTATTTTTTTATGAATGAAATTAGGGTGATACGATATTAATTACTTCATTTCAGTTCAACTACATGTTTGAGGTTCCCTGGCTGATGAAACAGTATCCACAACAGTTCAGGTAGGTAGAACGTTGTTCATATCAGACTATTTACTTATTGTTATTACAGAATGATTCTTAGAACATGAAAATATATGTTGGTGCTAGTAGCTACTTTGAACATTGGTTCAAATACTTTGATAATTTTCTGCAAATAATGTGTTCACTACAACATCAGTTAACCGTTGAGTGGCGATGATAACATTAACAGATCTAAGCCTCTGCTGCTTGTCCACGGGTTCAAAGGCGCCAACAAGGCCAGTCTGGAGGCTGATGGAGCCGCCTACTCCAACATACGCTTCTGTCAGGTTCGTATGTTGGGACCTACATAGTAGTTAAAACATTAATATATTTGTACATCTGTATGTTAAAATATTTAAAAACATTAATATATTTGTACATCTGTATGTTAAAATATGAATACAGTACACAGATATGTATTTGTTAAAAAACAAGCTCTGTTTTGAATACAAAATTTGATAGATATACATGTAATTTTTTTTACAAAATATTTTGTTTTTCAAGATTTTCTTTTTGATTTCCTTTGAAGCATATTTCCTTCGAAATATATGTACATGATTAAACTTGTTTTTTCTTGTTTGGAGTTTCTCTTTCTTTCTTCATGTTTTATCAACAGCAAAGTTTTTAATTGGCATTGGCCTTTCTCAGGTAGAATGAAAATGGTTAGAATATGTTTAAAAGCACATATCATGTAATGCTTATTAATTAATGTTCGTCTGTTTTAGGCTCGTCTGGATATGCCCTATGGAACACATCACACGTGGGTATTAACTTTATTTCTAGTGTAACATTTTCCTGCTTCAAGTCTTTGAGATTTTAGAAGGTCGTACATGCACATCTTTAATAATGATAGTAAATTGTAACTGATTCAGTAATTGTAAAAGCAAAAATATGGTATGGGTTTTTCAAATGGAAAGTTTTGCTTTGGCTATTTGCTGAAATACATGTATGTTGTCCTCTAAGTATGAAAAATAGTTTAATTTAAATACCTTGGGCATAAAACAACCAGTTTTCACTTCATTCATAGTTTGGTTGTACATGTGTATGGGGAAAATGTTTTGAGCTATTTAATTTACTCTACAAGGCCGAACTTAAGAGTATGATTATAGCATTTATACTTCTGACTTGTTAATAACAACAAATCTGTTGTAATGAAAATCTACTTAAAAAAAAAAGAAGAAAACCTTTGTAATCATTGCTACTGAATGTAATCAAACTTTCAAACCTTAGCCTGATGTTTTGTATTTATTTTTCCTGGTAGAAAGATGATGTTCCTGTTGTATGACAACGGGATGCGAGTCGTAGTACACACCTCAAATATGATGGAGCATGACTGGTTCCAAAAAACACAAGGGTACGTCCATACCACTTTTAGAAAATGTTTTGTAAAGATGTAATATTATGATTAAGTATTCCATTTCTGAAAAGTGCTTTTAAAAATGTTCTCTTTTATGGTACCTGTACAAAGTGCTCTTTAATTCAATTTTGTAAAGCTGTTCAATCCTTTCTGACATCAAAACATCTTTGTCAATAAAATCTGCTCATTCCATATTTCAAATATTCTTTGAACATAAAACATGGTTAAAAGTTTTTTCTCCACAATTATTTCAGTTTAAGAGAAAAAATGTTCACATGAAAGATTTTTTTTTCAATTGGTATTAGAATTATGTATTATCAGTTTATAAACCAAACTCCTTTAGAATCAAATGAAGTCCTGCCTGACTTACATGTATGTCCTGTCTCCATTGATAATAACTACAATGAACCTGTCTAATCTGACCCCTTAGTATTCCAATATCCTGTCTAAATGTTGTACTCATGAGAAACTACAAAATGAGACATTTGCATTCTGCCATCCTCATTAATCTGACCATTAATGGGCAGTACCAGTATAAAACAAGGTGTCAGATAACACAGGTTTCACTGTATGTACAGTTTGACCCTGTGACAGCCTCAGTAAATATATCTTTTTGTATTATTGTGTGTGTCCTATGAAGGATGTGGATTAGTCCGCTGTTTCCCAAGCTCTCCAAACCCAGCAGTACTCTGGGGGAATCTCCGACAGGGTTCAAACGTGACCTGCTGGAGTACGTCGGTGCGTACCAGGCCTATCAGCTGAAGGACTGGAAGGATCACATCTTCCACCACGATATGTCGTCTGCTAGGTCAGTGACGAATGAAAACATCTTGTTTCTGAAAATAAGATACAGGAATGTTGTAATGAAGTTCCATGTAGTAAACCACTTTTCTGTTTTGGGCTTAAATATTCTTTCAAATGTTCTTATAATTGTGAGCTATTCTGCTGTGCAACAGCTCTCGTAATCTTTTGACAATCCTCAGAAATTCATTTTGCAGTCAAGGGGAGACAACCTTGAGTCTGTATGAAGATTTTCTACTGAACGTTACTTTTGTATGTGTAGCAGAATTTAAATTATAACTTGCTCTGCAAATATATTTGTATTAATTGTATACTTTTATGATTGAATGGTGAAATAATGTGATATCATATAAGTGCAATGTACTTGGTAAAGAAATCCTGAATAATGAGTCTTGCAGCAAAGATCACATTTTAATCTAGAACTTCCTAAATATAATCAGGTTTTCAGTTAATCTGGTTAAAAACATTGTTTTTGCTGATAAATGGCATTAACTGGAATTGACTGTACTTAATTGCAAGGATTTCAATTTCCAAACAGAAAACAATTATTATAATAGACATTTGTTTAAATGTTTCAGGATTAATATTTTCATTTATTATGAAATTTATAAATGATTTACAATCAGATATATTCCAAATATATTTTCCCTTCAGAGTGTTTATAGTTGGTTCCTGCCCAGGCAGACATGCTGGGGACAAGAAGAGCCACTTTGGCCACATGAGGTTACGCCGTCTGCTCCACGACCATGGTCCCGAGAAGGAGCTTGTCAGGACCTGGCCAGTCCTTGGTCAGTACTCCAGTGTAGGGACGTTGGGACCGGCCAAGGAGTCGTGGCTGTGTACGGAGTGGCTGCAGTCGCTGGCCACGGTCAAGGGAACCAGTTGTGTACCACTCATGACAATTCCACTACAGCTGGTAATATATGTGTTTTCGAAAAAGAGTTTGTTAAAAAAGTATCAGATCTTTTTTTGGTCTACATTTTGATACTAACCATACAGAGCTGAACATTTAAAGTCACACTGTTTTCTTCAAAATATCCTAAAGTTCGTTGTGTTTTCATCTTAATTACATAATTACAAAAGTATTCTTTTGGGAAAAAGATAAAATGACTTTTTCTCACAACAGTCTCAAATTAAAATTTCTGTATTTGAGGTGGCAAGAATTTTATGCTTTATCAATTAACAAAATTAATTCAATTTATACCACTGATATTTTCTTTGAAAGGTGAAATTAAAACTATACAAAGTATCAATTTTTGCTTCTCTTTAGATATTTCCAACAAAAGATGATGTTCGGACAAGTTTGGAGGGATATCCGGCTGGAGGTTCCATTCCCTACAGTATCCATGTGGCTCGTAAACAGCCGTATCTTCATACATTCCTCCAGTAAGTCTACGTAGATTTTGCTTGGCTGTTGGGTTTGATAATTTTACGATAGAAAAATTACTTGTAATGTTTGTGATATTTATTTTCATGTAAATTCACATTAATTGAATGCTTGAATTGGTTGCATTATTTTTGAACTTGCTACATGTCTTGAATGTTCTCAAGTTGCTTAATATTCTATTATTCAAATTCTAACGGAACACATGTTTTATTGATTTAAATAGGAAATTTCAACTGTTATTATTAAAGCGTGAATTTTGAATTACAATGTGAACTGACTGATATATTTCCCAAGAGGAAAATTAAAAAATAATGTAGATGCTCCGAACATGTTTCTTGTATAAACATTTCTGTTTATCATTCAACTTGTATACACAGCCAGTGGCGGTCTGAAGGCCGGGGAAGAAGTAGAGCCATGCCACACATTAAGACTTACGGACGACCTTCTCCCTCAGGCAAGGAGCTGGCCTGGTTCCTTGTAACTAGGTAATGCGGAGAAAGTTTTGTTGTTTTATAGTGATTGTTTCATGATAGAATTACCACTGAAGCGTGTGTGATATTGTAACCTTTTGCCACATATTGACATCATTTAACATTCCAACCTCACTGTTAAAAGTTTACTCTATATCGATATTTGTCGACATTGTAGAATGTTCATTTAAAAGTCATCTCATGAGTAAGTGCAATACATCATACATAACTAAATATTCCAACGTAGAAATTGATTCGCTGATACTGAAACCTAAGTCACTACTCTTGTTTGTCTTGAGACAACTGGTTTTGTATCAAATGTTTGTTACACAGTGCCAATTTGTCAAAGGCAGCATGGGGAGCGATGGAGAAGAAGGGAAGCCAGCTGATGATACGGTCGTACGAGCTGGGAGTCCTTTTCTTTCCAAAGTTCTTTGTAAGTTGATTACATTCTTATGCATGCAGCTGTTTAACAGTAGCCATTTTCATTTACATGTAATAAATGAAATCATATTGTTGATGAAATGTCTAGGTTTATGAGTTTGGTGTAACCGTATAAGCAGATTGTGTTCATATCTGCTATACATTGCCAAGAAATTTTCTACATGCTAGTTTGAAAAAACACCTCTATGCAAATATCACATTTCTCTACCTAAATGTGTGTACAGTATACAATATGATATCTATTTTAGTCATACATAAAATAAACTGGTTGTACTTTTGATATCAATGTGCAATGTATAAGTGTTATCACTGTTTTAAAAATTAAAATTCCATACAGTTTTTGAATTCGATTGTAAAAATATGATTGAAATGGATTTCTGAACTTTATATTCTCTGAAAAAATTACTGTTTTTGTAACTATAGGAAGTGAAGGGGGCTTTTAGGACTACGAGTGACGTGGACAGTATTGGTGGTGGTGTATTTCCACTTCCCTACGATCTACCAGTAACACGGTACAGTAAAGGAGGTAAGGAACTCATTACTGTTATATCTGTCGGGATTGATAAAATATGATGTGATCAAAGAAAATGATTTTCGTTAAAATGGATGGAATAAGGATTTAAATCCTTACAACTTGTTTTGAAGAAATATGACTATTCAATGTTTGTTTCTATTTGTCTATATATTCTTAAATAATTCCAGTAAAATGGGTCACAAGGATATTGCATCATTTACATAGACACAGAATATGACTTTTTTTTATACAAAATTTTGTCATTTTTGAAGATATGAACTTTCCTTTCGGTGTTAGAAGTTGGAACCAACCAGAATATTGTGCAAAGTGTGTTTTCGGCCCTCACTAATACACTGTATATCCATTTAGAAAGAAACAATGTCTAGTAACATTTCTCCATTATAATTGTCTGTATTTCTCGAGAGATGGGTTTACATGATCAATATTCTGTTAGCCTGATTTATTCATGATTTTATATATTGTATTTGTGAATAAAGTTATTGGATTCTTTCATATAATTTTCCACTTTTCCTTATTAGACAAACCTTGGATCTGGGATATTGCCCACAAGGAGTTGCCAGATACCAACGGAAATATGTGGTGTCCGCCAGGTTCGTGAGGAACCATGTCCTTGACGACCTGGATCAGGGATACTTCCCGCAAGGAACTTCACGTACCAGATACCAATGGAAACGTCTGGATCAGTATTACAAAGTCTATTGAATGTCAATAAGAATATCTGGTGTCCAACAGGTCCAGGTTCATGATGAACCATGTCTCGAACAACCTGGATCTGGGATATGCCAACAAGGAACTATAGGCACCAGTTACCGATGGAAATATGTGCTGCCTGCCAGGTTCATGATAAGCCATGTCCCAGACAACCTGAATCTGAGACAAACCTTCAAGGAACTGTCAGACACTAGTACAGTGGTGCTTTCCCAATTCATGATGATCCATGTCTTGTAACCTGGGTATGGGGAATTGCCAACAAGCAACTGCCTGATACCAATGCAATTTATGGTGCCTTAAGTTCAATAGAGTCCAGGACAAATCGGAGATGTGTGTTGTGCTTTGATTGTGCTTGTGATGTTAATTTTCCAGACATATGAAATAGTGTTAAGTTTCCAGTTTTGGAAAGTCAGATGAAAAACTCAACAAAGATATCTCTTTGATAGAAGATTTGTTTTAATTAATAGGCTATAGCAGGTACAGAGAGTTACAAAGTATCTTCTTTATATGTTTTACAGTTGAACATATCAGATATACAGTGAGCTATTAATTTATTTTAAGCATGTACAAAATCAATTCACTTTATTAAATTATTCATCAAATTTTTGTTTTATTTATATTTTTGAGCGTTTCAAATTATTGTACAGAGTATACATCAATCAGATGATAACTCTCAAAAACACCAGAAAGAATGTTTTTCTAATCCCAACTGTTCGACATGATTTAACAGTTCCACTTTCCAATTTCCTTCCTGAAAGTTAACGTTTTAGGTTATCACCGTCACCATATAGAATCCTCTTCAGTCCTCCATGTGTTGTTGTTGTTGTTGACTTCTTTTTTGCACAATCACGGTAAATAAATTATAAAGAATTGGCAGTTCCTATAAATACAATTAAAGAGTCTATTGATTTTAAAATTCTGGGTTCCCGAATCCCACTGCCTGTTGTACCTCCTGTATCTCTGCCAGTAGTTCCTCATCTCGCAGATTTACCTAGAGGTAAAACACAGATCATTAGAGGCTAAATAAATACAATGATGATATTCATAATATCAGTATTTCAAGAATCATGGAAAACCGAGTTTTGTTAAAGTCGGATCATAACTTCATAATCTGTAATATATATTAGCTTTTAAGCTCTAGTGATAAACCTTTAAGTTAAACAATACACAATTTATTCAAAAAAGACTTTGTATGCCTTATGAATCTCTTCTGCAATGTAGCAGGCTGGTGGACACACGATGTCGATGCATGATGACAACTTTTGTACAGTTAGCTTTAACCTGACTTTGCTAATTACCTTGAGGGCATATTTGTAGGCCTGTTCAGCCTCGAGCTGGCGTCCAGTCTTAAGACAAACCAAGGAAAGGTACGCCCACACCTCTGGGTCTGTGTTGTTTAGGATGTTCGCCTCGGACAGAGCATCCTCAGCCTCTGATAATTCATCCAGCTGCAAGGTCAGAGTTCAAATGACATATTATGTACAGGTTTAAACAAGGAATCAATTAAACTAAGTAGAAATGTACTGATCATCAAAGTATTAAAAAGTTGAGAAAAATAAGGTTACTTTTTTACATTCTCTGCCTAAATAATTGTAAGTTGTACTAGTACTGGTTCAGGATCAGGAAATGGTATCAAAATATTACATGTAAGTAAACAAAATTCAAATGCTGATAAAAACTATTTTTTCTAATAAATCAGACAACATTGAATCAAATTTTGACTTCAGTCTACAATCTTTCATGATCTTGGACCCAGTTCTCCCTTTTCCTGTCCGAAGTATTGCAGTCATTTTTAGCCAAGAATCTAGGAGTAAACACATTCACAGAAAGGCCAGTAATTTGTGTTTTCTGTAGGTGACTTACCCTGTAGCAGGCGATACCAACACCTAACCAGGATACACAGGACGGGGAACGCTTACATGCCATCAGGAATGTATTTTTGGCGTCTTCAAACTGAAATACAAGTTAATATTTGTTGAGTCAAATTATCAATACATAAAGCAGTAGCACCTTGAACTTGATAATATCCTAACTATGTAGACAAAGGATCTGGACAGTTAATCTTCACAGTAATATGTTTTGCTTCTGATTGGAAGGCTTGAAATTTGATTCCTTAAGTGTAGATCAAATAGTACATGTATCTGTCCTTGAACAAGACCCTTTCCGCTGATGTTACAGTCTACCCTACTGCATAAATGGACACCAAGCATACAGGGAAGTACAATGTACAATAAACTTGAGGAAGTCTTGAATCCAGAGTACGCTCCAGTTGGGCTTGGAAATACTTGATTTACCTACACTGACAGTAGTTTACAGTGAATAATTTTGGTTATTTATCATTAAGATTAGATTGAGATAGTTTCCACACAAAGGAATAAAATGAAAACTCGTCGGACTTGAGCAGTTGATGACAAAGCAGTTTGTATGACCAGATCTGGTGAGATATAAAATAAAGAAATATTTACCTTACGGTCCTGTAAGTATATGGAGGCCAGACGCAGGTAGATGGAGTGCATCTCTGAAGCATCCGACACGAAGGATATGGTGCGCTCATAGCAGTCGCGAGCATTGCTAGTATCTCCTGTCATGTATTTCACGTGACCTAACAATGCCCAGGCGTCAGGATTCTGTTACAGAAACGTATTTTATAATAACCTACATTTTCTATCAAACTTTACAAAATTCTTCATATTACTACTGTATTGTTATAATAAATTCTATAGCAATATTGAACATACAAAAAAGTCAGTCTCATTGAAAAACTAAGATTTAAAAACTTTAACCTAAAGCTTTATGTGTGGAAAGAAAAAAGGTGCTTTACCTGGTAGTTAATGCATTTGGTTCAAATTAGAACATATTTAAAGAACTTCAGATTACAAAAGTAAGTAAAGTTGGACTTAATTAGTTATTCCTTGACCCTCCCACAGACCTGATGATCAAACTGAAGGGCCTCGGTGAGACTTTCTTCTGCATCGCTGAACTCTTTCTTCTGCAGTTTGAGGCGGGCATAACAGATATGGTAGTTGGAGGTTGGGCCACCTGTGGGTGTCAACAGCTCGTGGGCCAACGCCCTCTCTGTGAACTGTAAGGGATGAGAATATACTGTGAACATTCTTGCTACGTGTTTAAAAGTGACATCCTATATTGTCATATAATGGCAAACATTTAACAATTTGTGCAAAAAATCTTGAAATTTTTATCTTAATTTCTTAACCTGTCTAATTTTAAAACAGCATACCATTGAACATATATCCATGATGCATATGGTATATTTTTATCTTAAGAAAAAAAGGAATGAAATTCATTTGCCAGTCATTTAAATTAACCACAACATTTACACTTTTGTACATAAATCTGCGGTCAAGATAAACCGTTTTGTTATTTTCCCCATGTTTCTATCTATTTGTTACGCTAATGCAAAAGCTCAATGTCATGTGACTTACAGGCACAGCCTTGACCTCAAGCAGCCAATCAATGGCCTGCATGTACACGCTGGATTTTGGAATGGGAGTGGGCTCCCTTGGAGGTGGTTCCTCCTGTGTGTCGTCAGCAGGCTGGGGTGTACCCCTCTGACTACCGAGCTTCAGCTGACTCCCAGGACGGGACATGCTGCTGTCACTCTTCAGCTTGCTTCCTAATAGAGGTAAAATAGACATACAATATGTTTAGCTAGGTTTATTTAATTAAATTAAAAAGAAATGTAGATTTGAAAAATATCTTTATTTTTGAGTTTTCTTGTAGCGGTACTTTTTCTTCATTAGGTTTTAATTCATCAAAATTGTCTGTATTTTAGATTCTATAAAATCAAATAAAAAGAAAACTCTTTGAAAATAAAGATATTTTTTAAAATTTCTTTTAAGTTACTTTTTGATATACTGAATACATTTGCATTATTATAGTTACATGTATATAAACCGTGTTAATTAACAAGACTGATGAAGATATACATGTTATAACTGCCCCTTGACTTGAGTATCATACATATGCAAATTAGTTTCAAATACCTGTGCAGGTAAATTTCTCTGCAAAATATAGGTACTCCGTTTAAAAATATATACAAAGCAGCTTAATCTCTAATATGCCGTTCTTATTAAGATTTACTAATAACTGGCATACCAATCTATATTTTCACAAACACAAACTCTTGTTTGAAAATAACTAATATTGTATTTTCTATAAATACACAAGGTTATTTCAACAACAACAGCAAAACTTCCCTTCAGTCAGTTGGGACTTGGTTGGTTACCATAGGGATTTCTCAATTGTTTTCTTTCCTCACAAATTGTTAAGTTCAATGACAACAGATTCACCTGGTGTAAGTAAACGCCCAATCCACAGCAGGTTATATATATAAGTAGGTGATTATAGAAACATAGTGTCAGCCAAGTATTTATGCAATATGTATGGTACATGTATTAAAATAGCATTAATATGGATTCCTGGATCAATACCCAAATGAAACTGATGTATGATAATGTTGTCTCTCCAAAGGATACAGAAATATATTTTACTATATTTAATGTTGTACTCGCAATAAATTTAATGAAGCATCGAGTATCGTCTAAAGTCAAGCAGGATAAATTTATCAGTTTATTTTTTCTACCTGTATGTTTTCTTTTTGAATTTAAATCTTGTTTTATTGGTTATGAAATAAAACTTAAACATATGTATAGCATTATGTTTAATCTGTTGAAATACAATTCTTTAATTTTAAGAATTTCCAGCACATATATGTATCAGCACATAGCGATATGTTCAAATAAACCTGGAATGTTTTGTAACTGAATTTTGGCTGTTTCAAAAATTCAATAAAATTATTTTAGATGTGACACTTGGTTCAACAACCCTAACAGTAATGTGTGAAATAGCATTGGGATAGATGAACAAGGAATAACATAAATACATTTGTTTTATTATTGGAAAATTTTGACATATTATTTATGAAACATGTCATCAAAATCCTTTCATATGTACAGTGAGGATCAATGTAACAGACAGTGGGGCGATATATGGACATGCAATGTATTTTGATGGCGGAGGTGTTTGATTATAGACAGACGGGGAGGGCGGAATGAGAGTCGGACAGCCTCACACAAAACTTCAAACACTGTAGTTGGCAGTACATGCAGCTCTGCCTCACACACGTGTGTACTATACCTGTGCCGGAAGTGTCGGGGTGCAGGTGGGGTTCTACAGATAACATACGTCAAACGTTGTCACACACAACATTTTTCTACTTAATCTAATTAATGACACATATTCAAACTTCATATAACTAAACATCTATCAGAAATTATGTTTACAGAATTCGTCTTCTTATATTATTTTTTTTAACTTAAAAAAGAGTTTTTATCATATTGTGTCTCTCAAAAACCAAGCTCAAACATTCTTTTATTGTAATTAAAATATAACATCTCTGAAACATGAAACAACTCGTTACTTGTAATAAACCAATTTCAATGAAAATCAGCATCAGTGAAATTGTTTTTACAGTGTAATTTAAATATTTTCAATTCTGTATTAATTTCAAGAATGTAAACTCTTATACGTAGTGCAATTATTGCTTTACTTTTGTTTTCATGCAACAAGATTATTATAATTCAGGTAGCTATATACCATGGTAAGTTACAGCACCCCTCATATACCTCAAAAGTGTCTCTTGTTTTTTTTATTTTTTTCCTATCCACGTTGAAGAAAACTTTTCTCCAACAATCTGGAGAATATGTAGCAAACTTCAGCAGAATTTACTTGATTCCTGTGAGTTCAAATTTTAAAAAAAAACTGAAAAAAAACAACAAAGTGCAAATATATACAATATCAAACTATTTGATACGCCTGTTGGTCAGCGTGCCAGTAAAGCATGCAGTTGACATCCAGAAGAAGCGAAAGGTTGCCGTTTTCATTCTGCTGTGAGGAAATTGCTTGATCATAAATAAAAATAGTGCAATTTCTCTATACTTACTCTTGGGTTTGACTGGGAGTTATAACCAGAAAAGGTGTTAAATTTACTCGACATGGGATCATAAAAGGCTTTGTGATTTGGTATTAGGCCTCAGGTCTATAATTATATAGACTGATTTTTTATTTAGATTTGACGCCCCTATCAAAATAAGTAGCTGCTTTCCTGAATTGAGTATCTATCAAAAATATGTTCAGAAATATTCATTCAAGGTTTGTCATTAAATTATGACAAATGATACAGTTATGTTGCTTGAAATTGCATCCGGACATGCAACAAAAATATTGTTCATATTATCAAAAAGTAGGTCCTGTGAGTGTTGTCCTGCCTTTGCTCTGTTTATAATACCCCTGAGCCCTGGTAATTAAAAGGATATTTCGAGGAGCATTTTGAATTTAAGTCAAGGCAATTTATGTAACTATCAAAACTTAATGATTATCCATTATTGAAAATAACTCAAATTTTAGTAAATTTTTTACAATGGATTTTAGATATATTCAAATTTGATGAACTGTATCGTAAAATTTATATAATATTTGATATAATCTCCAAGTTTACAAGCTTACTGACGGGATATGCAATTACAACAGCATATTTTATATATAAGTAACTTCTGTTTGTTTATGTACTTTGTATTGTATTATCGTCTCATGGTGAATGTTTTTCTCGGTATTATGTTGTGATATGTAAATTTTCATGTTCCTGTCTTGATAAAGGGGCAGATCATCCAGAAAATTTGACATATTTCTTTGTCTGCACTATCGTTATTTCTTCTTTGCCCATAAGTTCTACTACTAATATATATAGGAGTATGTGGATCTGAGTAAGTAATTTTCCTACGGACTGACCGTAATGATATGACCGTACCTGATCTCCGCGTGGCAGATTGTCTCCGGTCAGACATTGACCGCCCGCCTCCTGACCTGGCAGAGGTCGGAGGCTTGTCACTCGAGGGCGGAGACGGCTGTTTGGTCTCGGACGCTGCTGCTGCTGCTGCTGGGGGAGGTGCAAGACCCCCTTGGTCCCCGGGATGTGGGCCCTCCAGCTCTGAAAAATGGCCAGTAATCGATGCCAAAGGATTTGTTCATTCTATAACCCGATACACAATTGAATCTAAGCATGTCAAAATTGTTTGGGCTCTGAAAAAACTTTTCAGCTAAGCCATTCAGTATTTGATATATTTTAGGTAATGTCGGACATAGGAATAAACCACCAAGAGACTTAGAGAGCAAATTTGGTCAATATCACCAATATATATAATTTTTGCGTCTATTGCATGGTGGAATATTCCAAATTTTTGAAAGTCAGGATTTCTTTTCTTCTGTTACTGTAAAACACAGAAATATATGTCCTTGCTTCCTTCTTTTGTCATAGATACACTAACTGTAATAACACCTTGTTTCCCATTCCATTACTTCTTGTTTTTGTGATGAAATAAAAAAAATGTGAAATACTACACAAAAATTACAACTTTTAAAGCAGTGAATATACAGATATTTAGTGAGCATTCATTACAGTAACTGAAACATAAAGACTAAGAGTGAATTCACAATATCTAACTATAAAGGAATCCCCACAACCTGTAGAGCACTTCACATGTAATTGAATTATATGCAAAGGGAGGTAACCTAGTCATTCATCTATCATATGAAATATTAATATTTTAATGATGACAGATTTACATCTTCTTGGGTAATTACAATGAAATCTGTCTAATCTGACACCCATATATGATTTTTTTTATAGAAACTGAATTTTGAGCTCCGTTTGTTTTAGGTCTGTTCACATCTAAGTACTTTCTTTAACTTTATTCACAGAATATTTCTGTGCCACTAGGACTATTTCAACACATAAATGAAAGAGGCCTTGGAAGTTTATATAAGAAATTGGATAACAAATGCATGTTGGATTTGACAGAATGTCCGAACACTGAAGGAGGGCTCAGATTAGGCAGGTTCCAATGTAATTTATCAATTCTACACAGCAAAAACCTGTGACCGGACATACCTTCCCCAGTCACATCCATGTCCTTCTTGTCCTTCACCATCTCATCATCTCTCTGTTGACGGACAGATGACCATGCAGCCGCCTGGTTTAGCTTATTGGCTTCGATGTAGGCCATTTCTGCTCCGATCTCGTTGTTGACAGTGTCGTAAAACAAACCTTCAAAAGAAAATTTACATGAATTTTGTTTCTATTTTGATTATAGTTTTAAACACCTGTGTTTCTCAAGAACTCGGAGAAAAATTATATATTTTGATCATTGCTTAAAAGTATTGAGAAGTGGGTGTGATATAATCAATTCGTAAGAATTCTTAAGGTATTCTAGTTATTTAAGGGTTTTTTCCTGTTTTCCAAAAATGCCCTACCTAACATTGTCCAGGCCAAGATACTGCGCGGATCGACACATGTAGCCGCTTCAAAGAACGTCTCGGCAGCCTCATGTTTCTCCAGGAGGGTACACACTACGCCATACAGAAGCAGTCCCTGCAGGTGTTTCTGGTCGATGGCGATGCATTCCTTGAAGCATTCCTCAGCCTTTGTGATGTCATTGATGTACAGACAGAACGTACCATACTCAAACCAGTTGGTAGGATCATTCTTGTTGCGAGCGATTCTCTGAAAGAAGAAAAAAACTACTTTTAGACAGAAAATTAATCAGTTTTTACCAACTTCTGATTTCTGGACCACAGGAGGATACTAAATGTATTGTATAATATAAAATATTGGATACATCATATAAAAGGTCCAATCTCAAACTAAACATGATTGCTTGATAAGCAAAAAAAGTCAGAGACTCATTGAAATTTTCTATCTACCTATTGTCATGGTTATTACTCTTACCCTGTTTTTATGTCTAATAAAATTCTTTCCTTGTTGCTATGGTTACTTATGACATTACCCTGTTCCTATACATCAACTTTAAACCTTATTGCCATGCCTACAAAAAAAACACCAACATGTTGCTATGGATACCAAAGACCTCATCCTGTTGCTATGTCTATAGACTTTTAACCTTGTTGCCATGTCGACCAAAAGATGGCTACCAATGTCTGACTCTGTTGCTATGACAACTCACCTCCTGGTAGTACTTGGTAGCCAGCTCGAAGTTCTCATTGACCTCTGCCTCGCGGGCGAAGTGCTTGAGCTGGGCTGAGTCCGTGAGTGGAGAGGGCACTGGTGGTTGGTCCTCGAGGGCCAAACTTCTGCCCAGGGCAACATGCATCTGGTCGATCAGGTACACATACAGCTCACTAAGGAAGGTCTACAAGTGAAGAAAGAGAGACACACAAATCAGAAATAAAATTCAATAAATATTATCTTTGTGTTAAAAATAATCTTAAAAGTGCCTGAGTTTAGAATATAATTTTTTATTTGAATCAAAGATTTGTAAAAGTTGTATATGAAATAAATATAATATTATTCAACATTAATCCTTGAGTTTCTAATTTTGTTTTTTTAACCAAAATTTGTAACATTGGTAATTCAAATAGTTTACCTAATTATCATAAAAAACAATATGTTTTTTAAATTATGCTTCCAAATATTTAATACAATTTAAGCATAAAACTTAATTAGTTGTTATCAAAACTAAAACTGGTAATATCTTTTTAATTTTCAAAATTTGTATGTTTCTTGTCTTCAAATCAGCAGATATGATCTAATTTAAGTTCTTCATTGTAACTTAAGTTCAGAATTTTGTTGATTTCAGATGTAAAAGGACAGTTAGCGATAAGGCCTTTTTCCTAATTTCAACAATATTGATGGAAATCAAATGAGCCAAGTTTGTTACAACGAACTACTTTCACAGATATCTAAAATACACTACTGACATCATCTTAAGGATGAGGTTTGGTCTAAGGTCTGATTGTATGTGTACTGTAAGTATAAAACAGGGAGAACTTTACCTGGAGCTCCTGTCTGTTGTCAAAGGTGGTTGTCTTCAGGTACTTTTCCCTGACAATCTTCACCACGGCATGCTTCAACTGTTCCTTGAAGGCAAAGTACTTCCCGGATGAGTTCAGCTCATAGATCAATTTTTGTCTCCTGTTGGATACAAGGCAGTGACCATGACAAAACTTACAAATCTTGATTTCGTGTTGGTAATTATTTCAGATGACATGTTTGAAAGAAGTTTTCCCCTTTAATCATCATGCCTATTTGAACAGTGGTTTAGAAAAATATATATTTTTAAGACTTCAAGATTGCAAAGGAAGGCAAACAAATCACCTCTACCAGAACATTGGCTTCATAATAACATCAAAAACCTTCATATTTAACAGGTATTACATATTTAACAGATATTTAATAGGTACTACATATTTAATAGGTACTACATATTTAACAGGTACTACGTATTTAACAGGTAATACATATTTAACAGGTACTACGTATTTAACAGGTACTACACTACATATTTAACAGGTACTACACTACATATTTAACAGGTACTACATATTTAACAGGTAATACATATTTAACAGGTACTACGTATTTAACAGGTACTACACTACATATTTAACAGGTACTACATATTTAACAGGTACTACATATTTAACACAGGTACTACATATTTAACAGGTACTACATATTTAACAGGTACTAGATATTTAACAGGTACATGTACTACATATTTAGCAGAATGATAAGTGATATGTACCTGGTCTCCATACTCTCAGTAGACTCGGGTTCCTCTGGCTTCAGTTCATCTCCAAACTGATCCCTGTATAAAGAAATGCTGTTGTTAGTATAGTCCCGAAATGTTTCAAACATTCCCGGCATATAAAACTCAAATGACATTCAGCATAAGCAATAAATACATGGAAATAGTATGAAAATATCTCAACTATGTAAGAAAGAAATAACCAAAAACAAAAACTTAAAATGCATGAATATTAAAAAATAGATCTCCTCTGACATTTGGAGAATTTATAGAAAATATTATTATTTTGGCTCTTTTGGCTCAATTCTTACCTGAATTCATCCAATATCAGGTTAGCTACACTAGCAACTTGGTTATGGAAGTCTTCCACAGACTGCAAAATACAAATTACATATTATGTAAAAACTTACTCATTTATAGCCATATGGGTTTAACTTCAATTTTCTGTCCTTGGGATAAAACTCTTTCATTTTTAAGGCATCTTGTAGTCTATGGCACTTAATTGATGCACTAAGATAATTTATACTGACGATGATGTTGTCTTAGAAATTTTTTATTGCCAACTTTTTGATAATTGAAATTTTATTGAGAAAAAAAATATCAGCTCTAATTTTTTTAGAAGAAGACAGGATTTTTGAAATTGGAATATTTTTTTTTAACATAATTCAACAAAATTGTAAGGAATACTGGTCTTACCCTCTGTGCTCCGTCAGTGCGCTTAGGAAACAGTGGTCTGGGTGGAATGTACTCGGCCACTCTGGAAAACCAGGACAGTTATTAACATCTGTATGGATACTACAGATTCAACCGGAGGAACTTTAAACATGAACAATCAGTACCTCAAAATGACAAATTTTGTTCCTTTTTAGTGAAACACGTCGTTAATGCCATAACTTAACTCATTTTGCAAAGAACTTGTTTTTCTGAACATACTTTAATTCTCATCTACAATTTGGTCATAAATATTTCAGAGGTGAGACAAGTTGCTTTGAGCTTTTTTGGGGAAATTATTACAGGAATATCTGTCTAAGAAATACTCCTATTCTTTAAAAACTTAGGTACATAAGCATAACAATATCCCTCGTTGTTTTTATTTACCTTCTAGCGAGCTCCTCTGGAGGGCGTTTTGGGATCAGAGGACTGGTCAGCGAGATCTCGAGCATGACATAGGACTTGGAGTCCACATACTGCTGACCCTCCACATTGACCGGTGCTTGACCGTCCACCTCGGATCCAGTGTCCGACTTAATGGTCTGAGACGCCTGGAACAAACGGATAACACTGTATAGTGATGGTCAAAACATACTAATCAGTATTGGAGCAGCCAGGGATCAATTGTTCAAAGCATTGTTAGTTTAAAGCTAAATAAAAAAAAAAAAAAATTACACGACATTTATGTGACAGTTTACAAAACTATGAATATTTTGATGTTGTTTGTTTTTTCTGTCTAATTTTGATTACAAACAAAATTAATTTTGGTTTTGAATTACAAAATTAATGACAATTTTCTCGGACAGTATTTTTTTTTTTGCGATTTAGCATTTGTTAGCTAACAAAGCTTTGATCAACCATTAAAAGCCTGATAAACAACACCTAGCACATTTATCATTAAAAGCAAACAATTATCACTGTACAAAAATTTACAACATTGATACTTGAAGTGCAACTATATTTATTTTTGTGTGGTTTTTAGTAGGTAATCATGACTTAGCTTATATTAATATAGTATTACTGTTGATGTGTGGAATTTTCTTCTCAGACAAACATAAATTCTTATCTCCTTGGACGAACTTATTACACGAAATGTGATTTATGAACCAAATTATGACATACCAATTAACGATTTACTAGTATTTATCAATACAAAATTTTCTTTTGCTAGGACGAATATAAACATTGTATTTTAATTATGATTTTTATATGTGCATAATATGATGATGTTATTTTGTATACTTGTTCAAACAAGCTTGGGATTGGATATAATTTGTGAAGCAGATATTTCTCAACACAAAAAGTGAATTATATACATATATTCAAATCATAGCTAAAATAGTTGATAACATCAGTACGAATATTTCTTAAATAAAAACACTGCAGAATTTCTGCATTCTCTGCAAGTGAACCTTTAAAAAACTTGTCTATAAAGGAATATCCCATAAAACGTGTAGTTTTTGGTCTTTGTATTCGAAATGTACATAATATCTGTTTTTTAGAAGAAATTTAGTCTCCGAAATAATAATGAAAACAAACTGTTAACATCTCAAAGTACAAGGGAGAATTATCTGTGAAGCAAATGAAATCTAAATAATTTTATGTTATTTTCATTGCCACTGGTACCAGTACCATATTCTCATATAAAGCACTATCTTGATTTTCTGTGAAATATTAAATCATTTCCTTAAAACTTTTGAGTTAGAAAAATGTAAATGCATTTAAAATTATATGAGAACACCATAATTACATAGAGTAGTTTTAAATTTATTCTTTTTTAAATTAACAGACGTGTTGTTCAATGTCGGTCTAGCATATTCATAACTGAAATCATCTGTTATATTTTCAAAAAATATGAAAAAATTATGTATTTTGAAATATTAAGGTAAAAAATAAAATTACTCCATAAAAAAACCTTACCCAGCATTTATTTTAGTATTTCACAAGTGGCCTTTATAGACAAGTTTTCTTTCTTTCTATAAAACGTCTCCCACAAACCACAACTACTGGACCCCACAGTCACACAAGGTTCAGTCTTCAGTAACAGCCCCGACCACCTATAACACCACACAGTCTACCACTTCAGTACAAAAAGCCACATACATCTACCGGCTGGACATCTGACCCGTCCAGAGTCTTATTAGTGCACACAAAAGTATGGCTGTTAAAACAGTCATTTTTCAAATATATTCCCCAAAGACCAATATCTACTGGTCAAGTTCATGTGTTGCGAGATATAATCAGCATAAGTTTGATAATACCTTCTTCATTTTTTTGTGTTTAAATATCACATTTTTGTAATTTAAGTTATTTTTAACACAAATATTGCAAATTCATGTGATTTTGAGGTATAGTTAGTATTAATGATATATGTAATTTATATATTTTATTTTTTATTCTTATTTTTATTTTTTTGCATGCCTATAGGTGTATGAAATTTCTATTAAAATTGTTCAACAATACTAATCAACATCCGAAGTTTTAAGGCAACAAACTTTTCAGGAGAAACAAATAAAAGAGAAAATTCTAATGAATCCACACAAATAAAAATCTACAATTTATTTTCTACTTATCTATCACACAAAACACAAAAAACTAAAACTTTGCTAACATTTTTTTAATTTTTTTTTGTTGTAAATGATTTGCATATCAAAATAAGCCAAATATTTGTTTATAAGAAATATCTGTATTGCTTTTTCTTCATAGATTTTTTTTTTTCATATTAATGAAATTTTGAAAAAAAATCAATTAAAAATTGAATTAAAACTTCAATGTAGATCCCTGAAAACGAACACATTTGAACAGAATCTAAAATTCATGTACAGAGTCTAATATTAACTGTTTCACATATCTATACATATGCAAAATATGATATTTTTTTTACCTGTATTTCATGGATCTATCTATGTATCTACAACTAAAGTGCAAACCTAAAGCGGGTGTTGGGTGCAGCCAGTTACGAAAACTACAGTTTTAGAAGTCTATACTGTGTAGTCACGGCAGATCAACGTGGGAACAGGACCTCTTTAGGCTACGAGAGGTGACAAACCGACTATTCTTTACAGGAAATCAAACTGGTCTCAGTTTCACAAAATTTCCTTAACTTCAGGAAAACCACTGACTTCAGTTTTTCCATATAAAAGCATTATTTAAGTTACAGAAAGATCTTAGGAAATTTTCCCTAACTTCAGAAATGCTTTCCTATGGGAAATCTGAAGGAGTTTCCTTGAGTTCGGAAACATTTGTAAAACATGGGCCCGAACATCTATTTACCATGTGAGATCCCATCTCTGACTTAGCACCTATACTGTGGTCCTGTGGGCAAGACAAACCTAATGTATATAACAATGTATTATCGATCCACAATGTAATAGATACACCCTATGTCGGACACTATGAAAATCACGAAAATAGCATACATTTGTATACATTGGGAATGAGTTTTAAAATTTAACATCCAGATTCATTTCCTAAATTCAATTTTTTTTTTATACCTTATATATATATTTTTTATTTTTATTTGGTAGCTTTGAACAATAAGGAAATATACATATCGAAATTTTGGTACAAAGGAACCCGCTTATTGTGATATACTTGCCAGAGAAAAATATTACAATCATAACTGATATATTTTATCAAACGATCAAGCTGTTTTCAATAATTTTTAGGTTGTCTAAACCTGTAGTGAGATACCCTGTAATCGTGAGACATAGACAGATGTGGAAACATTGGGAAATGAGAATACAAATTGAAGTATGGTGTCTCAGACTTCTAAAAGTAATCAATTGTTTGTAAAAATGCTTTCCAAGCTGGTAGACTTTAAAATTCAAAACTTACCTCTTCTTATCAACAATATTGTTGTATTAACTCCAATAACTTTGTTTTAATATCTAATAGAGAACTACAGTAAAACCTTATTAAAAATGACCATGTGTTGTACCATACATGAAAAAACCTATCTCACAACAGAGCAGGGTTATTTCTAAAACAAAATCAGAATCCATTTTACAGGTGAATATCTTCCTCAAATTTCAATTCAAGCAGTGATTGATGAAATTCAAAGATATTGGAGGCTGTTTCAAGGAGTTTCCAATCCTTAACTGCGATTTTTTTAACAATACATAATAGAAGTAAAAAGTTAAAAACAAGAAAGACTTCCTGATCTTTTTAACATGATGTAACAAGTTGGGAATGTCCTAAATGACTAAGAAATAAAAGAGAAGGAAGATGTATCTTATGTCTTGAAGAATAACTGGATACAGCTGCTGTACCAGACACAGAAGGTTTGGGGATAGAGAAGTGCTTGTACATGTATATAAAAAATCCTCAATATTCTTGTGTGCTTTGTAACAGATCTAAAGATGTCTAGCAAGTGACATGGATCAAAAAAGACAATTTTGACAGGAGAGTTCAATTTTCCATGATCCTATTCTGTGAAGTTTCCATGCATTATATAGACTATTATTGAGATAGTTTGGGCATAATAATAGAATTGCTACCAACCATACAACTTAATAATAGTCACCAGAATATTCCCCACGTATCCATCTTGTATGATTAGCAGTATATTATGATAAATGTCTATTGTTCAACTTAATGAAAAATGGGAACGAAATCACAAAATCTTTCCAAAACTATTAGTAGTTTTAATCTCGTTCGTAATAACCTAAAAATGTCATGAATCTCCAAACTGCTTTTTATTTTGACATCAAAAAGAAAGTGTTCATCTGGTCCCCCTGTCCACTTGTATAGTTCTTCAGGAGATACATAAACATTCTGGTGACTTAATGCTGGTTGTTAAACCTAAATTGTCGCTATAATACTCTGTTACCTTGGGCACTGGAACCGTGAGGGTATGGGGGGAATCCTGTTGGAAAATCGGGACACAATTTCAAATCAAATTCAAGGGATCAATATGTTGTCATTTCTCACAAACCTAGAAACAGTGCTTTATTATACCATATGCCATATGAACGCCATCAATTTGTCAACTTGCACAAAATTCAATTTTCGTATCATTTGGTACAATATATATTCTAACAATTTTTTATTACACAATCAATTGCTCATAGACTACAGATTTAGTTGCCTCTGTTATTATTAGTGCAACGGCTTATTCTAAACATGGTCAAATAAATTAATCGGACAACAGTTCCTTCAAAAGTTTTAAAAAGCAATAAAAAGTACATTATATTTCTTAAGATGGAAAATAAACATTGAAGATTTTTATTATTGAATTAATATTGGATTAATAAATTCTGTTATATCAGTTTTTGTAATAATATGTTTTTGACTACTACTATATACTTAATGCAACATTATAACCATGCACTTTACTTTTAATAGTGTTTTTCTATGGCAACAACAGAAAGATACTTTTTTATTTCTATTGAAAAGCATTTTTTATTATTATTATTCTTTTTACTCTGATATTTAATAGGCATCACGACCATGCATCCATAACCCATTCTGAACTAAGCAAGGGCCTAGCAAACTGTAAGCTCCTGTCAAACAAAAAGCTGAATTATCTCCCTTGGTTCTAAGACTATTAGAGAAACCAACACCAGACACTATTGCAATGCACCATATTTGAAACTTAAAACCGAAAAATGTCACTCTCAACAGAAACAGAAATCATAAATATTATTTTTTTATATCGTGAATGCAAATTTTCAGCATATACCAATATTTACAAGCCAGCTCTTCATTAATTAGTGGAAGTTTTACCATACAGTCCATTCTGTTTTCACCATATTTATGTCCGAGGGATGATTGTGTGAAAGTGAAGCCCAAACAGGGAAACAATTGAGTCAATACCACTGGTGTGACAGCCAATGTCCGAAAACATAAATTTAATTTTGCTGATATCATGATATGATTAAATGATGAAACTAGCAAATATTTTACACATTTTCACAAAAAAAAAATCACATTTACAATATTATTTTTTCAAGCCCTTCATTAAAACCCCATCATTCATTTCTTTGTGATCCATTTTATAATGTTAATATTATTTCTTTGAATAATTTACTGCCCTAGACAATGTTAATAATAGCAAATTAATTTGATTAATAATTTTTGCAAACAAAAAGAAACAAAAGAAATACGAACAAGTGATACTATCACACCCTTCGTGCAAAATCACCAAAAATATATTTTAGTTTCTCGTCAATAAAAAACAAAGCAATCTAGAGACTACGACATGTTCTGTAATCAAGGTGAAATACTTATAATGCATTGTGCTGTGATAATATGGAAACATAGAGAATAATTCAAATGTTATCATTTTTCCAGTTTTTTGTATGATAGTGAAAACATTGGTCTAAAATAATCAGTTGTACAAGTACTGTATTTAACTTACATTTTGTGAGTAATTTAGTAGTAAGCATAAAATTATCAGCTGTACTGTACTTAACTTACTTTTTGTGAGTAATTTAGTAGTAAGCATATTATTCACTAAATTCGTTCAGAAAGTTAGTAATAAATAATCTTTAAAATTTGTGGATTCCATAATTTCTTCAATCGCAGACGACCATAGAATGAAGTTATGCCAAATTAGTTTGAAATAAATTGCAAATTAAAATATTTATCAAATCTTACATTGAACTAAAAAAAATAAAGTACTCACAAAATTTAAACAATCTACAGTATGTCTGCATTCACTTTGTATCACATACATTTTTTCTTTAGAAAGCAGAGAAGAACAAAGCTTAAGGTTGTAGGTATAAAAGTACCATTATATATATACATGTATATATAGTAACATTTGTAGTACGTAATACAACCACTCAAACGAATCACACAAACGCCTTATACCGAGCGTTAACAAAGCAGTCTATTACAGAGAGAAAATGTGAACACCATTTCAAACTATTGTGGGGGTTAAAGGTTAGGTAGACAGACCTCTGGGGGGTTCAGTGTATGACCTCCGTGGTGCTGTGATGCAATGCTCATGGAGCGCTGGAAAATTACACATACTGACTAGTGCCGAAGTTATGTTTGTAATTTGCAATATCGGATCCAGGGTGTGAGTAATTTGAAGCTGGGTTTCAAAGAATTTGATTTAAGGATGTATGCCACCTTTGAGGGGACATGTACCAACTTTCTAAAAGAGCTCCATACTAATTAAAAGCATACATGTATAACATTTCTTTAATAAATAATAATATTTCATGCAAAAATATTTGTGAGGTACACAAGAATGCAAGCTTTTGATTTTGAATAATTTGATTATGCTAATTCAAAATTCCAGGAGATTTGCTTACACAAACATCATAGGTATGATGTGTAAGGTAGTATAAATTGTTAGCAAAGGGACATTTTGTCTGTATAACATATTTTACTTTAAATAAATAAAAAAAGTAACAATTATTTTATGTCAATTATTTTTGATATTCAGTGCAAATCAAGTATTTTCTTGACTTCTTTAATAACTATTTTAGCCAGATTTTGTTGTTAAAAAATTGATTAGATATTCTGGAATCCCCTAAAAATCCTCCTGGATCCGATATCGCTTTGTGTAACAGTTTTAATATCAACATTCACATCATAAGTAATCCTGCAAAAGAACGGTTGAATTTTTAGCAGATTTAATACTGTATTTTTTCTAATAAATATCCTCTGTCTACGGCTTGACTTAAGAAATGAAATTGAATTGCTCTCATAACTATTGGGAAGGTGAAAAGTGCTCTGAGGAAGGGGTAGGGTAAGCAAAAAGATTAAAATTATAAATCAAATCATTGAACTTGTTCAAAGTAAACAAACAAATCTCTTCAATTTTTTTATCAACTGAAGTCATATATGAATATAACATTCATTTCGTCAATGTACAAATGTAGATGAATTATCTGCACTTGAATAAATTTAAAGAAATATTACAAAGGTACCTTGGTAATCATTAGAATAAATACAATATTTGCAAAACATGATTTGTCAATTTTAACTGATGTATAAAATGTCTACCCACAAAAAACAAAAAGAAATCACATGGGATTGTCACTCAAATCCCACAAGACATGCATGCTTTTAAAAATAAAGTCCAAAACAATACTGAAATCTACATGACACCAAACACAATCAACCTCTATTTAAATTATGCTTTATGAGATAAACAAAACCAAAAACAGTCAGAATGTCTAGGGCAGAATTCTATCAAAAAATCAAAGGAAATGTATCAGAGATGAAGACAAATTTAAAAAAAAAAAAAAGAAACATGGAAGGCTGTATGTGTGTGTATGCCTGATAGGAAAATGAACAGAAGGTTATCTTTTCAAAATCTTTAAATGACATGTAATAAGTAAATAAAAAAATAAATAAATAAAGACTGGAAGAATACACTTATCCATCGAAAATAACAACCATGTCAAAAAACAGACACAAGTACCAGTATAAGAACTGAAGTGATGTTTACACAGATATTAAAACAATTTGAATCTTAGAATATGAAAGGGATTTTCAGTATTTAAAGTTATAAAAAGCAAAAAACAAATTAAAATAATAACAGAAAACTTAATAAAATACTAACAATTTCACAAAAAATAAAATCCAAACAAAATGAAGACAAGAAAAGTAATTAATATTTTTTCTATAGATTATCTATCAGGCCATCCATTGAACACATGGAAATGCCTTATAGACAACTGCTACTGTTGTCACATGATGGTCACATGACCATCACGCCTAAATCACGCCTACCAGTACCAACCTCATGATGGGCTACACTACTGGAACGCTGAAACACCACGCACATAGTTTCGTCATATTTGTCTGTAGATTTTCTGCCCGGCCATAGAAAGATCAACTTTGCTGCTTCGATTTTTTTAAATTTAATGAACGTGTAAGAGTTCAAACTTATTTTTATTTTGAGAAAGAAATTACCTAACTGAATAAATTGAGCGGGGGAAGGTCAGAAAGAGGCAGGATCGCAAAAACGAACATTTTATTGTAGAAATGTTATATATATATATTTATGTATCGCAGTATGCCCAATGTTTATTTCTATTTTTCTATCAAGCTATCTATAACGCAATGATAAGCCGCTTACAGAGTAATTCTGTCAAGCCGTGTTGACGTCCATGTGCAGTGGATGTGTAGCGGACATTTACCTAATTCGTGAAAGCGTGCATTCTATAATGAACTGTTAAAACATTTTCATTATTTTGTTATAAAATACATTCAAATACACAATCAATATTTTTTCCTTAATTTTGAGGATGGTAGTAACCAATTTCTCAAAATTTAGCTTATTGTTGAAATTACACAAAAAACACCTATTTGATACAAATTCAAATCCTGAAATTTCTGACAGTGTCCTAAGTAGAAGAAATATGACCACCTGTTAATAGATGCATGAGGTTGTTATATAACATATCACATTAAAATAAACAAAATCACAGGTAAAACTACAGGTACATACCCCTTTCTTCACTTCTTTCTCCTTCTTCTCATCCTTCTCCTTCCCTGCCTTCTTGGGGAAGGGTGAGGCACTGTTACGGTTTAGGATGTTGAAGGCTATTCTACCAGCCTCCTCACCGTAACCTGTCTTCCTCTTCGTCTGAAAATATTTAGGATCAAATTTTAAAAAAATCTTAAAATTGTTGCCAAATATTTTATTGTTATAATGATAGAAATAATCTACATTTTCTCATTTTTATTTGAACTGAAAAATAAAATTTTCCGAATTAGAACTTTATTTTCATAGTTTCTGAAAGAATTAATTATACATTGTATCAACAATTGTACATTTGTTGATATCAATGCAGAGTTTTTCCCTTCTGGTTAAACTTTTAACAACAAAAAATATAAGGCAATATAAAATGACACAGAAGAACCATTACAAATTGTTTAATGTATTGAGAAATTGTATACCTTCTCATGTAAAGCATGGTCAGTATAGGCGTGGACCCTGTAAGCACCACGGATTCTCTTCACTGTAAGAGGCAAGCAGAATTACATATTGTATAGTTATTTCAATGTGATTTTAACTTTGAAGGCATGATGGATTCTCTCAACATTTTGTTCTCCCTTCTCAAAATAGATCTGTTACAATTGTTAAACAATTCTTTTAAAAAAGAAAATACTGACATTTTTACCAAACCTGAGAAAAGAGAACGAGGGATTTTTTCTTTCTGCCAGAAGATTTTTAGAAAACACATTATATTCACTTGATCCTAATATCTTTTTTAAATGCTTTTAATATTTTAATTAATTTATGCAAAAATATTGCTTATTGTTGTTTTTTAAACAATAAAAACCTGAAATGTACTTCAGTTATGTATTATTATATAAATTAAATTAAACTAGATTATTTTTGTAATGGGCGAAATAAGATCTAATACTTTATCACAGATTGACTCACCTCCCGGGTACAGCAGAGGGGCGAGGTTAACGTAGGCAACACCGTGGTAACTGATGGAACCTTCCTCATCCTGTACACACACAAAAAACATATTTAGTATCATTTAAAAAAATAACGGGAAAATATGGACGAATTTGTAGCGTAAGAAAATATATTTTGTTAGTAAATGAAATTGATTTCCATAAGGTTTGAGGTCAGTTACCAATCTAATTCAAATTATAGCTATCACTCCTAAAATATCAAAAGTATATCAACATTTTTAATACACCTTATGACAGATGGTAACATGATTTCTAGCCTATCAATGAAATATACTTTGATGTTTACAAAAACATTGTATAATTTATTTTCAAGAAAAAAAATGGAACTTTTTAAGAAAAAAAATATAAACTACCGGTATAGTCATGGTCTGAAGAGTGCTTGAAATCGAGAAAGCTATTCAATAAATTTTGCATCCGATTTTGAGATCTTTTTGATTGCAATACTTAACATATTGAACAGGAGTGAAAGCTCTTATTTGAATCAAATTGTTCAGTTTTTAAAAATGCATATAAAATAAAATGTCAAAATATTACAGCAAATAAAGAAACATGGGAAATATATGAAGAAGACAGTATACTTGTACATGTCATGTTTGTTTATATCAGAAAGATTATGGAATAACGAGGAACATATTACAAACAGGGATTACAATATAATTTAAAATAAACTGATTGGGAAATTATGAACTAAAAATATATTGGAGAATGTAATTGCTTAAAAGTATTAATTCAAATTTAATAATTGTTTTCTTTTTAAAAAAATGAAGAAATTCCACAGTTTTAAGAGAAAATTGGAAGAAGTCATTAAAAATAAAATCAAAAATTGAAAAAAAACACTAAAAGTTTAAAATAAAAGGACAGTTGAAAATAGTGTCACTCTTTTTTCATTCTGTGCAGTTCTGAATCTTGTGATGTTTCTAAAGCAAACATGCTAAAGTGAGTTTGTTGAAATGGGAAAAAAAATTGGGTGAACATTTAGAACTAAAGCAAATGAATAAAATCATGAACAGTACCATGCTTGATAGAAAACACACACAGGTTGTAAATAAAATATAAAAGAGTATAAAATAAATATACCAACATAAATGTAGATTCAAATCAGGCCAGGATTCAGTCACAATGCATTCTACTGGCGAAATTGTGCCTCACATTGGTTTAAAACTGCTTATACCTAAGTGTAATTATTGGGGTTTACACTTGAAAATGAGTTACTTTTTAACAGGTAAATATCCGCCACAAGTTTTCTTTAGATAGCATCAATAAAGCCAAAGAGCAAATAAATATTTTGAAACAAATCTACTCTTAAATCTGCCATAGTTTGAGTTAATATTTTTTAAGGATAAAAGTATATTCATTACATCCAAAAATTCTGTAAAAATAGTTAACTTTGCAAATAACTAAAATCTGATTTGTTCAACCTATGTTTAATAACTTCAGATATATACATGTGCAGTCTGTATATATTCTAACTTTCATTTCTTCAGCATGATCAAATATCTGGATATCAATATCTAAAATGTATTTGTGAATGAAAATGTAGGTCCATTAAATATGAAAATAAAATAAAACTTTACTTTTTGGGAAATTCTATTTTATCAAACAAAACTTTAAATTACTGTTATGTATTTTTTTTATAATAATGTATAAAAAAAAAGTCAATATCCATGTATGTAGATTTCAGACAATGAATTTTGGAATATTTGAAAAACTAACATTAATTAAAAAAAAAAAAAAGAGTNCCACCTACCCCCACCCACCTACCCCCACCCCAACCCCATAGTGCCACAATTTTAACAATACTTTAAAAATGAGATACAAAAAATAACTAATTGCAGACATACGTCATAACAGTTCTGACACACATACAGCACATATATCTAAAGTGTGCACACCAGCTACACATGTACACAAGCTGCATGTGTGACTGCCTACCAACCTTAGACTTCCCTGTGGCACCAGGATTTCCCTGGCGCTGTGGTTGAGCCAGTTAACAAAACAAAGGACACACAGGTACAAATCATTGTCACATTAGAGGGGAACATCAAAATGGAACCGACCAGTCATTTTAAAACATCAATGAACTCATTCACCCCTACATATTTAGACTGGAATTGCCCAGTCTCTAATTTTGTAAGGTTCAAATGTGACTTTAGGGGTGAATGGGTCAAGTGGAATCTTGTTAATCCCTTTTAAGACTGTCCAAGGACACTTTTTCAAATAATAATCAATGCTCAAAAATTGATTCCCAAATAATATGGAAGCAATTGAAAAGAATTTATTTTACTTTTGGGTTTTTTACGAAATAATTTCTTTTAGACCAACGAAATTCCACTAAAGAATGGAAAAAATACACAATGTACAGATCCAATTTCAATTCAAATGTTGAATTTCAAATAGCTCATAGACATAAAACTAGGCACATATGATGAGGCATATTGAGTTGTTCCAGGGTCTGGGTTGATATTTAAATATATATATATATATAGTATACATTAAAGTTAAACATACAATGTTACAAGCTTACCATCATGCATGCTTTCTATATATACATTATAAGATATAAAAATATACTTCATAGTTATATAGACCATGTCTAATGAATTGCTTCACTTTCTGAAAAGTTTAAGTTAGACTGTGAAGAAAACATCTACTTCTAAATTGTCGGGATGTGCTGCTAAACTTGGGGTCTGTTAAAAGCTTGTATATTAAATCACATACAAAGTGGCTTTTTAAACAATTCATAGCTCAATATAGCAAAACCTCTCTTAAACGACATCTCACTGTGACAGTAGACAGCTCAATTTGGTAAAACCTGCCTTATCTAACACTTTGCTGTGACAGTAGACAGCTTAATAGTCAAACCTGTTTATAACGACACCTGAGTATGACAGTGGACAGCTCATTACAATCAAACCTGTCCTAGCTGACACATCACTGGGACACTGGACAACAAAATGCAGTAGCACTTGGTTTAAAACACAGAGACTGGTTTTAATCTATTGATTATGAAGTTATTACAAGAAGTTTTATATTGGCATTACAGTATATTTTTTTCTGCAAGGCATAAGTACCTGGTAAGTAGGATATGTTCATGCATTCTAAGGATTAAAATTTTAATTTTTCTGTCCAATTCTTAGCAATATTAATTTACATAGAGACACATATATCACACATTAATATACTTCATATTACAGGCTGTGCATCTAAAATTTCTAACTATGTGATGCAAATAGTTGGACAAATCATGGTAATTACTTTTGTTATCATTTAATCAATTTACCTAGAGTGAATGAAGTCTACACAACTCATCTTATTAAACTTCTAAAATGAGTTATGCAGTAAGATTTTATCTAACTTAGTGCTCAAACAGGCTGAAAAAATTAATATTAATTTTCTGTTATCATATCAATTTCTCTGAATATAAACAATCATATTTTGATTTAATCAGATTTCCTCCCAGCAAAGCTTTGACAAAACGAGGTCGTGCAGTCAGGATTATCTACAGTGCAGCAAGTTTTTTTTTCTTAATTCAGCATTAAGGATCCATGTGCCATTAATGGTCTCTGTTATTGGTATGAGGAAGGACCAGATCTAACAAAGTCAATCCTGTATCTACTGTTTCAATTCTATATATATACTTACACTAGCAGCATGCTGTGAAATTGATGTCAAACTTTAGAACTGTTTGAAATTGCTCTCACAGAGAATTCATATTGAAATATGACATATTATAATTAATTTCAAATTAATTTCAAACTGATGATCTCCCCATATGAGCAATTATTCCCCCTATCCCTGCTTATTCTTTCCCCAATAAAGAAATCATTAACCATAAGATGTTTAATGTTTTAAATAGATATATCAGAATAAACGTATCAAAACTAATGAGGTGATGGCTTAGAGCAAATACAGATACTTTGATGTCTTCTACCGAATATCTGCTCAGAGTAGAATTTATATACCTGGTAGTCACGTTTTTTTGAAAAAAAATGATCTTTTTTTTATCAATCAAAAAGAATTTTACCACTGAAAAAGAAAAATACTAGCTTTCAAAAATCTTATTCTAATTCAGCCTTCCCTGAACTAGTGGAATATATAGTTCTTTGGGTGTTTTACAAAAATGATCCTGCATTAATGTATATCGGAGTGTAACTACTTTTGCTTGCCTACCTTTTTGCCCTTGTTTGCTGCAGGAGGTGGAAGTCTCATTATCTCAACTGGCCAGTAACGACATTTGGCAATCTTGTCTTGGAAACTGTAAGAAACATTTTTTTTTATAGTTATCAAATATCAACAAGTAATGATTTTTTTTATTATTATTTTTTTTTTATTAAATGTCTATTCTTAAGCCTTGTATAGCCATTTACGTACTGCTCATTTGTTTATGTCAATTTCAGTGTTCTATATATTTTTAAGAACCAGGTATGAATATGCATTGTCGGATACCAACGGCTGATTTCGCTTCGGTACTCACTCACCATGATGAGTGAGTACCGAAACGAAATCAGCCGTGGGTATCCAAAGAAGATGAATATGTAGAGTTGTAAGTTCATAAATTGAAACAAACCTCTTCAGGTTGAAAACAATTATCCAAATGTTTAACATTTGCTTAACATAACAAAGCTTACCTCTTGACAGCCGAGTTTTCCATGTAGCATCTCCTCTCTGTGTTCCAAGGAACTCGGAGCTTCTCGGACTCAGAAATCATCCTGTGATCTCTGTCCTCTTTGGCCCGGAGTTCACCGTCCTCGTCTTCAATACTGTCACTGGCGATGTAGCTGTAACACACCAATAGATTGATATTATCAAATATAAAAATCCTTAAGCAATAGTGACAAAAACAATTAGAACTTTGCTAAATGAACACAGATGTCATACGATTTAGGAAAATAGAATGAAAATTCATGTTATGTGATGCCAAAGGCCTTGACACCATTCAACAGTAGACATTTAAATTAATCAAACCAAAAACAAGCAGGAAAGCAACTTATTTTCCGGAATTATTTAACTATTATAAGTAAGTTCACTTAAAAGAAAAATAAGAGTGAGAAGCTAATTTCAATGACATCTTCACCATTTTTTTCCCAGATGATTAATAAGAGAATTTGATATTTGTAAATTAAGTGGCTGAATGAAAATTATTCTACTAGTTCTCTATTCAAATTATTAGTAGATATGTAGCAGCAGAATTATAAACTATTCACTACTTTCTCTCAGATGTATGTATGAACATTTTCCTATCTTATTTCATTGTACCCCAGTTCTGTAATACACATGTAATAGTTAGTGGTAATGATTTTTTCAGCTGTGTGAACTTTTCATTTCTTTTCAAATCCTATCAATTTTGAACATAATGCATAACCATGTCTGAGAAAAAATAAAGTTTATTTGTTGAACTTATTGAATATAGCAATTTGTTATTAGTTTCAGACATTCTACCTACCATTCAGGAATATAAACAGCATTGGCTTGGGCTGATCCTGGCATGGCCCACTTCTTCTGTTTGTTTGGAATTTCCTTGTCAGCACCTGGCTTCAGTGCTCCACCGGCGAAGATTATTGGTGCCTCTTTCTGCAACAAATATCATAAAAATATGAACCACAGATATGATATTTTTTTTATCACTTCTAGATTATATAACCAATCAATGAACACTTATCCATTTAGTGCTATTTTAAATTTTCATAATATAGATAATTCAATAATAATTTAAAGATAAGAAGATTTTAAATACAATTCAACATCAATATACATGTATACAGTACCTGTAATTAATTGAAATCCATGGATTTCTTCAAGATTCATTCTTATTAAAATCACAACTGGATCAATTTTTTTTTTTAAAGAACATAAATTTCTTTCAAACTGACCTCAGCAGTGACTGGGATGGGCAGTGCCGCAGCGTAGCAGTACTGGGATCCAGCCAGTGTCCAGGACTCAGGAGGGGACAACAGAGACTCCATGGTTATGGTCATCAAGTTCCCTGTGCTTGCCTGGGGAGAGTCCATCAGTGGCTCGTTGACGGAGACAACAACATCCAGCTCAGGCTAAAATAGAAAAACAGATTTTTTTTTATCAAAGCGTTGAACAGCAATTCGTATTATGATCATTAAAGTTTTTTCCCCTCATATATCACCTTAACGTTACCTACCACATGCCATGTTTTTTGCCCTACATAGATACAATGCGTAACAATATTCAGTAAATTTGACATAACATAAAGTGAAAACCTACATACATGGTAATTATTTCTCAATTTTGCGTGATTCAAATATCCTTAAGGAAACTTAAATACACAAAACAAAAGAATTGATTAATTTTTTGTGAAGTTTTCATCAGCTTTTTGATATTTGTATGGTACTATCCAATAAACAGTAATTCTGGCTGAGACTGACCTTGGCATGTTCAGGAGGGATTCCTTCCAGAGGTGAGCCCGGAAGGGGGTTGACCACCAATGTATACTTGTGTTTTGTTTCACCTGTTCCGAAATCAAGTCATGATAAATTAATGACATACATCTAATTATTACAGTTTTATTCTTTCTTTTAAGAGTTATAAAAAAGAAGTAAAGATATATTTGAGGTGTTTTCATTTGAGAATTAAGAATGAAACATAGAATAATAGTTCAAAACTAGGAGATTTTTTATTTTTATTTTTTTTACAAACCTTTGACAAGTGGCAGTAGATCAACAGTACACTGTCCCAACAAAGCTGTCTTTTCTTCCTTCTGTTTCTTTTCTTTAGGCAATCCTTCAATAACTGTCACTGTAATGATATTTATTTGATTAATGGTTTGTACTGAAAAGGTGAACCCTCATTCCAAAAATTTTAAAATCTGAAGATCTGCACCAAAAATTAGATGTTTAAATCTGCAAAGAATCCTTTACCAACATACAATGTACCGATATGTCATACTGTTTTTGAGATTTATGATTGAATTAACAATAAAAGGAACTAATAATGATCTATAATAACCATGTTAATTTGATTTTATACCTTAAATAATCACTAGCAACAGATTGTGTTGTGAAAAAAATGTACTCTGCATTAAATTTTGTCCTGAAATTATTCTGTATTACTAATATTAATATTCAAAAACCATGTTTATTCAATTTTATACTTAATTAAGATTTTCAGAAAAAAGGATGGTTGTACTTACAGACAACTGGTTTGTGTGCAATTTCATCCAGGGCCAGTGGATCATCGTAGGTACAGTTAATGGTGGTGCTGAAGTTGAGTTCGGCAGGGACATCGGGAGAACACTCCACTTTGGGAGAATCTCCAAGGGTCTTCTCTCCAAACTCTACCTTTACCATCACTTGTACACTGTCAGCCTTTGTTCCTTTCTATAAGGCAAAATGATGATTTCATTGCTAATTTCTAGTTATAAACAAGTGCTGCAGTGTAAATAACAAGACTTGATTCCATGACTGATTAAAGAATTCAAAACTGATTTTAGAGGAATAATGGCACAAGTAATAGCTTCATTGAATAAAAACGGTACAATAGGCAAATAAAAGTAGGCTGGAGTATCAAAAGAAACCTAAGCTTATGGATTTTTTAACTGACTAAAAAATACAAAAGGGATATAGACTATTTTCTACTTACCATGTTCCTGGCCCTCAGGACAGTGATAGTAATCGGCTCTGGAGGCCGGGTTTGTACACTGTCTTGGTCCATTTTGTTAGTTTTTCACTTTCAAAATAATAAATTCCTGCAAAGAAAATATTTTTTCCCCATGAATACATTACATGTATATATATTTCAATTAGATACTGAATGAAACTGATTTGATCACTCTATTGATTTTAAAAGAATGAAGTAATGCATATTGATTCCCATTGAACAATTCTGTTCTTTAAAAGACCACCAGATCAACAGCTGATCTCCTTTTAATTTGTCACGATATGACCTCTGCTGCTGCAAACGAAAAAAAAAAAAAAACAGAAGTCCCTTTATAGTGATTTCATTTACAATTTAACACTAGGTTAACACTTTGATCATTTTTTTCTCTTTTATATGGTAGGAATGTATTATGATAAGAAAAAGGCTATTTGATCACCAGCTATAAACTGTACTCTGGTAACTTCTATACCCTAATCAATTAAAATCAACAGTACAATACTGCACTTGTGATAATGGATGGTTACAGACATCATTCTGTGATATGATGGGACTGAGAGGTAAACACAACATACAACCTTTGCGACAGTCAGCACTGACAGCAGGACAGTCAGCAGGATTAACATACAATTTTCTACCAAAAGGCAAGGAGTCAAAGTACTAATACTGTGATAAATCTGTGATTATTATGCAATTGAAATCTGTGATTATAATATGTGATATTTGTACCTGTATCATGCTTTTACCGAATAAATATTATTATTATTAATTAAGGAATGTGATACAAGTTCATAAACTAATTATAATTATTGATGATCAAATGGCATGTTAGAGTCTACATTCATTTCATACCATTATCACTGATTATCATTATTTCGAAGTAATAACTTCATGAGAGAATCAATAAAAATTTCACAAAATGTGGTAATCATTTGCATTTTACGATATCGAACTCGTTCACAAATAATTACCCTGTTCCCAGGAGATGGGGGGGATGGCTGTCAACAAGTCTCGAATGCAACTTATTACAATACTCACGATAAAACCAGTATAATCGAGTGCTGATTGTATTTATCGATGCTAGTTCTTTCCTCTATACAACAATTGTTAAATTATACACATCACGGCAGCCATAAACCATATATAAACCACAACAAATGATAACTATTTGCAGTAGACAGTACCTGTGCTTCCCGCCGTTCCCTTGGTGACAGTGACAGATAAGCGAGACTTCCGTTTCCGGTTTGTAGTGACACACGCGAGTAGTGACACATGTAGGTCGATCCGATGTGAAAGGTTTACAAAAAATAAAGTCGATTAAACCTTTTCAATGATGAAAGCATTAATTCAAAGAGTTACGCAAGCTAAAGTTACAGGTATGTTATTGTTCAAATGTTTCAAGTATAAAATACAAACTTTGTTCTGACAGGTCTTTAAGACTGTCAACACCGTCTACTTTCACTTCATTGGTTCTACAGGTCAGCAGGTTATATGTCCTTAAAATTACATTTTACATTTACCAAATGTAATTTTTTGGCAGGATAACAAAAAGCAACATTTAAAAAATACTTAATGTCATTACTGTGAGTGTCAGATATCAGAATGGGATTTCTAAAATGAAATAATGATGATTGTGTTTTGCTGTCTTTTTTGAGTCATTTCTTGTCTTGAAACAGTGACAAATAAAATTAAATGTTTGTGGTTGTGAACTGGAATAAATTAAACTTTTTGTATCATGCGGGTAGCACCTGACATGACACCTCTCTGTTTAAATGTGCTAGTTAAATTTTAAAAATCCTTTATCAGGAGCAGTCATTATCCTTAGGGAGTATGTAGTGGAACGTGACTTAGTCAATTGCTGTAGCACAGTTGGTTTGAGCATCTGTTAAGAGTTTGGAGGTCTGGGGCTCAAACCCTTGTCTGTGTATGGCATTTTACCTTTCTTGTTAGTTGTTACATTTGGCTCTCAAATAAATATACCGGGTATATTTATTTGAGAGCCTAATTGAGAGCCAATTCACTCACTCACTGCAGAGATGGTATCTACGGTCGTGTGTGTCTTTGGGGTACTTATAGACTTTGTTGAATGAGAGAGGAATGTGGTGAAACTTGACTGGATTGATCAACTTGACCAGTAAGCTCATTTTGTTAGAGCATCTCTCTGAAGTTCTGAGGTCTGACTCGAACTTGCAACCCTTCGGTCACAAGCCCGGCGTCCTACCACTAGACTACCGTGTCTCCTAATGTACATGAAGCAGATGGGTTGTATTCTGCTACTGAAAATCAAGCAATGAAGACTTTTTTCTATTGCAGTGTTTTATTTTATTCAATAGCTATCAATTTTTACATTTCAGTTGATGGAGAAACTGTAAGTTCTATTGGGAAGGGACTATGTGTGCTGATTGGAATCACCCATAAAGACTCGCCAAAGGAGATGGAATACATGTAAATATGTTAATTGTGAACAAAATTATAAACAAATGAAAAAAGGAGGAAAGGATAATTAAACTTCACAAATCTGAAAAGCATACACGGCTGTTTGTTGTATAAATGCATTTGAATATGTCTTAATACCTGATAGTGCAAATATATTGCAAAAATGTAAATTTCATATTTAAAATATCAATTGTGAACTTATTACAAAAAATTATTCAATAATTTTGATCATGAAAGTAATAAAGAAAAGACGCATAATATATAAAGTGATATAATGAAAGATGTTACAGATATTTTGAAATATAAAATAGACCTGAATAGTTTCAAAAATTTCAGATTTTAGTGACATGGTTCTCTGTAAGTGAAAAATCATTTTAAAAGGTGTTTGTGTTTCAGGGTGAGAAAAATTCTCAATCTAAGATTATTTGATGATGATCAAGGAAAGAGATGGGCTAAAAATGTTATGGAGAAAAACTTTGAGGTTCTATGTGTGAGTCAGGTAAGTGATACTTCGGTGCTTAAAATTGTTGATTTGTGTTGATAATGTATCTTTTTAACATTGGCCAGTTTCTGCAGTTTTGAATTATTATTCTATTATAAATGAGAAGTTTTAGGTTTTTAGCTCACCTGCTCGAAATTCCAAACCTATAGCCATGTATACAATTGCAGGGCATCAAGAGACAAACACAATCATGATAAAAGAATTGACCCTGGGGTCTGGCCCCACCTCTAGGGAATTGATTTCTGAGTCATAACTTTAAAACAGTTGAGATCCTCATCTCCATAACCATAGAAACATTGCTGGGCATTAAAAGACGAACACATTCATGATATTAGTATTAACTCTTGTGTCTGGCATCCCACCTAGCCCTTGGGACTTAATTTCTGGGCCATAACTTTGAAATTATTGAAATCAACATCCAATAGCCAAATGTAGTATACCATTGCTACAGGCCCTCTGGCCCTCTTGATTTTTATTTATGATTATAACCCATGGTCATTTCTTTGCAGTTCACCCTATGTACGATATTGAAGGGAAACAGGCCAGACTTCCATGCTGCGATGGCTCCAGAACAGTCTCAGGAGTTTTACGCTGAATTTGTCAAACAAATGGGAGAAACATACGATCCATCAAAAATCAAAGGTTGTTTTTGTTGGGAAGTCGAAATTTGTTTAAACAAAATTAATAAATGTTCATTATCATTTTAGTTGTATAACCCACAGCATTAAGTTTCAATAAGTTTTTTTTCAGCATTTACATATGTATACATTTACAATATGTACTTTCAATTCCTTGTCTTCCATTTAATTCCTGGTTTCTTTTGGATAAGTTTTGTTTTACTTTTATTCAATTGTTCTTTATGTCAGTTGTCATATGGCACACTGTGTCAGAAAGTCTCAACATTAATTTGAATATTAGAATTATTAATAATGATAGGATCTTGAGAAAGGTTCAGCAGAAATTGATCATTGCTGCTAGATATAATTGATGTTTATTACTTGATGACAGTGTCTGCTTTATTGTAGATGGAGTATTTGGAGCCTATATGCAGGTACATATACAGAATGATGGACCAGTAACGATACCCTTAGAAACTCCTATCTCTCTCCAGGTAAGTCAAGCAACAGTTCGCGATACCTGTCCAACATTTTACACAAAAAAAAATCTACTCTTAAAGGAATTGATTGTGTTGTTAGGGTATTTCAGAAAGTTTCAGACATCTGTCTGGTGATTTAAGTTACAAACTATTTATTTTCTTCCACTCTACAAGATACATGTGTTCCATGGGGAACACCCATCTGAGATAATACTTACCATTATCAGGTGTGACAACACTTTTCTAACAGGGTTAGACACTAACTGTTTTTGCTTGGTAGTCCACTGGACTAGTTGAATATATTATTTACTTGTCCTTTGTCAATGTAACTAGTCCAAGATTTCCTGATAAGGAAACATCACGATCTACAGCACAAAACATCAAAAGTAGGGGACTTAAAATAACAACTGCCATAAAAATATGGTAAAGGTTTTGGAAATGTTTTGACAATTATCATGCAATTTATCTATTTTAAGCAGTTTTTTAAAACGGAATATTCTTATTTAAGAATCATGTTTTACACAAGTCGAAAGGACCAGTTAGGTTAGATGATTCACTAGTCCTTGCTGAAATCTACTAGTCCAGGACTAACGGACTAGTGTTAGTGTCGACCCTTGTGGAAGTGTGTAATATATATTTTTCTAGTATGAAATATACTTGTATCGCCCTAGGGTTGAGACAAAAGGATTTCCCTATCATAACAAGTGTGCAATGTCACATCAACAATGCATTCAATTAACCAAATGTCAAAGTCACATATATGCCAAGTCTAACAAAGTCTGAGAAAAAGAATCACTCCCTCTCCCTCNGGGGGGGGGGGGGGGGGGGGGGGGGGGGGGGGGGGGGGGGGGCTCAACCCTTTGGGGAACATCTTCCATCTCACATCAAAGGGGGTGAAAAATCCTGTTCATCCCAAGTAGGTGCACCTCCTGATTAAGTTTATATTGCACCATAGCATGGTAACGCCAGGGTAAACTGATTAGATTTGGGCAGTCAACAGGCAGAGTTAAAGGGACAAAGGTCACACTTAACAACTTCTGAAATAAAAATCAATAAACAAGATATATCTAAATTAGTTCTCTACACCACATTATAGCATTAAGTTCTAGACCTGATTAGGGTTTGGTGGTCATCTGTCAAGTCAAAGGGTCACACAGTTTTAAAACAAAATCCTTGTGTGCATAGTATTGGGGAACGAGGAGCATATGTATATGAGCCCTGCTGAATTTGTTATTTTGCCTGAAAATAGTTCATACATTATAACTGGTTTATAACATTAACATATAAGATTAGTAACATGTCTTTAGTGAATTATAAGTCTATATTTTAATTTTAACAGGAAGAAGGAAAGAAGCAAAAGAAGTGGAATAATCCGAAAAACCAGTCGTCCAATGCTTCCAAAAGCACACCTGTACAACAACAAAGTAGCGTACCTGTATCAGGGCCAGAGGTGTCATGTGAAGGAGCAGAAGCCATGTCTAGTGAACCTCAGGGTGGAACAGAGTCCCAGCAGGACCAGAGCTGACCCTAGGAGTTATATAGACACTGCAAAGTGGAATCTTGTTTGTCTGGAGATGCTGTGTGTGATAGAACATTGCCCCTATACATGTAATCACCTACATGTAGTGTATGAAGTCTGGAGGGCCAAGAACGAACAGTCATATCATGATGATAGTCATGATACACCAAATGTTAGACATGGGATGTTTGCGTGTGACTAAAGACATGTTTATCTTGCTGGAAACATTTCTATGAGCCTTTTCCAGATGACTACAACAGCAGTGTAACAGTTTTGGAAATTGTATGCTGATTGAAAGTGGATTTCTCGACCAAATACCTGTACCCATATTGACAAGGTTCCCATGTACAGAGAACATTGTACTTTAAATTTAAATTTTATTTATCAATTACTATGTCGGATCTGTGCCTAGTGCTTCACCCTAGCAAACATCTTAATTATTGGACAAACTTCTAGTACCACAAACAGGGAGAATTCATGTAAAATTTCTCTAAAGATTTGTTTTTTGATATTCAAAATGACCTAAGGCTAAGTTCAAAGTTGAGAATGTGTGTGCATAATTATTTGGTAAAATGTGCTCTAATTGGTTGGCAGTTTGACAGATAAATGGATTCTAATGAGACTGACAATATTCATACAATTTAACCAAATCTGTGCATGATATCAGACAGGTGTATATTGTTTCACCCCGGCAGTACTCTTGTTATACATTACAAAGATATGTCTGCTTTTTTTGCGGTAACCAATGACAGTGTTGAACTGAAGACTTTAAAACATGTTTTTTTTTGGTCCTTTGGCATATTATTTGCTGTTTTCATCATAATCCATTTTAACTCATTCACCCCTGAAGATACATTTGAACTCTTCCAAATCAAAGGTTGGACACATGATTTTAGACATATTGTTGTGGATCTGGCGCAAAGTATTTCATCGTGTTTGATATGACCATTTATAAAGAATGAGTCATATTCCAATGACAAAATGTTTTCTCCAATACAGATGAAATTATCTTAAAACAAACAATGGGTTGTTTTGTATTCTTTTCAACTATACTACATGTACTAATTTTATTTTTTAGGTAATCTGTGTTGAAATCTCGTGTGACTTACTGCAGTCGTCTTTTGTCTCTCATTGTACCTCATCCATCCATTTACATGCACATTTCCAAGTTCTCAAAAACAGCTGAATTGATTTCAGTAAAATTGCAAAAAACTTCAAAACTGAATAGTGTGGTTCCCCCTCCCTCCCAAACCTTAGGGGTGTGGTCATAAGATGTAAAATAAAATATAACATTGAAAAATGTTTTCTTCAGCACCAAATATGCTAGAATCAAACACCTTTTTTATGGATGGAAATGTCCTCAGATGCTTTAGTAAAATTATGAATTTCATTACCCAAGTTTGGCTATTCCAATTAGGCAAGTATTAAATTTTTTTGACAAAACGAAGATTTGTTTGTTTGTTTGTGTTATACATCCTATTAACAGCTATGGTCATTTACGGACGTGCCAGGTTTTGTTGGTGGAGGAAAGCTGTAGTTCCCAGAGAAAAAACAACCTACCTACGGCCAAATACCTTGTGACTGCCCCACTTAGGCCTCAAACCCGCGACTCAGAGGTGGAGGGCTAGTGGTAGCAGAATGTCAGATGCCTTAACCACTTGGCCACCACGGCCCCACAAAACAAAGCGAACTAGAACTGTCGCCTATGGACTACCTAATACTCTCTGCATTCCGGCTGCTAATAAACAAGGGGAAAAAAATATTAGAAAGATCAAGGGTCTAACCTCAGATGTCGTAACGACAGACCGATAGAAAAGACAAACACCGCTACTGTGACCTTTGACCCAATGACCTCAAAATTTTGTCACAATGTAGCTGGCATCAATGCTACATATACTCAAACGTATGTGTATACAAAATACCTACCATTTCTGCAATAATTAGCCATTTCAGTAACATAATGCATCTGTGACCTTTAACCTCATGACCTTAAACGTTTGTCACAATATAGCCTGCATAATTTGCCAGGATACCCTATATGAGTATACAAAATACCTAACGTTTTCGAGATAATTAGCCATTTCATTAACGTAATGTACCAATAACAGTAGTCAAGGGCCATAACTCTGGTAACGCGAAATGTTGAAACCTGACAAAAAACCTGTTATATATGTTAAACATTATTGCTTCTAGTATTACCATACCAAATTCGGAAGGAATTGAATAAAATCACTTAGTGCACATCTCCAAGCCGTTATCAGCAAATTTCATTTAAATCCATCCAGTAGTTAAGGAGGAGTATACAGTACTACATTGCGTCCATGGACGGACACCAGTTTACCTCCCTAACTTCATGTGTGTGTGTGTGTGTGTGGGGGGGGGGGGGGGGGGGGGGGTGTATTATTACCTAGTACATTCTATATTATTACCGGTATACAACTTTGATATAGTACCATATCTAACTGGTTAATGCCACTCTAAGTTATACAATACAAAGATACTGAATACAGTTAAGGATTCCTCAGGAGCTGACTTGTAGGGTGATAAATACCAGTCCTATGCCACCTAGCCCGATACCTCCACAGGTTTGTGCCTGTGAGATGCTGGAGTAGAAGCATCGTTGTGATAGGCATCCTTTTTCATAGTATTACCTCATTTGAATGTCACAGCACACACACTGCATCACCCGCACCTGACCACTTCACTTAGATTATTAGTTCTGCAGTTCTTTCTTCAGCTGTTGGTTTTAGTGTTTAAAGGACTTAATGCATTTAAGGTTTTAAAAGCCATTACAATTGAGGATATCTCGAGCTGTCTTACCAGGTGATAACTACTAGTTCTATGGCACCTGGCCAAATACCTCCACATGTTTGTGTGTGTGGGTGTGCTAGAGTAGTACTATATAGCATTGTTTTGTGTTAGACCTGTGTTTCTGATAGTATCCTTTTTCATAGTTTAATATCATTTGAATGTGATCACAGCACACACACTGTAGCCACACCTGACCATTTTATACTTCACTTAGATTATTCGAGTTGTGTGGGAAGGAGATAAAAAAATAATCGATAGCACTGCAATTTGTACTTCAGCTGTTGGTTTTAGAGTTGAAAGGACATATTGCATTTTAAAAACCATTCTATAGTGAAGTTTAAAAGTTTGAAATAATAATGCAGAATCCACAGTATTCAAAACTACAGTTTTTATTCCATTTTACAATCTTTGTGAACGCTTTCAAATCACCAACTATTAGTGATAAATATTTTAATCACACATAAGAACCATGTAAATAAAAAAGGTTCAAGGAAACATTGAACAATAAAATAAATAGCACAATGCATGTTTAGTACCAAAACTTCCAAAGTTTTTGGATTTTTCTAATTGATTCCTGGAAAAATTCAACAGAAATAAATGTAATAGTGATAAATACACAGTTGTGAAGTTTTATAACAATGGTAGGAAAAAATCGACAATGAGTCGCAGCATTAGTTGTATCACTAGTAAGAATTTGTAAAGTTTTCCCCTATATTCATACAAAAACAGTTACAGAGGAACCAGATATCAAAATTTGGGTGTATTGTCCAGGAAAAATGGTTGTCCAGGAAAAAATGGCTAACAATTTTGTTAAAAGGGACACAAATACTGCTCATATAACCAGATAAAAAACAAATAGAAATCTGCACAAAGCGTGGTGACTTAAACAATGTGGTTTCACGAAATTCATAGAAGAAAACTCTAGGAATTTTCTGGACAAGTTTTGACTTGTAATTTTGTGCAAGCTAAGGGGCATTAACTCCCATGAAAATATCCACCGAAAGAGGATATTGATACATGTTAACAATTTAAGGTCACAGGGACCTGCGAATGTGTTAGCTATATTTGGACCTAAACTAAGGTGTTCAGAGTAATTTATTGTACATGTTTAAGATCAACTTACAAACAAAATTCATTCTACAGACAGTTGTTCAGAACCTGATTTCAGTATAACCCCTCTATTGATTTTGAGGGGAAGAAACAGTAGATATGGCACGTAGTTATGGCACTAGATTGCCTCAAAGCAGAGCTTCAAACAACTTTAAAAAACGATACAGTAAATAAATAAATACATAAGATATTTTATGTTACTTAGGGTACATTCGCGTATCTGGTTGAAACAGTTGAACCGGTTAAAAAAACGACAGGTACAGATCTAGACAGAGGCTGACCTCAGGAAAATTTGGCACGCGTAGATTGAGGGGTTCAGACGTACCTCACATGACCGAAACTAAAATGCTGACTATTGCCATTTTTGCTATTTTATTTCTTTCTAAATAAATGTCAAGCCACATACAGTTTTTAAGATACGTTCTGTTATTCAGTGGATGTGTGAGAGAAGGGCACCGTTTCAACCAGTATACGCGAATGTAGCCTTGATGCTATATTAATATTAAATGTCTGTATCGAGACATTATATCAAAATTATACATGTTCAACAATATTGATACAGTACATACTTTGTACATTTTCAAAATGAATTACATTGTACTGTACGATTACTATATCCTAAACATACCTTATTGTGATGTTTCATCTTGAAATGTTTCAATAAATACATCTGTATGTGGGATACCAAACCAACAGCAGAAATCATTTTATTATAATCTCAAAAATCTAGAAGAATGTTATCTTCGACTCTCTGAGGGACACATCATAAAAGTCATACTAAACAATATGCCAGAATACACAGGTTTTAGTAGGCCAAGAAATTGTATTGCATGCATACTTATGTTAGATTGTAGAGGATGTCGGAATACTCAGATTTAACTGACCAGCATATTTGAGTACTCATGGGTTGGATTAGACAGGTTTCACTGTAGTACAAGTATTTTTTTTCCATTTGTGAAGTAAAAAAAACACGGAAATTGTGTTGACCTCAATGCGACCTTGATAATTTATTTTTTGAAAGTTTGCTGGTGCTTTTGAAATAGAATGCCTTCGAGTGGACATGAAAAGTACTGAAAAATTATTTTCCACAATAGAGATACATCTACAATAACCGAGTTGAAATAATATGAATGAAAAGTGTCCCCCTGTATTTTGCACTTGTTAAACTGATCATGTGGCATATTGTTCTTACATAAACCAATAAAACAATTTTCAATTTGAAAAAAAAAAATCCTACCCTATGTTGCTACTAGAGTTTGGGGTTTCGACTGATACTTAATTATGACATGGCAAGGGCTTGGCTTGTCTATGCTCCAATTTCTTGACACTAAAGATGATACAAAATATTGCATACATATATGAAAGCAATCTACATGATAATGGATATTATACTGCAACATCTGGTGCAAACAACAACAAGTAAACAATATAGTAAACAACATAGTAAACATGTAGCATATATATAACACAGCACCTACTGTCCACAGGGTAGTCCGAATTATTCTGACGTTTTATCAACTTTTTTCATATCGGTCTGTCGTCAAAAGTCGATTTAATTGCAGAATAATTCGGACTATCCACAGGGTAGACAGGAACAATTAAAAAATATGCAGTTTTATAAAATAGTCTTTTTTTCAATTAGTTTTGGCACTTCATAGCCAAAAGAATATAATGAAGGTTTATGGCTAATATATGTAAAATTTTGATTGTTTAATCAATGGGAGATTAGATAAACAACCTTAGATGAAATTTGGATAGCTTTTAAAATCCTATCTTTGGCCATGGTAGTTATGAATAAATTATGAACATATATGTATAAAATTGCAGAATCATCATTGTCAAAATGTGATTTTGGATAATCTACTAGATATTAAAAGCAGCAGAGATGAATGAACTTTCCAACATTTAAGAAAACCAAACTTCTGTTTGCTAATAAATAGGTTGTAAAACAAGTTTCTATTGAAGCGGAGTCATTTGAAATGTTGCTAGAACATTGGACTTTGGTGCAATTGGTCGGAATTTGGTAAGTAGATCACTGCTCAAGTCCGTAGTTGGCTCAGATTTTCTTTTGTTTCTTCTCGTCTTTGGTGTACCAGCAGTATTTGATGTTATCTGGGGTACTGGTGCCGGTGAATACAACACGCCACATCGAATTTTGGGAGGACGTCCCCTTCTCCTAACTGACACAGGATGTTCCGAGATATCGGGATGTTGTGAGGTATCGGGATGTTGTGAGATATCGGGATGTTGTGAGGTATTAACTGCACCTTCTCCAGGTGAATTTCTCACTTGTTCATTTACCTTTAAACATGGTTCTCTTCTTCTTCTCATCACAATTTTCTTTCTTCCTGACACATTGTGCTTCTTTGTACCAAGGTTTTTCTTTGTCACTGCTATTGGTGCGTACATTGCAGATTTAGTTACTGGATTAATATCCTGGAACTGTAGTGTTGTCTTCTTTAAAGTATCAGGAAATTTCTTCATTCTTATGTTTCTTATAGTATTCTTTGCAATGGGAATTTCAAGCGGGTTCGTGTCGTCATCATCTTCATTCTCCAGGTCAATCACAAAAGACTTATCACTATCTGTTGGATCAACATCAGAAGTTTCAAATTCTTTTTCTTTGTCGTGTTTTATGTTTTTCCAAGCATTGTCCTGGGCAACTTCAGATTCAGTGACGGATGAAGTACCCTGCATTTCCGGAGGTTTGCCAATGGAAATTGACTTTTCCTCACTGTTTGAACCAGTGCTCAACAGTTTTCTGTCAGAGAATTGGAACTTGTTTGATGCTGACAAAGCTGTTGTCGTTGAAGAAGGCACTGTGTGTCCAGGACTTGTTGTGCAAGTAGTTTGTGGAGACACAACTGCAGCTCCTTTAAGCATAACCGTTGTTCCCGAGATGATACCAGTGTTAACAAGAGGAGATCCAATAACATTTTGCACACTGCTAAATCTAGTAGGTGTGATTCCAACTGGTTTTGAATTTTGTAAAACATTTGTTGACAACACCGACCTAGAATGAGGCGGTTCAACGAATCTGAATTGTGGTCCAGTAGGTCCACGGAGCCGCTGGTTATTTGTACCATTGGAATTTACAAAAACAAGTTGTCCTAGCTGGTTATTTACAAGTTGGATTCCCCCAGAATTTTGTAATGTTGCATTGTTTATTGAAGCAGTACTGGCTGTATTTACTCCAGTCGGCGTTGTCTGTGAAACAGAAACTTGGGCAGTGTTCTGTAAAACTTGGCATCCAAAATTGCCAATGATTGGTCCAGTGGTCAGAGAGTTTGTGAGTTGCAATGGTCCAACTACTGGAGATCCAATAGCTATCGGCTTTACAAATCCTGATCCAGCATTCCCAATCACATTTGGATTTTGATTTACTCCAAGACCTTGCATATTTGGAAAAGACCCAAGAGGTACAGTGATTGAATTGTATGAACTGCGGACTACCTGTGAATTGTTGGAAACAGTATTTTGACCTGGATTCATAGAAGTTACAGCAATTGGAGTTCCTATAGATGAACATACTGGGGTTGTTGTTGTTGTGACCATATTAGATGTTCCTGAGGGAAAGAACATGGTAGAAGAAGAATGATTTGAGGTATTTGCTGTATTGGAGTTACCAACGATGTTCCAAGGAGTTCCTACTTGTAACGATTTTAAGTTCGAATTATTTAAAAACAGTTTAACAGGCTCTGGGCCAAGTGGACGACCATTTGTTGTCTTCAGCGGTTTTGATAGCTTGCTTCCAATTTTAAAATTGGCTTTATTGGTCAAAACCATGTTTTCCTCACTTGGATTACTTTTTGTTGTTGAGGTTTCATCAGCATAACATGACTTGTCTTTTGTTTCAGCAGATGGAAGTTTTTCACACGACTGGCTATCTAATACCTCAGTTTGTTTGGGAAGCAATGTTTGCAGTCGTCTTGGAGAAGATGTTGGTGCTTTACTGGTTTTTCTTGAAGAACTCACACCTTTCCCCTTTTTCCATTGAGTAATGTTTTTGTAGTTTTGAGAATCTGCCAGACTGATCACATTCAAAACAACAGGACCTGCTTGAGAATATGTTTCAGGACTTTCTTTGTTAAGTTCTTGGGAGGTAATACCACTAGTATCAAATGTTGATACACTAGCATACGAAATTCGGTTTTCAGGTGATGGGGTATCATTGGAAGTCTCAACTTTCTTCAAAACTGTTTTTCTGGTACTGGTTTGTTCACCAGTTCTTTCCATTTCATGTTGTTCTGAATCAACATCTGATGAAAAGGTGAAATTTAAAGATCCAGAGGAGCATTGCTTGGCACTTGGCGATAACGGTTCACTTTTGACTCTGGTGAGGTCAAATCCTATTTCCTTGTTTTCACATTCTGAAAATGTTTGTACTGGTTCATCAATTGCACTTGAATTAAACGTTCTGTCTCTTAGTTCTTGTTCTTCCAAAATGTCAGTGTCCTTTTCAACTTTGACAGTAACTGAAATAGCAGATGTAGCACCATCTTGTGTACCACATGTGGTAATATTTGAATTGGTGTGATATTTAAGGTTGTCCTTTGTTTCATATTTGTCTACTCCATATTTTGTTTCGTTTTGATACTTTTTAGAAACAGGTAAGTTTAAATATGTCAACCAATTCTTCATCCCAAATTTTTCAAGTGCTCCTTTTAATTCGTCACTGAGTTCCACTTTATTTCCGTATATGAATTCTACAACAGTTGTCAATACACTTCCGCCAACACCAAAAATATCCAATTGATTTGATGATAATGTGTACTCTTTACCCATTTCTCTCAAGCACGAAGGGTCTTCGAATGCTGCAACCCACACGGCACTATGGACCAACACACACGTTCCATCTTCAGCTACCAGTTCAAGATCACACATCACTCCATTTACTCTCATATCGTTCAGTTTCTGGACGATATATGAGTTGATCTTCGGAGCCATGTTTCCCTATTTATAATTTAGAACCATTCGCCTATATTCACCTTCTCCTCGTTCGCGACGGTCCTTTGTTATTCGATGGGCCTACATTGCATGACTGTCTACTCCAATAAACAACCAATCACGATTTGAGTGATTAATAATCCAGCCAATCAAAAAATAGAACACGTATACGGTAGGTAAAAGGTCGATACTATTGACCAATCATGGAAAGTCTTGATACATCCCTTTAAAATGACGAGATTTTATCGAAATTAGAGCTTTAAGTACATGTTTATAGACAGGTAGTATCCATATATATATTGGAGGATGAATAAATGGAAATCAAATGTAATATGCCCATGAACATAATAAAGATCAGCATTTATTTAACTCGGAATCGACCAATAAATACACTTTATGCTTAACAGGTGCGTGGAACTCTTCAAACAAAGAGGTGAGAAATAATACCAACATGGCAGACGAATTGTCGGTAATGCTCTTCTGGTTTGCAGATTGTTCAAGTTTCTACTCAGTCCTGACAATAATTGTCTGTTTCATTGTTATGGTCGTGTTCATTTTAAGGTAAGAGCAATAGAAATTCGTTCAAGATGCAATGTGTATTATTAAAACAGGCACGTTGTTTCGATTTCTGATGGCAAACTTCTGACATCTCGTGACTCGTTACAAGTTCAAGTTCAAGCAATTTTTTTTTGCGTTGATACATTGTAACCGATCTCGGTTAGTATGCTTGACACTCAAGAAAAAAAGTACCAAGAAGTAATATTATGATGTAGCATTTTTTTTTTATATAATCAGATAATAGTCTAGACTGTAGTAGACAGATTACGTCTCTGGTCTAGATGAAAAATGCCCATTTACTAAATGATTTGGAGTGTGTGTATTAATAGTATAGGGGTTATAATTTCATCAACGCGATTATTATTGGTCTTACTCATTTGATAAAGATACATGTACATACGAAATACAATAGATTCAATACTTATTGATTAAATAACACAAAATATAAATTTGGCATTCTTGCATACTTTAAAAAAAATACTGTCACCTTGATATATGGAAAAAAATCTTTACTATCCGTGTGGTTGACATATATATGGAACAGTCTTCCACAGGATGTCATTGATTCATCTAATGTTATACAGTTCGAAATTGGTTTAGATGAGTTCTGTAAACGTGAAAATATAACTTCTATTTTTTATTTTTAGATTTTGTTCAATTGACATTTGAAGTATATTAATTATAATGTAAATTTTGTCGTATGTACTGATATGGATATAGAGGCTTGTAGCCTGCGTCCATAATGTATCATGCTAAATCATATTAAAAATGTGTAATGATAAATGGTACAATCCAACCCTGATTGACCCCATAAGTCTGTCCCTGGTTTTAGCAGGAAAGATAACATCTTTATGCCGAATGTGTTGGTAATAAATTTTAACATAAGATAACATTTGAATTTGTTTGATTGTAGTAGGCAGCTGCGCATGCTGGCATCTAAATGTAGTTTGTCACAAGAAATCCAGGATAAGTTATGAACAGTATTATTAAACTGTGAGAAAAAAATATTACACTAACATGTCATGATGTATGATTACATACTTGAGGAAACCTGTCTAGCCTTTGGGACGTCACTAGATGTTGGTTGGATAGGACAGGTTTTATCTAGTAGTTTTCAACTTTTTAAAAACAGTGAGAGTATATGTCGTCATGATGGATTAGACGTATTTGTAAAAATATGGTAAAATTTCATGTTATCAAATTTTTGGATTTGCTAAAATGTGGAATATATTTTTCAGCAAGAATGGATAGATTAACTTTTTATTTCTTGTATACAAATTGTTATAAGAATCCTGCAAAAAAAAGATCATTTTACATCGATGGGTCGGAGACGGGTTTAACCGAAATATCACGACAGTGTATTGAGCGAACAGTAACACCAAGGCTTTATATACATGGTGTATAAGTTCAGGCTTATAAATGATTTTGTATAGTCCGATCAATTTGATATCTTGAATCTATGGTTTTTAATATAAATCAAGCCAATGTTACAGTTCTTAAGATATATGTATTCAAAAGGCAATATTCAAAAGAAAATAGACCGATTTCACCATTTGAATTACGCTGTCTTACTACACATAAGGGTCGAAGCTGAAGCTGAATATGGTGATAAAGAAAAATGAGAAATTAATGGAATCAAGAATTATTTTGAAGACAAAAAAGAATATCACTTAGTGAATAATGTGCTTGAAATTTGATAATGTTTTTTTTCATGTATTTTCCCAGGTTGAACAATGAAAATATATTCATGAATCTCAATTCAACATCTGTGCAGCAAGTCAATCTCGCCGTGGAACGATGTGTTACAGACATGGTTAATCCTTTTTCTGTAAAAATGAGGCCAAATGAATTAAGCAGTCTCAAAGGTGAGATTTGCCGAATGTTTCTGCAGGATTTCCCAGACTCATCCACTCCCCACTTCCTTTTCGTTGATACCAAGTTGAATGCAATTTCAATAGAATGATTAGTTTATTTCATCTTTAATTATTGGTTACCTTTCTTTGATTTACTGAATATTATAATATTGCAATAACTTTTAAAGAAACATAGTTTGAGATATGTTCATTAGCCTGTTTCACTATACTTATCAAGTTTCAAATTCAATATCACTGTGAAGCTTAAATAATTGAGATTTGAACTATTAGTCTGCATCCTGAATTGATTTGAAAACTTTTTACTACTCAGATGGACTGCACATCCAGCTGTCTCTACTGAAGAAGTGTATTTTACAAGTGTATTGGGGGATAGATCTAGAGGAGTTCCACAAGGCCATGCAGGCGCCATGGCAACACATCTTGCATAATCTACACACCAAGTCCTGGCTGGAAGGATATACATTGTTCCGTAATGAAAAAAAAGAGTAAGGCATTTTCTTTTAGTACCATAACATATATAAGTCCAAGATTTATAAATTCCTCCAAGTGTTTCTCTGCAAAGTAATCAAATTTTGAAAGTCCATCTGCGTAGTGTAGTTTGACCGCTCCAAGGTTTAGGGGATTCCTTTGAAATACTATAACATTAACCACAAAGATTATGCAACTTGCTGATTTTGAAGCTGAGGTACTTCCATGCAAGCTCTAATTTAGCTCTGTTGTTATGGTTACCTAACCTTCTTTAGTCTGTTAAGGTTATGGTTATCAAATTGCTGAGCCTACTAGTACATTTAGTGAATAATATTTATATTTTCCTGATAATCACTTTTTATTTTCCACTTTGAAGTGATTTATTGATATGAAAAGAAAAAAAATCAGCAGAATAAGTAATTCATGTACATGTACTGAGGTTAGATAAATGTCTGGTCAGTTATTTCAACTTGGATACTAAATTGTCTTCTCCCACAATTATACAGTTATGAATTGTATCAATACTATATGTAGATTATAATTACTGCCTTGAAGCTCTAATGAATCCATTTAAATATTTTTTTCCTGTATTTAAGATTGAATCCCTGTGACTCACGACATGAACACCTACAGTGCCCTGGGGAAATAGTTGCCCTAGGGGAGCCTCCAAGGAAGAAATACCCAGCCATGGTCATCACTTATCTACCAGGATCTCAAGAGGAGGAAAATTCCACAGATCCAACAATTGTAAGTGAAAATAAAAAAATGGAATGCCAAATTGTCAATGCACAGTGAATTTTCTTCCAGAATCTACCACCATATTGCTATTCTTTTTTTCCTGCGTCTCATTTGAAATGTTTGTACCTGCATTTGGTATTGTGTGTACATAACACGGCAGGTATTTAGAGTCAGATTAATGAATGAACGGTATTTTAACATGTATTCCAGATATATGCATTTTCATGTTGAATGTTCCTTTTGGAATAATGTGTTGTAAAACAACGCTAAAACCTCAACAAACAAAAGTCATTTCAAAGAAATTCACCCTCAGACTCATACTTCAAGGACAAGGGGAAGTAACTCCAGTGTGCCAGATTTAGTGATTTATTGATAGCTTGTCCTTCTTGATGGTAAAATTTTAAGCATGAAATAGATAATTTAATTTAATGTAGGAGACACAAAAATCTCCTATGGCAATACAAACATGATGAAGTCCTATAGACACGTTATAACTAACATGAAATATTTCTATATTTGGGATGGAATACTCTTCTTTTATGAATAATCGGTCAAATGATATCAAAATATTTAACATAATCTTTTCAAATCCAAAAGTCCTGTTGGGTCAAGTAATTTGATAGTTCTTGCTGAAATATCTTTGCCTGGAACTAGAGGATAAAAGGACTAATCTCTGTATATCACTGTGTATAGACAATGTATATTTACCTGCAGCTGTTGGAGTTGCATCCTTGTTCTGTACATCATCGTCTGGTTGTACAATGATGCAGATTGAAGTTTATTGTCAAGTTCTGCTTACTTTTCTATTTTACCTTTTTCCATGCTGTGTTAGGTGGCTGTGTTCAGCGTGATCCACCTGAAGGACAACACTTGTCAGCAGGATTCTCACATCCTGAACCAGTACATGAAAACCTCCAACCAAGGGGTGTTTACATTACAGGAAAGATTCACACATCCTGAACCAGTACATGAAAACCCCCAACCAAGGGGTGTTTACATTACAGGTAAGATTAACACATCCTGAACCAGTACCTGAAAACCTCCAACCAAGGGGTGTTTACATTGCAGGTAATATTCACACATCCTGAACCAGTACATGAAAACCCCCAACCAAGGGGTGTTTACATTACAGGTAAGATTCACACACCCTGAACCAGTACATGAAAACCTCCAACCAAGGGGTGTTTCCATTACAGGTAAGATTCACACATCCTGAACCAGTACATGAAAACCCCCAACCAAGGGGTGTTTACATTACAGGTAAGATTCGCACATCCTGAACCAGTACATGAAAACCTCCAACGAAGGGGTGTTTACATTACAGGTAAGATTCACACACCCTGAACCAGTACATGAAAACCTCCAACCAAGGGGTGTTTCCATTACAGGTAAGATTCACACATCCTGAACCAGTAAATGAAAACCTCCAACCAAGGGGTGTTTACATTGCAGGTAAGATTCACACATCCTGAACCAGTACATGGAAACCTCCAACCAAGGGGTGTTTACATTACAGGTAAGATTCTCACATCCTGAACCAGTACATGAAAACCTCCAACCAAGGGGTGTTTACATTGCAGGTAAGATTCACACATCCTGAACCAGTACATGGAAACCTCCAACCAAGGGGTGTTTACATTACAGGTAAGATTCTCACATCCTGAACCAGTACATGAAAACCTCCAACCCAGGGGTGTTTACATTACAGGTAAGATTCACACACCCTGAACCAGTACATGAAAACCTCCAACCAAGGGGCGTTTACATTACAGGTAAGATTCACACATCCTGAACCAGTACCTGAAAACCTCCAACCAAGGGGTGTTTACATTACAGTTAAGATTCTCACATCCTGTACCTGAAAACCTCCAACCAATGGGTGTTTACATTACAGGTAAGATTCTCACATCCTGTACCTGAAAACCTCCAACCAAGGAGTGTTTACATTACTGGTAAAACAATTCTCATCAGGTTCATACAATGAATTATGAAATTTAATGTCACATTGCTTAATACATGTATCATAATAATTTGGTTAATATAGTGTTTCTCTAAAACTAGTTTTCCTGCTATTTTCAATTCATGCCATTTAACATAAAATTCCTCTTTTGCTGTTATCCTTTTTATTGCCAATTTCCCATTATATCAGTCAAAAGGTTACATGTACAGGCTGAAACCTGTAAAAATGATTATGATTGGTTTAAGAATTGGCATTTCCTCACTTTTGCTTGATGGACTTGATGTAAAACATTGGTTGAAAATGTGGCTTTATTGCCATTGCTTTGCTATGTTATGATACAATCGGATTATACATGTATTCTTACAATCTGCCAATTACTGAACTACATGTACTGTTGTTTTTGTAGCCCCTGTACATATCCACCTCACCAGAGTCTGAGACAAGTCGAACATCGTCACAACCTGTGACTCAAGCCAACAACACATCTACACCATCTTCATCACCAGATCCTCATTATTCCCGTGAAAATGAACAAAGAGGTGAATCACAGGATCAAGACTCTGTACAACAAAGCCAAGTATTATCTGATGAAAGTGGTGAAAGTGAAGCTTGTGTTCATTCCCTTGGACCTTCCAAGGATGTAAACTTTCCAGATCCAAGTACCGGTATATGTTCAAATTGTGGAAAAACAACAAACATACGTAAATGTTTGTGTGTAGAATGTAACAGGGAGGCAAGTTCTTGCACGGATCCGTTGTTTTCCACAGAATCTGTAGAGGAGCTGCAAGGTAGTCAGGAAAACTGGGGAGAAGCAGATAGCTCAGTGTGTCTGGACACTCCTTTGGTTCAAGAAAGTGATCGTGATTTCAACTTACAAGATGATCAACAAGAAGAATGTATCGTGTGCCAGGCAGAACTTGTAGCTTTAGCATTGCTCCCGTGTCGTCACACCTGTGTGTGTAGTTCATGTTTTACCCAGCTAGATAGATGTCCCATGTGCAGGGGCTACATAGAGTCATATTTCCGTGTCCGACGAAATAGTGAGGAGGAGAATGCGGTGACAGGGGAGGACACTCCCCCTGATTCCCTCATCTCTACCGCCCACGGCAGTATGTGGGAAAGACTTAATAGTAGACTCAACACATTCTTAGGGTTTTCATGATCCTGGTATATGATTAAAATCCTTCAATGTTAAGTTAATGTTCAGTAAAAAGTCAAAGTGCTTATTTAAAGTGAGTTGAGAAGAAAGTCCTTCCAATTTACTTGTATCTAGAGCCATTAGGCTAGTCAGTTTGGTGAGCATAGAGTTGTTTTCTTGCCTGAACATGGAAGAGCTATATTTAAGACTCCATCACAACCCTGTTCTAACCTGAAGATTATGTTGTGAGAAGACAGTACTGCCTAGAAATTGAAAGCAAAACCAGTTTTAACTTTGCTTAACCAGTTTGTCAATGCTCCTTGTAGATATAACCATTGTCACTGATCCTGGTGGTTGTGATAGCAAGATTACAGGATTACAGTGTGCTTGGCTTAAATACCTCTCTTCATGACTATCCTATCGGACATCAGACACAGCTATAACTGGTTCATCCTGCTTACCTGGTATTTGTTCTGTGAAACCTGAACAATCGGACACATGAGTATCCTAATACACTGTGATATCTGGTATACAGCTGTTATCCCAGTACTTTTAAAAACGAACAAATAAAATCTTTGTGTTCTGACAACCTGTCCAATCTGACCAATTTTTTGGATTTCACAGGTCGTCAGATCAGACAGATTTCACCAAGTTGCTGTAGGGATGACAGCAAACCAGATATCTGTCTTACGGTTACCCCCTTGCCAAGGAATCGGCAGTGGTGACTAAATCAATTGTATTGATTATAATTTGAAGTTTCGTATTCAGACTTTTATAAAATATATATAAGCAATTTCAATGTTTAAAAAAACAAACATCCTTGCCTGTCTGTAAACAACTTAGTTACTTGTGAAGCATTATACATTGAATCCCTGTTACACTGTGGTCACTGTCACCGTTTCATCCAGCAACATATTGGCACTATAAAGAGGTTGGATGATGCATTAGTAAGTGAGGTGGCGATTGAGACTGAGAGACAATAAATACAGATTCAACTTCATTTTCAGTACATGTAAACACACACTTCATTGGTACAGGTATAAGTCATTTAAATTATTTCAGTATTAAAACTGTTCCTACGATCTCTTACGAAATGTCTGTATCATAAAATACAATAAGCTGAGGAAACATGCCTAAATCTATGGACCCGGGCCCCTGTTCCACAAGCATTTTCTTGATGATTATTCACGAGACAATATTACTGAAGGAAAATTTCCTTTACTTAGTTTTGCATTATCTCTGATACTGTCACTTCTGGGAAAAAAATCAAAATAATAATTACGTAAATATTTGTGAAACTGAGGTTCGTTGCTTAAAACCTGGTCAGCTAAATGACTAGTTCATAAATTAATATTAACTATAATTACATATATCAGAATTCCAGATGCACATTTAATGACAAGAAAAGCAAACCGTTTATAACAGTTGAATTTTAAATGTACTATAATTAAATGACAATTTTAAGCATTTTGCAAAAATCATATAATGTACTAAATATATTAGTCAGAGTGTTTAAGATTTAGGAATCTGGACATTCATTATTTTTTTTTAAATCAAATTAACATACCTGGGTAATACTGTCAGCTTTGACCAATTTTTCATCACAAGGATTCTGAGATTATCATATAAACAAATTATGTAGATTTGTTTGATAAAGAGAGATTCAGAACAAAATTATAGCAATATTATTTTTTGTTCTGCTGTTTTAAATAATTTGTTTTTAATTTATTGGTGTTATATTACCAGTACAGAAAAGTACATGTATCTTTGTTTGTGATATTTCTGTTTCAGGTGCTTGTTGTGGAAAGTGTTTATAAATTTCCTGTTGTGTAGATTACCTAATGAAATGTTAAATATTTGTATATGTGTTGTAAGGTGTATTTATTTTATTTAAAGCAATCTTTGTTAAATGTTTATGAATGTAAAAATAAAATCAACCAAATAAAATATATCAAAAGCTCCATTTTAGACCTTGCATGGTATGTCTATTAACTTGCTTATTTGGGGCAATCCATGATGGACCCTGAGAGGGGATTGGGGTCCTTTAGTAGCTTACTGACATGACATGCTACAATATTTATGAACATAAATGACTTTAACCTATATTCGTGGTGACCAAGTATATGAAATTCAAAACCTGACTTGCGTTCAAGTTCAAAAGTGTCAGCAATTTTTTTTATTTTAATGCTCCAATAACTCTAATTTATCAAAATGTACAAAGGACTTCTGTTCTGCAGAACATATAAAGGATTATCTTGCATGTATGAGGTGTCAAAGTTTGCGAATGGAAATTTCCTTCACCTGTATTAAAGGTTACGAGGTTCAAGTTTTTTTAAATCGCTCAACCAACTTCTTCTGAAGAATTAAAACACCTTAAGTCATGATATGTTGGAAAATAACTTGCTGAATTGTGATAGGAAGTTTGTGAAAAGACATGTAACTAAAAATAAGAGATTGACCAGGCCTCAAAGGCCTTTTGTTTTCGCTTCAAACAAAATTGTTTGATATGGAGACTGCAAGAATAAAATAAATGAAACATAAATATCAGGTACTTGCTTCGGTAATATTTAAATGAAATGAATTATTACCATTACAAAAAAAACACCTTAATAACGAAACGCGTGTAAACGCCAGATTTGTATACTGTAAATAAAAACTAAGATGCGGAAGTAGTGGACTAGCATACACCTAAAGGCACCTTTACGTAAACAGATTGTGTAACTGGATCAAAATTATCCTTGTGGAAATCTTATAACCTTTATAAAATCACAAATGTAAATTCTTATATCACCAAGGAAAGTTCTTGTTTATAACGATTAACCACAGGGACCTGAGAATTTGTTGCAGCTATATTTGGACCTAAACTAAGGTGTTCAGAGTAATTTTACATGTGTAAGTGGTTTTGATCGACTTTTGGTAAAAATGACACCCCCAATGATCATATATACGAGTTCTCGAATACATGAATATTAGAGGTGTCATTTTTAGGTCCAAATATAGCTGTAACAAATTTTCAGGTCCCTGTGCGATGATTCAGGTTTCTAAGCATTATTATATTGAATGGGGAAAAAAAATTAGGAACCTCAGAAAAATCCGCTCTGCTCAGCGTTGAGAATTACACCCAAAAACTTTGCTTCGCTCATACGGTTAATAAGATCATCACTTGTATTGTGGTTTCAGACTAAAACTGAAAAAGATATTCTAAATTTCTGTTTCTCTCTACCAAAAGGTGTCAGCCTCTGTAACCTCCAATGAAGGAGATCTCCCTCATTCCACATTTCCAATGAGGGAGAAAGTGTGTGAAACGCAACTAAAACTGCTTTGCTCAATTCATGTATCAAAATAAGTCCAAAAAGCATTAATTAAACTCCGTCATACCTACTTTGATCATTATACACACGAGTACTAATATTGATACCCGGCCTCCTCTGTCCCGCAATATAAGAAGAAGAAGAAGAAGAAAAAACAGTTTTGTTAAACTGAAATTCAAAACTAAAACAAATGGAGGAGAACGAAGGTAAGTGTAACAATGCAGTAGACATATATTGGCTAGTGCATTAACTATTATTAGTACTGTCACAAATTATTCTTCAGTTTGTGTTACAATCCGTTTTGATGTTATAATGTCATCATTAGTTTCATATCATATGTTTTTTTATTGACTGAATTGTTCGGTCTAGACCCTTTATGGCGCGCGAGACCAACACAATACTGAGACGTGGCTATTCTGTCAATTTCTCTAAATAATGATCAAATATGGTAACAGTTATTCGAAAGAAGAGTTATGTGTTTAAATCTATACTCCCAAACAAAATTGATGTATCAATGATGCAGTAGAAAGCTACAGTTTGAATTTAAAGTACTGTTACATATAGTTGTGTAAGGATCCATAACTTTGGGTACTTTATCAACGTGACGAAGGAAGCATTTAGAAACACTTCTTGGTTTTGTAAATATATATAAAAAAAAAAATAAAAAAATCCGCCAGTAATTTCCCAAATGAAGTATATTTCCCCAGTCCTCTTCCACGATTTGTTATCATTAAACGACACTTAATATGTGTATGACAGTACGATTGGCAGCTAATTTCAGCAGAGTTATATTTATAGTTCTCTGTCCATCACGATCAACAAATGTCGGGATTTTCAACAGGTAAAAGTTTGTAACAACTTTTCTACCTTACTTTACATTGAACAGGCCTTGCTAGAAATAAGTAAAAACAAGATAAATGTCTTTCTAACAATTCTTTAAAAATATATTTCTGTGTCATGCGTGTATGTTCCACAGACACTTTACGTTCTAATAAAAATTATTCTTACCTCGTATAATTTACTTTTCAAAACCGGTCGTTCAATTAAATAAAGTATAATCAGATACGTTAATGCAGGTTCTGCCAATCAAAATTTCATATTCACATTGACAACCAATCAAAGCACGACCCACGTGCTTAAAGGCCGCCCACAAAACTGAAACACGCCTGCGCAATTGTTTGCAAGTTCGTCTGCTTGAAGGAAGAAACCGACGACCATTGTAAAAAGTATTGTTAAACCGAAATTCGAAAACTTGAAATAAACTGAGGAGGACGTAAGAGAGTTAGAGTAATGTACTTTAAACGTATACAGTTTATTTATAATTAGTAATACAAATTAGGCTGTTGAGATTAGTCTAAAGCTTCTATTACATTTCGTTTGATGGGAACATTTTGCCAGAAGTTTTCAGTTTTTTTGGTTTTTTAAACTTTTGAAAGATAAATTTGATACCGTTGCTTTATTTCAACGTTGTAATTATGTTGTCATAATCTGAATTAAACTCTCCGTTTACAATTATGAGGAATTTGTTCGACTTAAGCCCAGTTTATGATATGTATCTGCCATATGAAGGCTTGCCGAAATACCGTGTAAAGTCTAATGCTGTTATATACTTATTCTTTTGTGAAGTAAACATGCGTTTTTCAACAGATTATTTGTTTCAGGGTCTGTCCAATATGTATCTCTGCTAGACTGTCCCATGCCCGTAACAATTTTTGGAAAATTGAAATTGACACCTATTCTGTGTCATTTCATAAATGAATCAATGGGAGTGACATTTCTACGGTAGTGACATAGAAATGGACACTGATAGCATGTTTACTCATGATGGGTTGATTCTAAACGATTTTAGGCCACACAGCATCAAACATTGGCTGAACATTCGATATCTTTTACATATATTATTAAATTTCCACAACTTAATGGCAGGGTGGGGTTGGGTTTAAAAAATCCGTCACATTAAACACGAAGGTTTGATGTCAAATGACGTTTGTTTTCGGTTCGTACCATTATGTCTTGCGGCAACAAATATGTACACCATTTTAAGGTCACATGAGCTTTAGCTCAAGTGACCTATTGCTATCCGTTTTCGTCCGTCGTCGTCCGTTAACATTTTACATTTCAAACTTAAAGTCAAGTTCTGCTGTGCCGATTGAACTGAAAGTTGGTAGAAATGATCTACTCATGGTCCTGACAAACTGTTGTTATTTTTCAGGTCAATCAGAAATCCAATATGGCCGCCACGGCCGCCATTTTGAAAAACTATTTCAAACTTAAAGTCAAGTTCTGCTGGGCAGATTAAACTGAAAGTTGGTAGGAATGATCGACTCATGGTCCTGACAATGTGTTGTTATTTTTCAGGTCAATCGGAAATCCAATATGGCCGCCGTGGCCGGCATTTTGAAAAACTATTTCAAACTTAAAGTCAAGTTCTGCTAGGCCGATTGAACTGAAACTTTGATAGGAATGATCGAATCATGGTCCTGACAAAGTGTTCTTTTTCAGGTCAATCGGCAATCCAATATGGCCGCCGTGGCGGGCATTTTGAAAAACTATTTTAAACTTAAAGAAAAGTTCTACTTGGCTGATTGAACTGAAACTTTGTAGGAATGATCGCCTCATGGTCCTGACAATGTTTTGTTATTTTTCGGGTCAATCAGAAATACAATTTGGCTGCCATGGCCGCTTTTATGTAAATACCTATTTCAGACTTAAAAACAAGTTCTAATAGGCCGATCTCATTGAAAATCGGTCTAGGAATGATCAGCTCATGGTCCTGACAAAGTTAAGTTAACATTATACTTAACTATTTTTTAATCAAATTGGTACATATTTCAACAACAAAAATAAATACTATAGGACTCAGGTGACCGTTAAGGCCCATGGGCCTCTTGTTATAAATCATGATCATATAGCCTCAATGTACAGGTTTATTCGGAAGAGGTGTTTGTAGGATGGCGTCTACACCTAATTTCCAAAACCAAAACATGTTGAAGTGAAAATGTTGCTATTTAAAGTTTAAAATATTATTTTTCATGTAATCGTTAATTTTCTTACACTTGAGATATTCTCGACATCAATTTGGAAGCATAAGTTACACTTACAGAAAATGTTTGTAAATATAGTGTATAGATAATAATCTTCACTAATAATCTTCCACACGAAGTATTTTCACTGTCACACCTATTCGAGATACTATCAGTGGCCATTATGATATGACAGCCACTAGATATATGTGTATGATAGCATGGTTAGAAGTGAATTACATCAGAGAATACACATATCTATTCCGTCTTTGCGTATTGCAGAGTTATCTTCTCTTGGGAGCAGGTATTGATTGTTACGTCACTTGTTTGTTAGAGTAACGTCATCATTTTTTGAGAAGAAGACGTAATTTTCTAACACAGACCAATGACGTAACAATCAATACCTGCTCCCAAGAGAAGATAACTCTGCAATACGCAAAGACGGAATAAAGCAGAAATTTACTAAATAACAGTATTAACCCACCGGTTACAGAAGCATTTACACTCAATACAACATTAGACGAGTGTACAATCATGT